CCCAATATTGACCCACCCTTAGATTGTTTTATTTTCTGTGTTTACTTTACAGTACCTTTATTTGTTGACAGTTTGGTGACTCCGCTTTAAGTCCACCGCTCATCTTAATCCTTTCTACTTGTCTTCAGGCTTTTCAAAACTGTGTGGCTAAACTGGACCCACCTTTCTCTGCTGAAAGTCTAATCCGCCTAGCTTCACTGACTGTGGACAGTGGCTGAAGTGGGCTCACTGACAGAAGAGGTCAGGTGGAGTTCAGAGGTTTAACAGCACAAACATACAGATGGAATGTGTCACTAAACAAAGTTGAACTTACTGCATGCACTGATTGAGCCATGCCCTGCCCTTTTCCACCTGCTCCGACCCGGAGACCAAGGCTGGGCATAGACTGTATATATATATAATTCTACTAACTAGCTAACCCACTAGCCACATTCCAAATAGGAAGTGAGCATGGGCGCACTTCCAGCTCCATCGACTCAGACTCCAATTCACGTTGCGTTGAAAAACTGTCCAGAACTGCTGTTGTTAGGCTCGCCATGTTGGTCTTAAATTTTCATAATAACCTACACTCTACTTGATCCTGGTGTTTTTATCCCACTAATTTGTCTATAAATCAAGATATGAAAATTAATAACAGACAATTCAGGTGCTTCTTTCCCTGAGGTCACTCCTGCTGGTTTTAGCAAAAGGTTTGATTGACAGTATTGCTAAACCCCTACTATTTGCAAGCGAGAAGATGTGTTACCTGCCACAACCTTGCTCTGGATTGGCTCTTTAGTTGCTATGATATTCGTGGTCAAAATTCCAAATATGAACAGCGCCTCCGATATTCTCACAGATAGCTGTCCGGACTGTGGGTTGGGTTGTTGATGCTTCCTGGCCAGGACTCCTTTGAAAAAGAGATCTTTGAATCTCAAAGGGTTAAGGTTAAATAAAAAATAAATAATAAAAACAGATGGCCTTAATGAGCTTCATTTCACTGGAGCCGAACGCTGTGGGTGACATTATACTCCCTCAGCCCACTTCTTTAGTCTTGAGACTGTAGCATATTCTAAACAAGACTTGATTTTGATTGATAACTATTGGTATAGAGACAGTGGTAGACTTTATCTTTATTACTTATTGGCAGAGTCGGAAAGTAACTAAGTAAATACTCAAGTTACTGTACTTGAGTAGATTTTTTGGGTAGTTTTACTTTTTTGAGTAGATTTTTAAAACTGTCCTGTACTTTTAATTGAGTCTTTAACCATGTAACTACTTTTATTTGAGTACATTTTAAAGTGCTCTATCCATCACTGGTTGTGCTGCTCTTTGTTCAAGTCATTTGTGTTGTTTTTAGTGTTAGTCAAAAATGTAGTCAAATTGGGCAATTATAATATCATAATTACATAAACAGTACTCAACAAATATTCTAGTCTATATTCCTACCAATAACCATATGGCCTCATTTTTACTTTTGCTATTAGCCTATATTATATTTCTGAGCACTCAGTTTCAGTCCAGAATGAGTCTACATTGAGCAACAGATTTCTATACTATGCTTGACATGATCTGTAAATGAACCTTGCAGTTAAACCATTTCCAGAAATACGACTAACTGTGTAGGTTACCTAATAATACAATGTACTTTTGTTACTAAATTGACTATGGAAGTACACATTGACCCACTTACACATTGGCCCACTAGTACAACCCCCTAATACTGATTTTGGTTGTACACTGAATGAACTGTGCTAGAGATCAAGACAGTTTTATCTCAAAAGAGACTTTATTTGTAATTTAAAATGTAAATGTTAATATTTATTGTTTTTTTAAATCCCAAGGTGTGACTGAACTTAATGTAAATATAAACACAGAACTTAACATTGTAAAAATTTGCTTTGTAAAATGCAGAAAACATATAATTATTCTGATAAAATGTTTTCATCAGGCTCCTCCTTAGGTGGATGGGTCGAGGGGTGCCTGGCGAGCGCCACCTGGCGGTGGATCTCGAGAGGTGCAGGAGGCTGAAAAACTGGTCTGGAGTCCTGGACAAATGTAAACCATTTATTGCATCTTGAGCCCGTCAGAACAACAGATAGTAAGACATTATACATTTTGTTTATATTTTTCTATTTACTGCACTTTTTATCATCATTAAATTTGTTGTACTATTTTCAGTGGCAAACTCTAATACTCTTAAATTATCTAATTTATATTGATTAAAGATTTGTGGGGAAATTTTTTAAATCCTAAGATTATTTTCCAGAGGGACAATAATCAGTCACATTTGGATTTTGTGAAATCTTGTTCGATCTCTATTATTAAGAAAAAAAAATATGTCAGAAATACTGTGACTATTTAACAGATACTTGGCAGACTCAACTGCATTATTGCTATTAGAATAATAATTACAACATCAAACCAAATTCAAATATTTAGCTTGTAATAATGTTTTGTATTGTGTAATAAAAATGTGCTGCCTAATAAAAAACATAAAATAATAAATACAATACTTCTGGTAATATTTAAAAAAAAAACACCTTGAAATGATTATAATCTTTTCCCCTGGTATCTTATTCTATGTTTAAGAATATTAGCGATATTGTGCAGCTCTATGAAATCGTGTAGGATGTGTGAGACTCACTGGAAGTCTTGGTTCAGGGGGAGGGTGGTACAGCGGTGCAAGGGGGTATGGAGGCACCATCAGCGGGGACAGGTTGCCTCTGTACAGCCCTGGAGGCAGCGGGGACCACGGCATGTTCACCAGGAGGTTTGAGCAGTGCGGGAATGGGGAGGGCATCCGTACTGGCATATGCAGGAGAGGAAGGTTGGCAGGGCCATAGTCTCCCCAGTATAAAGGGTCTGTTAAAGACAAAATGCATTAATGTTTGTCAAATAACTTCATGTTATCAGCATAGCTATTTTAGATCCTATGGATGCCAATGAAAATATATTGTTCTAGTGTTCATTATGGCTTTGCAATAAATCATTTTAATCAAATGGTGTGCTCTTGAAATGATTAGTTTGGGGATTTTAATTGACACATACACCGGTCTATCAGCCAGTCGAGCTTGTAAAATAGTTCAAATTTTGTTTTAGAAAAGTGTTGGTGTTTGTAAAGGACTAAACGTTAAAAGAAAAATAAAATGAGATAGAATAAGATATGAAAATAGGACGATCACCTTTTTACATGTTGTACAGCCTTAACTTAGTTAAACACAAAGTGCACCATTTTGGTTACCTTTCAAAAAAAATATATCCTAACTAGTTTATGGATAAGCCTGTGGCTTGGACTATCCTCTCATCAGAGTCCAACAGAACAACCTTTTGTTGTAAAAATGTATTGTTCTTTTGACAAATTGAACTTTTTGTTACTTGGTGGTGGGTCACACGGTGTGTTGTCCGGTGGAGCCTGGTCGTTGGTTGTTGCTGACGGTGAACCGGAGACGGGTCTCGCTCGCTCGGCTTCGGCGGGCCCCGGGGTCCAGGGCGCAGACTCCTTAAAGGGTCGAGGGTGCACTAGCACCGTAGGGTCTCCCTGTGGAGCGCTGTCTGGTGGAGTAGCGATGCCGGGGTGGGTGTGCTGTTCAGGTGTGGAGGGCCCGATTCCTGCGCACTGGTCCTCGGTGTCCCGCTGGAGCTGCCTCTGTAGCACATTGATGCGGGTCCGATCCGTGATGAGCTGACACTTCCAGCACTTGCACTGGGCAAAAGGGCACTTTTTAGCGTGACCCTTCTGGGGCACTATCAGCCCGTGGTGCCTGCAGCGGGTGCACTTGGGCTGCCGAGGGCCCTCGGCCTTCTCCTTGGATGAAGACATTTCTGACCGTGATAATACAATAGTCACGAATTGACCGCCAAAATATTGCGCCTGATTATGCTCTTGTATTGCTGCGTATAAAATGTATCAGTTTTGGGAGAAGGGAGGGATTTTCCCAGCACCACCGTGAGAACGATCAATTTAATAATTCTCTATTAACCACCTGCAATTCTGCGTTTGGTCAATCCGAGTCACCAACACGTGACTAAGAACGTATACATAACAGTCAATGGTGAACATTGTATAAAACTGTTTACAACTGCCCTCTGGGTGAATGCTGATTTGAGCTTTGCTGCTGACTTCCTCCAAGTATTCCATGCGGAGAAAGATTTTCTTGGTACAGAATTAAAGACAAGTAAATAAATTTGGCTGGCCAGGTAAGATTAAGTCTCCGTGAGTTAAAGTAAATCATAAATAAAGATCTAGTGAAAAGGTAAGAAAATAATTTATCACAATTGTATACACTGTTTGGGAAATATGAGGGTGGAAGTATGGGAAATGCAAGTTGGGTTATTTTAGATCCATGATATTGGGAAAGAGGCCTGTGCCAAAGCGCACGGAGGGTGATGAGGATGTGATTCATTCAGACAGTCCTTGTTTTTTTAGACCCACAATAGGCTGATGGAATGGCAATGGAAAGCAAGGATGACTTTGGAGTGGAGACTTTTAAAAATGTGCCTTTATGTTCAAACTTAAGCATGCTATAGCTAGTAACAACAAAAAGTAATAATTTCTGTGATTGCTAGTATTTTACACGTTACATTTCTAAGCTGTTATTGCGGAGATAGCCTAAACGCTAAACGTGGACAAAAACAACAGTGTGCTGAGCATAACTACATTTACATTTATTTATATTTGATTATTTTAAGTACTTTGTAGGCACATGGATCTTATAGAGGCATGTCCATACTGTTTGATTGGCCTCAGTCCTTGGAGAAATAGCGCCCTCGTGTGAAGAGTACGAAACCTGCGTTTTCTACAGGCTATGGTATCTTTGGTTTTGTCCAACAAGCAAAACCAAAATATTAAACTCATCAAACGACCTCTCTTAAGGACAAACTACCAGTTTTTGATGCTCGTTGATGAGTGTTTTAGATTAAAAGTAAACAGTAAATAAGAAGTAATACGTCCAATTCCATCCCATAATGCCAAACCTGGCAACCACAGATCTGGCAACTCAGTGCAGCCGTTCTGCAGCAGTGCGCGGTCACGTACGGTCACGTAGCTGTTTACGGAAACATTTTACGTCAGCACGTGCTCTGGCTAGGTTTGTGGCGGTGGTCCCGTGTGGATGTACGTGTGTGCTTGCATGTTCTCTTCTTTGGATGCACAGTCGGAGCGTTTACGTGTCCCGTTCAGTCTTGAGATGGTTTCACGCCGCGGCCCACGGCTCTGAGCGATGAGAAGGCTCGACTCTAGCACTGGAGAAGAAGGAGGGCAGGGCGACATTTTGACTAGCTCCAAAACTGTCTAAAAGTAGCGTGAAATCTAAATAGCGCTGGGTTTGGAGACGCGCTCATGAAGTAAGCGGAGTTTTAACGTAAAGAGCGATGATTCTGCAGAGACTTCAGCCTGTAGCATGCAGTGCCGCCTGGCGCACACGGGTGAGTGTTTGGCGCTTACCCGTGTGCATACTTTGCGGGTTAATGTCGAAACTTTATCTGATGCATTGAACTTGTGGTGGCTTATTATGGTAAAAGTCAAACAGCAGCTGGGCGGGTTCCCATATCTTCCACACTTCCTACTTCTACTGAGGTGCCCTGCGCATTTGGCATCGGACTAAAAGTGTGGAGAACTGTTATTGAGAACTATTACTATTAACTACTAATTATCCAAAGCGATATATATCAAAGTAGTGCTGTGTGCCGTATATAACGTGACCTGTTCTGTGACGCTGGTCATGTATTCAGTTCAGTTGCCTTATTTATGTAAAAAACTCCTTTACCTAATACAGGTTACACTTACAGCAGTTCACGTCTTACTATTTAAGTTTGCACACACTATATTACTACATGTTTTTTGTTTTGGCAATTTATGTATTGAGACTGCTGCTACATCGGACTGCAAAGCAACACAAGTAGATCTGTTATTTTAATATTGGAATACTTGGTAACTTACAAAATGCTTCCTACAAGCAGTATAAGTTATTGATAAGGGTGTTAAGTCAGTAGCAATAGGCAGACTAAATGGAGCTCGGGGTAACTTAAGAATCTTTTATAATAAGAATAATAGGAAAGGTGGTGGGCCCCTTGAGCTCTTTGTTTGGTTGGTCTGTCTCTCTCACCCTAAATGTATTGTTGTGAATATAGTCAACCACTAGTTTAACCACAATGCAGGTATAGTTTTCATGTTTTTATGTTTAAAGTCAAGAAAGTTGTTTGTTTAAAAATAAATTAAATAGGATTCAACATAGTTTATTTCATGCAATATTTAAATTATGGTTAATTGCTATTAATAAATCAAACTAAATAGCTAAGTGATTAACTTTTTTTTTTTTTTTTTTGCTTGTATTATGTTAAGCATATATTTAACTCCAAACATAAATATAATTGTCACAAAACACTACGTGCAGTTGATCCATGTTCTCACTGACCATGGTTGTTTCTCCAGGTGGTGCTGAGGCAGGAGCAGTGCCTGTTCTCCTCTGCCCCCCCACAGCCTGTGCCCCCTCTGGCCCAGACTCTGCAGAGGTACCTCCAGGCCCTTGAGCCTCTGCTGCCCCCTGACGAGCTCGCGCACACCCGCCGCATGGTACAGGAGTTTGGGCGTCCTGGAGGGCTGGGGTCCCAACTGCAGCAGAGACTGGAGTTCAGAGCGAAACACACCAAGAACTGGGTAAAGCAATGATCAACATAAACTTTAAATTGATTACACTGCTAAAATAGATCACCTTGGCACAGGTATATATTTTCTTAAACTGGATAAATCATTTGATACTTAGAGCAACACTGTGTAACTTTCTGGAGGTGGCTCATCACTTACATGGAAACAGAAAGTCAAAACCATACTACCAAACGTTCTCCATGAAGATAAATACATTTATGCCAAGTAAGAGTCAGGTGTGTGGAGATGCAAACCTGCTCACAGTAAGAAAGCAAAGTTTTTCAGTGCATAAAAAAAGTAAAACTGCTTTTATTTTAGTTTTATTTTTTCTCTAAAGTTACCATTTTCAAAAATCAAAAAATAAGGTTATAATAAACAATATGAATTACCTTTTTAAAGTACATGCAATGTTTCATCCTTGTCTAAACTTTTCAGATCACAGACTGGTGGGTGCAATGCGCATATTTGGCGAACAGGGAGCCGTTGGCGGTGCATTCAAACCCGGCCATCTCTCTCCCCAGACGAGACTTCAATGACTGGAGGAGCCAGCTTGTGTGAGTGAGGCCTGAACTCAAGCTGCCCCAGGAACTGTAATGTCAGGGCTATAAATAAGAGACAGTTTCACTTTGAAAGAAGTAATCAACAAGTTATCGTGGACCAGCGGGTAACAATAAATGTTTGTTATACTACAGGCTCTTTAAAGTTATGAATATAAACAACATAATTTATTGGAGATTAGAGGCACAGTGGTTCTTAATCAGCACTTAGCTGGACCCTGTAATGCCTTTGTTTAATTGCAAGACTATTTTTTCATGCTTTTGTCCTCTTAGAACTACTTAAGCCATGATTGAGTCCTATTTTAGACCTGATATAGTCCTGCTATGGATCTCATTTAGATCTGGTGGTTTCCAGGAATTCAGATATTTTTTTAATATGGTACTTGGTCTGAATAGTTTGACGGCAACTGACAGGTCATTGGATATTTTTATGCTGTTAGCAACGGAGCATTAAATCATTTGTAATGGAACATTCCAGGTATCTCAGTGGAAGTAAGAGGCAACAAGCCCTCCACCATAAAAAGTTATAAACTGAGCCTTTAAAAGTTATTGTTTGCATCTACTTTCTTTTACTTCTTTCTTAAAGTCCCTATATTACGCTATTTCCTGATCTATGTTATAATGTTTTTTTCCTTGTCAAAAACTTATCTTGAGATGTGTTTTCATTTGCACAAGTTTAACATACAAACCCTGCATATTTAGGCTGAGTTCTTTTCTCAGACTGAAAACACTTCACCTTGTGATGTCATGTGGTAATGCAGGAAGTGTTCCACTGTGTTTTAAAACTCCATACACCTTCACTAGAATAATTTGGATAATTTCATCCAGTCTCTGCTGAACTTAAAGCAAAAGTAGCTGTTGTTATGAAGCGGTGGCCTTCAAGCTATCACAAGGTGGAACAGTGCATTTTGAGCTTAAGATATGTACTAATAAAGAATTTCTCAAGCATGAAACCCCAGAATAGTAAATTTTGCATTAATATACTGTAGAATAGGGGTGTCAAACTCATTTTTGGTGCGGGGGCCGTATCCAACCTACTTTGATCCTAAAGAGGCCGAAAAAAGGGCATATATACCCCAAAAATAGCAATAAGTTCAAATATTTGTGCAGAGAAACGTTATTATAGATTTTTTTTTTTTTATTGATAAACTCTTTCTTTTACAAAATATTATAATATTATGAACAACCTGAAACTTTAAGAAAAATGCAATTTCAACAAAATGTTTTAACATTAACTTGTATGCAAAAAATCCTGAACTCGGTGTCCACTTTTCTCATTTTTGACATTTTGCTTATGAGGGTGTCACGGTCAGCAGTCAAAACGATCGTCCTTTAAGAGCGTTTGGAAAGAGACAAGTCTTCATTTGTGCTGCTCTGGTGGGAGGGGCCACGCACAGAGGCACTGGAGACACTACTATGCTAAGTGGCGCAGAAAATTACCAATATTTTAATAGAAAATATAATTAAAATATTTTAATAGAAAATCAGCCGAGGGCCAGATTAAAGGTCTTGGAGGGCCGGATCTGGCCCCCAGGCTGTATGTGTGACATCTCTGCTGTAGAACCTTTTCACGTTATCTGTACTTTTACTTCTACTTAAGTAGTACAAGTGCATCTATGGCTACTCTACCCATCTCTTTGTCTTATTGTGCTACCAAAATTGTCAATATCTATGTTAATTTTTCCTATGTTGATTCTATTTAGGTTTGCGTCCAAACTCATTGCAGCTGTTCTGGATTTCAAAGCCATGATTGACAGGTAAATTTCAGAAATCATCATCAAATTTCACACACACTCTTCACCTGCTGTTGGTGTCTGTGGCCTTTGCTCCATCTGGCAGACTGTGGTTCCCTCTCTTATTCAAGTTAATCCAGGTCTAATTTTAGGCTGTTGTGCTGTTGGTAACTAAAGCTGTTGACAGGTTTCCTCTGTAGTGTAGTCCAGGGCAGCTCCAGTTTAACCCATATTTTGGTATTGTTTTGTATTATTTTGTAGAAGACAGGTTGAGATGGATATTAATTATCTACCAGACGTTACCAGACTTTTTCCCATTTAGACTGCAAAAGTTAAATTAGCTGATAATATAAGGTAATGTCTTTGGTTGAGTGGCAGAGAATGAAATTTTCAGTCTTCTTTACTTTAGCAGGTAGTGATGTGCAGGTCGACCACATAGACTGTATATATAAATGGACAGAACTAATGCACTAGCCGCCGCTTTCCAAATAGGAAGTGAGCATGTGGGCTCTTCTGGCTCCTTCTGACCCTGGCTCCCATTGACTTAGATTGAAATACTCTTGCCCCTCTCTGTAACTGCTGCTGTGAGCCTCGTCATTTTGGTCTTAAAATATTCATATTAACCCCGCTCTACATGATCCTGGTGTTTTTATTTAGCTGTTTTGTCTGTTTAAAAAAATCATATTCATAATATGGAGTCTGGCTCCAAATTCACCCCTGTAACCGCTAGCATCGCAAGCTTTGTTTACGTGGCGCTGAACGTTATGGGTGATGTCACACTCGCTTAGTCCGCTTTTTTATGCAGTCTATGGTCGACCTGTAGGTTTAATGGGGTCTTAAAGTTCAATGGAGAGTTCAGTGGGTGCTTGTGGTTTGGGTCTAAATGCTCCTCCACTCAAACTTAATGTGATGTAAAGGTCAGGACAATAATTCTGACATAATGTATTTTCTCATCAACCAACTAGACCTACACAGGACTTTTTAATATATGCATGTCTTTAACTGTGTGAGCAACCTCATTCCTTCCTAAATGCACTGTATATCTGTTTGTTTTTCCTATGGTAATCTTGTCCTTTTCCCTGTGTTTTTGTCCCAGAGGCGAGTTGCCATTGGAACACATGCGTGGCCGTCCTCTCTGTATGGAGCTGTACCCGCGCATGTTTTCATCATGTCGGGTCCCGGGGCCCAAACATGACTCGATTGCTCACTATGCGACTTATGGCCGCTCCCGGCGCTCCCCCACACACATCACTGTGGTCCGCAACTATCAGGTCAGAACAGAGGGGGGCATATGCGGACATTCATACTACACAAATCTACTTGTGTTCTGTTTGAATAATATACCAGATTACCTATGGGTTTTATTTTGTGAACCCACTGTACCGTACTTCATGCTACAAGGTTACTGTGTAAATTTTCTGGTGGGGGGTCAGTCATTTGCTTGTCTCCGTGGAGATTTTATTGCTTTATCTGGAATGTGCTACAGTGTGCCATTAAACTTTCCTAGCTCCGTGTGAAAAGGTTACAGGTCAGATCTGTAGAGAGGCGAGTTCGCTCACAGTAAGAATGGTTTTCAATGTACTGTATTTTCCGTACTATAGGGCGTGCTCTTAAGCCTCCAGCCCCATCAAAAAACGACTGAGCGTTCCGGAATCCAGAGCGCCCTATACACGAATCCACTCGGGTGTCCCAGCACGACTTCAGTAAACTACAAAGCCGCACCACCCGCAGCGCACGCAAACACGCACAGAGTAGACAGCGGCTGCGCAGCGAAAAACACTGCTGCACTCATCACTCCACGCAAAAAGCAAGTGCAATGTGCAATGTGTACTTCTAGCCACAACTGAACAACTGAGTCACTGCGAACATGCCAACAATCCAGCAGTCCCGGACAGCACCCTCCCTACACGCCACAACTGAACAAAGTCGAGAGTCACTGTGAGCGCGCCAAGCAAAGTCCAACTGACCCATCTAACCGTTGTGTTTTGTTTAAAGTCCGGTGCAGTTTATTTGTGAAAAAGTTCAAAAATAGACCATTCAATGACAATGTGCCTTATAATCCAGAGCGCCCTATAGTGCAGAAAATACGGTATTTGATGGTAATAAAACTATCAGTAATTGAATAAATGCAATATGAATCAGTTCAATTTTGTGGAACAAGTGAGAACAACTGTGTGCGTTTAGTTACCGGTACTTTATATTTCTTTTAGGATGTACTCTGTTCTGGAAAAAAAATAAGAGACCACTGTCACTGTCACTGATCACTGTCCTCTTGCAGTAGGACCAGCTGGATGGCAAAAACAGCGCTAGTAGTATGGATAGTCGGGGAGCCAAAGTCTCAAAAGCCCTAGAAAATGGGTTGAACCTGACATCGCCTGCCATTCTTTTTATTTGTGTTTTTTTTGTTAACTGTGACCCTGAGGACCAATAATTGGAGGGTCTGCTCTTCCGGAAATATCGCGAAAAAAAATTGTGGCCATTTTAGTGTAGGAAACCTTCATTTTGTGATAGAAAATTTTGAAAAATGAAAAATTTCCTCAAATCCTCAGTGGATTGGGTAAACTGTCTACAAAATACATTCCAGATGCAAAGAACACATGTGGTGACAACATTCAGTGAAAAAATATTCATAAAACGCATTTCTACATGATTTTGGCTCAATTTAATGCCAAAAAATAAGGAATTTTTTCACTTTTTTCCAATATTTTCACCTTTACCTTATTGGCAATCAACTATTCCCCCAAGTTTTGACATCAGCCAATATGCCATTCTTTTCTTCAAACAGTATAGTCATTCCACAGAAGAAAATATTAAAATCCAACCAAAATCAATGGATCTGTGATGATTTCTTTACCATCAATAGGCCCAGAACCTCAATAGAATGTTAGGCTCCTCTCAACATTCCATAAGGCACACTGGATATTTAGCATGGTTGTTAAGGTCCACATTATTAAACATCATGGCCTAGGCATCTTTTAAATAATAATAATAATAATAATGGTAATGATAATGATAATAATAATAATAATAATAATAATAATATAATAAATATAGCCGCAAGCGGCAATGATCAGCCCTCGCTCGAGCCTATGCCATGCCCATGCCACGCCGCACCCCGGCCACGTTGAGCTCTGCACATGCTGTGCCCCACGAATGCACCTTACTCATTGATCTAACTTCTAAATTAACACTAACCCCTAAACCTACGTGCACTCCTAACTAGGGATGGGCATTCGATGAAATTTTCTTAATCGATCGTCGGAAGAATTAACGATTGATTATCTATTAATCATTAACGTTTTTATATTAAAATGATCATCATTATTATTACTATCTGCACTACTAATCTGCATAAATAAATTCAACTTTACGACATATAAACCGTAACCACTCTAGAGCCACATCAATCCGTTTGAGATTTTAATGTGTTTAATTCAGTTTTGCGCAACTCTCACAGAAACGAAACTTAAAACCGCATCGCTAATTTGCATAAACTCAGCAAAGATAAAACTACAGCTCTTGTGTCGCTGATGCGGTCAATTTCTGTCGGATTAAAAGACATGATTCAGTGGAATACAGGTTAGTGTGACCATGTTTGCGTTTGTCAAAACCAGTATAGTCATTCCACAGAAAAAAATATAAAAATCCAACCAAAATCAATGGATCTGTGATGATTTCTTTACCATCAACAGGCCCAGAACCTCAATAGAATGTTAGGCTACACTCAACATTCCATAAGGCACACTGGATATTTAGCATGGTTGTTAATGTCCACATTATTAAACATCATGGTCCTTCGCTCCACCTTGTTCACAAATTTAAAAAGTCAATGCCAAAGTGAAAGGCACCAGCTGTTCACCAAGAAACACCTTCCACTGCAAAGAGACCAAGACGTGATGTTGCTGTAAAACCACAAGAACAAGAAAGTGCAGCTCAGTCTGTTTGTCTTCTGTATCTCTCACTTAACAAATGGGATTTTACTTGGATGGTGCTCCACATACAAAATGTTCTCTGCAAACTCAGGATGAGTTAGGAAGTCAAATGTTTCCTTTTTGGTTCTTCCTGTGGATCAATCCTGCCCATCACCTTCACCTTTCACTATTTTTCAATTCCGTTGTGAAGAGAAACAGTTTGAACAGAGGTTTGAGTCACACATATCTGATTCACTTTTGCATTTATTGAGTTCGCAAACAAATTTCTCGAGTCGTTTTCCGCTGTTAGGATCCAACAACCACACAATTAACGATGTCCGAATCCCAAAACTAAAATATGACAATATCAGAACCAGAAACAAAAGTGATATGGTTCAAAAGACTTGAAAAGATCGACTTTGACAATAGACACATCCCACTGGGAAAACAAACATGGAGGTTTGATGCTCACTCTTTTGGAAAATCCTTCCCAGCATGAATTGCACAATGACCGGAAGTCTGAGATTCTTGATGCATCTATAGGACGCCCAACAAAAACTTTGGCGTAGCCAAACCAAATTTGGTACACAGATGCACCATGGGAATAGGGACAAAAAAGTATATTAACAGGAAGTCGGCCATATTGGACTGATCGCGCTACTCGGCTCCAAAGGTGCATTTTCTTGTCCTCATATTTGAACGAACTCGTCCTAAGGCGTTTGACCCAGACTCACTAGAATCATTCTGTATCATCTAGACGAGTGAGACATTAAAAGTTGTTTAAAGCTTTTTAAAACAGTGTTGCTGTGGCAACGGTGCAAATTTTGGGTTCGTTTTTGCAGCTCGCCATCAAACTTTGACGCGTGATAATTCGCACAAACTTTGGCCAAGTTCACTCAAGCTTTAATTGTAGGTGGACACCCCAACTCTGAACAGATTTATATAAGAAAATCTAAACTGGCCCCCTAGGGAGGTTGTATGGAACAATAAATTTTACTTTGTCGTAGGCATGTAAAATTTGGTACACACATTTGTGGCCTGGTCTTAATGAAAAAAGTCAATGACGCCCACACTCCATCTCCCATCGTGTTGCCATGACAACTGGCTAAAAATCTGTCTTCACCATGGGGACATCCCAACAAAAACTTTGATGTTCTCAAACCAAATTTAGTACACAGATGGGAATAGGAACAATAAAGTATTTTGTGACCACGCTCTCTCCCAAACCGGAAGTCCACCATCTTGGATTAAAAAAAAAAAAAATCAACACATACAGAAATTGAGAAAAATAGTAGGGTTCGGGTTAGGTTAGGGGTAAGGTTAGGCTAGGGTTAGGGCTATGGTTAGGAGTAGGGATGGGCATGATTAATCAATTAATTGATAATTGATCATTAAGAATTTCATTGATTACGTTAATTTTAAGCGACAAACCAAATGTAGGTTGCTGTGCGTAGCGTGACCAAACAGGGGTCTGTACATGTGTCTCTCTGCACTCAGAAGGAGCAGACACAAACAGTCGGTCAGTCTGCAGCGTACCGAAGCACAAATGCGGATTTGTGATTTGTGGGGCACGGCATGTGCAGAGCTCAACGTGGCCGGGGTGCGGCGTGGCATGGGCATGGCATAGGCTCGAGCGAGGGCCGATCATTGCTGCTTGCAGCTATATTTATTATTATTATTATTATTATTATATTATTATTATTATTATTATCATTATTATTTATTATAATTTATTTAAAGATGCCTAGGCCATGATGTTTAATAATGTGGACCTTAACAACCATGCTAAATATCCAGTGTGCCTTATGGAATGTTGAGAGGAGCCTAACATTCTATTGAGGTTCTGGGCCTATTGATGGTAAAGAAATCATCACAGATCCATTGATTTTGGTTGGATTTTTATCTTTTTTTCTGTGGAATGACTATACTGTTTGAAGAAAAGAATGGCATGTTGGCTGATGTCAAAACTTGGGGGAATAGTTGATTGCCAATGAGGTAAAGGTGAAAATATTGGAAAAAAGTGAAAAAATGCCTTATTTTTTGGCATTAAATTGAGCCAAAATCATGTAGAAATGTGTTTTATGAATATTTTTTTCACTGAATGTTGTCACCACATGTGTTCTTTGCATCTGGAATGTATTTGTAGTCAGCTTACCCAATCCACTGAGGATTTGAGGAAATTTTTCATTTTTCAAAATTTTCTATCACAAAATAAAGGTTACCTACACTAAAATGGCCACAATTTTTTTTCGCGATATTTCCGGAAGAGCAGACCCTCCGATTATTGGTCCTCAGGGTCACAGTTAACAAAAAAAACACAAATAAAAAGTATGGCAGGCGATGTCAGGTTCAACCCATTTTTGAGACTTTGGCTCCCTGACTAGGAATCAAATAATAACTAGAAAAGCAGTCAGAGAGCGCAGACCTCCGCCAAGGACTACCCCCATTTTTTATATAAATTGCGATAAAATCAGTCTTCTGGATCAGATCCGGATCAGCCTTTGGAATATGAAAGAGGATCCCATTGTCCATCCCTGAGTCAAATTTCATGGGGTTTGGTCAATAATTAACCGAGATATTGAGAAACAAAATTTTTGGCCCCATTTACCACAATGTTAACTAAAATTTCAAAGTGATCCAGAATACAGGATTTCTTCCGGATCACCCCCAAAATGAAATGAAAAATCGGTCCATAACGTTTTGAGTTATGTTGCTAACAGACAAACAAACAAACAAACAGACAAACATCGGCAAAAACATGGCGGAGGTAACTATTGACCATGCCAAAAGAGTTGAAAAGAAAAGTTTTGAGTGAGGAAAAGAGAGGTTCAATTCTGGCTTTACTGACAGAGGAATACAGTGAGTGTCAGGTTGCTTCCATTCCTTAAAATTTCTAAGACAGCGGTTCATAGAAACAAGGTCAAGCAGCAGACACTGGGGACAACAAAGCTACAGCCTGGCAGGGGGCTGAAACGACTCTCCACTGACCAGGATGACAATCAACTCATTCGAATGTTGGTCAAAAACTGTAGGATGACATCAAGTGACCTATAAAAAGAATGGCAAATGGCAGCTGGGGTGAAGTGCACAGCAAGAACAGTTCGAAACAGGCTCCTAGGAGCAGGGCTCAAGTCATGTAACGGTAGAAAAAGAGCCCTTCATCAATGAAAAGCAAAGACGAGCCAGGCTGAGGTTTGCAAAGGACCGTAAGGATTGGACCGTCGAGGACTGGAGTAAGGTCATCTTCTCTGAGTCAAATTTTCAGCTTTGCCCAACACCTGGTCATCAAATGGTTAGACGGAGACCTGGAGAGGCCTACAAGCCACAGTGTCTTGCACCTAATGTAAAATTTGGCGGAGGATCGGTGATGATCTGGGAGTGCTTCAGCAAGGCTGGAATTGGGCAGATTCGTTTTTGCGAAGAACATATGAACCAAGCTACATACAAAGTTATCTTGGAAAAAAACTTGCTTGCTTTGATGTAATATAATTTACTGGTCATACTTGGAAATTAAGTCTCTGCTCTGGATGATATCGAGTATCAGCAGATACTAACAAACTATAGTATCGAAATTTGTATCAGAACTGAAAAGGATGCATTGGTGCATCCCTATTAAACAGATACATGAGTGAGGTTCAAAGTTCTTTTGACTGGCTCAAGATGTTCAGTATCTGATGCCATGAAAGTAGAGAGATTCAGTGTATTGAAGTCACTGGTTTGAAAGATTGGTTCGAAAGATGGCAGACTGTAATTTCCTGAGAGCAACATGTAAGAGGTTGGAAATGATGCAGTAATTTGAGCTGATTACAGTTTTGACACACAGCCCTTGCTCTGCCCATACCCCTACTATTTTCAGAACATTTCAGCATTGCGTAGGCTCTGTTTGCCTCTGTTTCTTTTTGTTTGCTCTGGTGCCATTGTACAGACCTGGCACAAAAGTCAAGTCCAGTCATGAAGAGAGTTAAACAGAGGACACACCTCAGGTGTCACTGCTTCACACATTTATAAGGCATTTAGTAGATTGAAAACTAATTGAGTTGGATTGCTCTCATATTCACAATTAAATAATGACAAAAAGGTTGCCTTGCCCATGTATAAAGCTGTGTGATAAACACTGGTGCAAGTATTTTCCTCTATCATAATTTTTTTATTCTGTTTTTATTTTCTTAAGTACAAATAAATATTACTTAAATAACAAAGGTTCATGAATACTGTGTATAGAAAGGGTTTGTGTGACATGTACAATCAACCACATGCTTTTACTGCCTGTGTATTTGCTGTAAAGCATTGATTATTTACAGTTTGAAACAATGCGATCACATTTTAAAAAATTACAATTTGATTAATTGCACACCTATTTTTATGTACCAGGTTCCTTGTGGGCAGATATTTTACTTTAAATTAGATTAATTTAAAGCAGTTCCTAATTCTTATATATTGTGTATTTTGCAGTTCTTCCAACTGGAGGTATATAACAGCGATGGTTCAAGGATGACCGAGTCCCAGATCCACTCACAGCTGCTCCGGATTCGATCTCAGTCCTGGAAAACTGACAAAGAGCCGATGGGAATCTTAACCAGCGAGCACCGGCATACCTGGGGAGCTGCCTACAACCGCCTGCTCAGAGGTACGTGGCTCTTTCAATATAAAATAACTATATATGATCTAACTGATTATAACCGTTATATTGTTCATTAATATACCCCCTACCACTTAGGCCTAGCCCTTCCTTTGCTCCTTCAAAATAAGGGCTAAAGGGAAGGGCTGAAAATATAGCACTTGAAAAGGGGACAACCTTTGTTTAGAGATGTGTGGTGTTAATCAATTTTTATGATTATAATATTACATTAGCCTATACATAAATATGAGATTGGGCCTAACTATTAAGAAAAGTAATGAATTATTAGCATCAATGAAATAAAATATTGATTTAAGCTAATAACTTGTGTTTGTTTTGTGATTTAGACAAAATCAACAGAGAATCAGTGCGGGCGATTGAGACTGGACTATTCTCCCTGTGTCTAGACTCACCTGTCATGAGGATTTCAGATGAAAAGTACATACAATGTTTTCCCTTTTTACCTTAGAATTGTGTTCTGTTTCTGGCTCAAAAATAAAAAAAAAATATTATGTAGCTAATGAGGAGAAAATGTTGATGAATAATTTATGTTTTTATTGCTCAAAAATTACTTTAAAAACTTGCATTTCGTAACTTTGACTTACCTAGTGGCATCACTTGCTTCTCCCCATATAGATAGCTGCTAATACATTTAATGCTATACTGTGTAACTTTCTAGGCATGTGGCAAACCCTTCTCTAGAAAACTTACATAGTACAGAATATTTGCTTGCACACATATTTCTGAGTCTTGTTTGTATTCAGATATCATTGTCCATGTGTTGACATTAGAGACTTTGAGGAAATGGAAATGTCACAAAAGCACAGACCTATAGACACATTATGAACTTTTATATTAAAATATTGAATGTATTTAAGTACTATATGTGTTCTAATGCAAAAATACTCTTTATGTTTCTGTAACCTTCAGATATGCCAGTCGTAAAGCCGCACAGGTGCTCCATGGCGGCGGAACTTTCTCAAACAGCGGAAATCGATGGTTTGATAAAACTCTTCAGGTGAGAGTCCTGCCTTCTTCTTATGTGATTTGGCTTCATCAGTAGTTTGTGATGATAATATTTTTTGAATATAGGAAGAAAATCTGCCCTGAAAAATGTATTATTTGTGGACAATAAAGGTTTTATGCAAATTGTATTTCATTATTAGTATTGAAAATTATGTACATCAAGTTTGATTAGAAAAACAGGCTTGTGGTTGTTGTTTGCTGTTGTGTTGGTGAACGTAAGACAATGATCAGCATTTTGCATTTAATTTAAAGAGTACTATTTACTTTTTCTTGAATCTATGGTGATGTTTTTGCTTTGCCTGGAATGTTCCACAGTATGACATTAAACTTATCTACCATCATCATATTCATGGAAACAAGCAGGTTGCTATAAGGGCAAGTTACATGTCAGATCTGTGTAGTGAAATCTCTGCTCACAATAAGAATGCATGTTTTCTGGGTCGTATAACTCTTGTAATTGAATACATTAATTGCATTATTTTGTAATGTAATACTGTGGAACATTCCAGGCAATAACATCACTATGGAGACAAATAAATGACTGATTCTCCAGCAGAAAAGTTACATAGGACACCTTTAATGCATCATTCATAGAAGATGTTCAATGTGGCACAATATAAATCATAAAAGTCTAATCAATAAATGCATTACATTGTTCAAAAACTTTTGGACTGTTCTTTTTTCAGTTTGTAGTTGGTGAAGATGGGTCCTGGGGGCTGCTGTATGAACAGGCCACCGCAGAGGGCCCCCCTGTAGCAACACTGCTGCATCACATTCTGGAGTACTGGTGAGAGGATAACGTATATTATTGGTATTTTTTACATGCAAATATTCACATATGCATTATCATCATGCTCTGTTTTTATTATTTTTAGTGAGAGGCCAGACCCAAAGAGAGCTCCTCTGATCCCACTGCCGATGCCCAAAAAACTTTATTTTTACATCGACCCCGAAATCAAGAGGGACATTGAACACGCCAAACAAAATCTAGACATGTGAGAACTTTTTTCAAAATATTTCTTTACAGAACCAAACATTAAAAAACATGTGTCAGATGTAGGGCTGTGCAATACTATATCACAGCTAACACATTTTTTTTTCTTATAGAATTTAAAATGAAAATGTGCCTAGACTTAATATGGTTAATAGTCTGTCACATTTTAATGCAAATTCAGCCTAGGTTTGTTTTTGTTTGGATTTGATTTTGGCACAGTTAATGAACAACCAATTTAGTCTGGGATTAATACAAAATGTCTTTGCCCTGATGAAGACTCCTATGTGAGTTGAAAAGCATTGGCATATTATATAAAGCAAACTTCAAAAATAAAGGGCCTTGTATTTCTTCCTTTTATGTTTACCAAGTAACTATCCTCTAAGGACCTTGATGAGCACCTGTTTTTCATATTACTTATCTATGATCCGGGTAAGCACTCCCAGTATCTTATTACCATTCATTAATCAAACTGTACTTTAAAATATTATATTCCACATAGTATGGAATATTGCAGTAGTCTTATCTCATGTTGTGCAGCCCCAGTAAAATGTAAACAAATTACAGCTACAGTCACCTTGAACTAACCAAAGCAGAGACTGACTGTTTGCATATACACACAAATTGAATAATTTTCTTATTTCTGGACTTTCTAAGATGACTAAAATGCTGCAAAAACAGCTAAATCTGGTGTGAGTAATGGACAGACCTTGATCAGAAAGAAATCTGATTACTTGCATCCTATTTGGCTGTTTACACTTAATAATTAAATTCTAATAATCTCATGATAAACAGATTTTGAAAGCACATAACCGTAGCCAATGTGTTTAACTTGAATTGTATTTCTGAATTCTGTGTTTCCTTTTCAGACTCATAAATGACCTGGACGTGAACGTGTTCAACTTTAAGAGGTTTGGGAAAGAGCTGCCGAAGAGACACAAGATGAGTCCCAATGCCTTCATCCAGGTGGCCTTGCAGCTTGCCTATTACAGGTGTTACTTTATCGTACATTTAACAATTTGGAACCAAAATATGAGATATGAGAGATATGAGACAATAAATTAATTCTTAGAATGTTGTTACCTCATCAAAAACATACTCAGAGTTGTCTTTTAGTTCATTCACACATATTTAAGTAATCCTTTATTAGTCTTGGCTGCATCTCCAAAGTTTAAACTGCTCTGTTCCACCTTATGATGTCATGTAAGTATTTAAGCTACCATTTACTTCTAGGGGAAAGTCACAAAAGTAAAACTCATAAAACAGGTTAATATGTTGTTCTAAATATCTAAATATGCTATGTGTTAGCAGATAATACCCCACAGAAGTAAAATACCCACTGTTTATTTATTTTTATTTTATTTTATTTATTTTATGGTGTTGTATGGTAATAGTACTCTTAGATGAGATGGTAATGCTTCCACTAGACTAGAGTTTTCAAATATATTTAAATGACTGTTTGTGTATTTCTTGTCCTTTTCTCCTGTTTCAGGGTCCACAATGAGGTGGGTCCATCCTGTGACATCGCATCTCAGAGGATGTTCAGAGGAGGCAGGACCGAGTACATCCGATCTCCAACCAAGGAGGCACTCACTTTTGTACTCGCTTTTGACAACCGCTCTGTGTCGGTGAGGAAAACATTTTTCTACATTTTAAAAACATTTTTATTATGTATTTTTTTAAAACCAATTCAAAACAAAAACTAAATTGTGTCTGTGTTACAGAGAGAAGTAAAGCAGCAGTTGTTCAGAGAAGCAGTTGAGGCCTACGCTGCCCTGACCGATTTGGTACTGTCAAATATTTTGCAGCAAAAATCTGATCATGATCTGATTTCTGAAGTTATCAGATTATTAAAATGACATGTAAACAGTGACATCTGATGTGACTAATTCAGTTTCATTCTGATCGCTCACACCTGTGCAGATTTTGACAAGGAAAAGTATGACAAAAGAGCAAACTAATGTAGCAAATGCAAAAAGGAAATGGTTACTCAAAAAAAAATCATTGGTTTAACTGTAAAGAGGATTATTAGAAATGTTTTCCTACATGTAGTTGTGATGTGTTGTGTATTTTTTTAGGTATTAAAATACAGAATATAGGCAGATAGATAGTAACAAACACAAAAAACTGTAATTGATATTTTGCAGTGACGTCACACTTGTTTGCACATATTTGCAAACATGGCCAAAAAGTTTTAAAATTATTGGAAACTCAAGGAAAAATACCAGATGTATTTAAACAACACATTTTCAGGGGCCAGTGATCAATATCAGTGTTCATGGTTCTGTTTAGGAGTTTGATTTTCAAAAAACAGGTGAGAGTAAAACTGTTGGCTAATGCCAGCTGTCTTTTGACTGTAATTGTGCTATGTTGGATCTTTATGGTTAGATTGAGTTAAAACAAAACTCAGATTAAAGTGTAACATGAGTAACAGAGCTTCAGACAGAGCAGTGCCTAGAGTTAGCATCACACTCCCAGGGAATCTTGATGACATCAGCTGCAAAGAATCAATACTGTACTGTAAATCAAACCTGTTGTGCGTTGTTTGCAGGCTCTAAAAGGACATGGCATAGACCGTCACCTGTTGGGTCTAAAGCTCCAGGCCATAGAGCAGGGCATGAGCATCCCCAAGATCTTCATGGACACGGGCTACGGCCTCGCCACACATTGGAAACTCCGCACCGGACAGGTAAATGGCACACACAGATACACCGAATGAAGATAGGCCTGTTTTGATAATTAATATATATATATAATTCTCGTTCACTGTATGATAGATTAACAATATTTTTTCAGGCTCATTGTTTGTAGCATGTACCTTTTCTTCACATTAGTAGGGAATGTTTTATTGTCGACTTGTAGATGGTCTAATAATGAAGAGAGTAACAGGCCTATAAGAAGCACAAGCAGGTACTACATGTATGTGGAGTATATAGGTCAATGCTAAAGGAGCAATATGTAACTTCTGGTGGAGGGTCTACCGCCTGCTTGTGAGCATACACATAGTAAAAATGCATGTTAAAATATCTTTGAACTCTAAAAACACCTGTAAAAATGCAAGACTTTTTAGAATGTTTAATGCCATACTCATCAACTGTATATATAAATGGACATAGCTAAGCTGCTAGTCCCTCTATTCCAGATAGGAAGTTTACCTTAGAAGCAAGTAGGTACCTACTGTATTTGAGTATATTGAAATGTGCAATGTCAGATCAAGGCATTGTAAAAATAACATGTGATTTCCCTCAGCTGTTTACGTTGACTCGGAGTCATGTGATGATTTATGGCTCGACGGATTTTATTGTTCCACAAAGGAAATTACTTGGGCACAGTATCACACTTTACAATATGCATACACAATTCCGTGGAAATAAAAGTTAAACACTTTCAGTGGAGATACATTTTATGCCATACCTGATGGAAACAAGCAAAAAAGGCAAGCAATAGAGTTGGTTAGGGTTTTTTTTGCTGTTTGAATGTTATGTTAACCCAGTTCTTTATCTTCAAATAAATAAGTAAAAAGGTGAAAAAAGTCTGAATGGTTTAATTTTGATCTTTTTTCTCTAGGTTCCTGCTAACACCGACAGCGTGATATGTTTCGGGCCGCTGGTTCCCGATGGTTACGCCATTTGTTACAACCCTCAGGCTGACCATGTGCACTTCTCCATCACAGCCTTCAACTGCTGCGAGGAAACCAACGCCGAAACCATGGCGATGACTGTCAAAAACACACTATGCGATCTGCAGGAGCTACTGGAGCCCACCGTTTGAGAGGGAATAAAACGCACATTGTAACGACACTGTCGCACTGTTAAAATGGGTTGAATTCAGAGTAAAATAATCTTGAATTTAGTAGTTTTGACTGATTTACATTTGGTCCAATTAGATTAATTAAATCTTAATGTTTTAATAACTTAGAGATCTAATTCAAGAACCACTGTTTTCTACATATAGGAGGGATGTAACAATATATAAAACAATATTGAAATGTTCAGTCGACAATGCAATACTTTTGGCACACTGGATTTTTTTCCTCATTCTAAAGATATATTATATAGTTTTAAATTGTTTATTGCTATAACAACAGCCCTATTTTTTATCATTCTGAAACCCATGGAACCTTTCACAGCTACACCTCTTAACTCAGCTATAGTTGAAGAAAAAAGAGATAGTGTTTTTGATTAAAATGCTATGTTTATTGACAATTACCATAAAATAATAGAAGATTTTTTTGTTGTTCTGAGACCTAACCATATCGAAATCAAATATATCAGTGTCATGGCCCATATGTTGAGGTATTTATCAATACTGAGAAAGTGTAACCATTGCATCCCTACTGTCCATTCAAGTCCATGCTTCTATCGTAGGAGGGATTATAACTTCTTATGGTCCACGTTCTTGGTAGGTCAGTGCCATCAGAGCAGTGAAAAATTCCCTAAGAAGTAGACTGGAAATTGCAATTAATAAATCAGTAAAACTGATGGATTACCTACTCTATGGGTAGGTAATGCATATTGAAATAATTTAATTAAACCAGGTCAATGTACATTTTTATGTTAGACTTATAAACTAAATAAGTCAAAACTACTCAAAAAACATGATGCATATTCTGAATTTAAGTCATTTTAACTCATTGGATAATGTGTTTTTGCAGTGTGTACTCATTCAAAGGTTTCTGCCATTTTGGATTTTCACTAGTCACATTTTGTTCAGTGCCATTCAAAATCAGGTGTTTAGAATTTGGTTACTAATGTTAAGGTTAAGGTTAAGCTCTCCATAAGGACATTTGTCTCCTGTATTTGACCCATCCATCAGTGTGGAGCAGTGCAGCATAGTGCAGCATAGTGCACCCATCTCCAGATACTGTGCTAAGCTATTCATGTGGTCAGTGGAATAAAATCAAAACTTATCATATTCATAAATTAATTATGCAGTCAGTATGTACAAAAATCACTGAGAATTTGTGAAAAAAATTATAGGTTCTTGGTGAAATTCAATATCAGCTTATTAGCCACAAGTGTTGTATTTGAAAAAATGAAATAACTTAAATGGGCTATTGAAATCTGATCAGAGATGTTTGGACAAGATTTGAAATTATTTTGATACTTTTGTAAAGCCAAGCAGCGCGTTGTATTAATACTATTATTATATAATAGTGGTGCCATTGTTAATGAACTTAAGGCTTTGGTTGGACTGAATCAGGTGCTTCTGACACTCCAGCATTATTGTAAAGAAATAATGTTTAGGTTTTACATGATTTGTGGTGCTTTTGCTATGAAGTGTTTTGTATCGGACCAAATGCTCAAAAACGAAAACTCAAGAAAATGAAAGCCCAGCTTACCGCACATTCAGTTACCTGTTACTAAGTTTTCAGTAATCACTATCTAGCACACACTCCTTCAAGGCTCTGCTGTATTCTCCAGTCTTTTAATTCTGGATATAATGTTTCATATTTTCAATTCAAATAAGTTTCCTGTTGTAAATCAAAGCTTTATTTATCAACTTTTTTTTTTTATTTAGACTTAAAATTATTCTTACACCAACACTACCACCTATGGCTATGATTATTCTTTTGGGTTATTTCATTTTTGCTGAGTTTCTGGGGTCTATTAGGCCATTTTCCTGAGTGTCATAGTAATTATACCATACTAAAAGCATGAATACAGTGGCATGCTGATCTTTAAAGTGGGATTTGAATCTGATTTAACCCTAATACAAAATTGTGATTGTGTTGGATATGGCCAAACCTTCCCTATTGACTGGATATAAGTTGGGAGTTTTTGTTTTTGTTTTTTGCATTTTAGGCTACATCTAAACCTGATGCAAGCGGTTGTGTAAAGTTAAGACTTTTGTACAAAAAAAATAAAAGAATAAATACATGTAATTAAAACGTATTTACTCTATTTTATTCTTTAACTATTTTCTTGTTCTATCTTTCAAATTCAAGAGTTTTTTTGTATTTATGTGTCAAAATGTACCTAACAAATTAATTTTATTCTTATTTTGGTTGTCTTGGAAACAGGAGGTGACGTCACTGCGCATGTCTTGCGGTTCATTTAAAACCGGAAGAAACAAAAACATCCAATGCAAAGCGCCGCAGATGGTCAAAGCTGCAGTTGTCCCAGTTTATCATTTAAAAAGGGGCACGATTGCATTTCATATATTTAAGATATCCAAAAGAAGAAGAAAAGTTGATTTTAACTACGGCGTGTGGCCTGTTTTAGCCACTAACGTAGTTCAATACAGTTTTGATGGGGTTGTTTTAACTGTTTATCAAGCTTTTAAGATTACATCTGACTGATATTTATGGTTACCATGAAGGGACGACAGAAGAGCAGCGGGACGAGCTGGCTGTTGTGTCCGCTGCTTGGTGCGTGTCTCTGGGCTGCAGTGGTCGCTTACAAACCGGTGGTGATCGTACACGGTTTATTCGACAGTTCAGGGGATTTCAAGAATTTACAGCGCTTCATCAACGCGGTAAGTGGTCCTTGCGTTCATATGACACCGCGAGTAAGTGTTACCAAACATGCAGACGTGTCTATTAAACTTAGACGAAAAACAAACAGGGATTTGAGTAAGGTATCTCTGAAAAGCCTTCGCGGTACACCATGTTCTTCTTGTGTCGCCTACATTGTTAAGATAATGGCAGTAAATGGGCTATGTTGCTATTAATGAATGCTTTTGAATCATGCATGCACAGTAAGCAGAGTAGACTATTTGTATGATAGGTTTTATGTAGTGTAGAAGTGGACAGACAAGAAAATTACATTTTAAACACCAGTTATTTAATGATATTTTTCTCTTACAAATGTACAGTGAGTGTGCCTGTGTACTGTACACATAACCATTATGTGGCATGATAATCTCTAAATATCTAAAGTATGGGTTTGATTTTAGTCTTTTTTATGATCTGAATCTTTTGCCTGCCTCTTTTTATATTTTATGTAAATAACAGAAGGCAGTGTGAGAACTGATTTTATCTACAAACTAATCACAGAGAGAATTGAAAGGCTAAAATGGTACCCTTTTGTATAATCTAAATGAATTATGCAAATAGTGATGCATAATCTAAATAAGACTTTGCACTATAGTAATAATACTTTAAATATGTGTGTGTGTGTGTATATATATATATATATGTATATATACATATACACACCATTAGATTTGTAATTTTTTATTTTTTTTCTATGTCAGATATGTTGTCTGCTTCTGTGCTGATTCTTGCATTGGTTCAGGGTTAATCAGGATAAAAATGCATGAAAATTATAAAGAAAAAGATTTGGTTATTTTAATTGAGATCCGATTCCAACTCTATTACAAACGTCACATCACTAATCTAAATTATAATTAACTGAATCTCCAAAACTTCTACGTTATCCAAACACAGATGTGCATATGACAGGTTGGACTACTTATTCCTCAAACGACACCAATATATTTAAGATTATACTAGTTTTTTCTAGTTTTGTAATTTTGATGAAGTTTATCATTTAATTTCCTGGTTGGACACGTGCAGAACATAAAAATCTGTAGATATGACACAGGTAGAGGTGCGTTACTAAACAACCATAATGTTAACAAACCAAACCAAGTAGTAATTAGAAAAATATCTGCCAAATGCACTTTAAATCATTCTTGTTTTCAAATCAGCACATCTCTCTACATTAAAATACACATTTTAATGCACGCATTAAATTGAAGTTATTTGATGTCAGTAAAAGAAACTCAGTGTTTTATAGTAAATAAACATATTTGTCATGGGCTTGATTTGGTACTCTTCAGACTTCAGCATATCAAACAGCCTTTTAATTAGGTGATTTTCAGATAAAGTACACTGCAAAAAACAAGAAGTTCTTTGAAAATTTTACTGAAATGTGGCAGGTCTGGTTTTCACACCTGAACTTTTGTCACAAGACACTGTTTGGAGAAGCTAGTTTAACATTATATGGCAGAAACTCTAAGGTGAAAGAGCTGAATAGACGTTTTTAGTTTTAATCTTGACTGCTGTGAGATAAGGAAGATCAGTCATGTGTAAATTGATATGACGGAGGAAAACCACAGCACCATGGTTGATTGATCAGAGTAAAACTGTTGTCACTAAAAGGTAGCCATTGATGTGAATGTAATGTAAAAAGTATTGTGAAGTTGACATTTGCAAACCTATTTTACTTTTTTCTGCTTCTGTACATAGATTTTCAGAATTTACAAAAGCTGCTGCCTATCCTACACTACAGATACTTTAGCACCTTAGTTTTATTTACCCATTAGTAAACAGTGCTTACCAGGACTACAGCTGCATTTGCACACTATATCCTGGTCTAGTCCTGGTCTAGTCCTGGTCTAGTCCTGGTCTAGTCCTGGTCTAATCCTGGTCTAGTCTAGACTTTAAACATGCAAAAAAATGTTTTTTTTTTTATTTTATTTTTTTTATTCATAATGTCACTTAGCTTCATAATACAAATTTCACTTCTTACATAATACAAATACCCGAGTTCAGTCTGTAACCATCACTTCACACTGTGTTAGATCGGCTTGCATTGTTTTCATACTTCACACAGAGATATGAACAGAGCGACCACATTGAGTTTACTGCATGGCCTTTCACAGTTTAAACATAACTAAATCTACACTTTCATTATGTTATAGGACACAGAACACTCATTTCAATGTATTTAGGATAGTGTACAATGAAAACTGCATTTCATTTCGCAAAATCAATAGTTATTGATACTATTTTCTAGTCTGTTATAATCTTGTTTCCTCATCAAAAACATACCAGGAATTCTTCTCTCAAATGGAAAACACTTTGTTCCACCTTGTAATGTCATGTGGTAATATAGGAAGTGCTCCAGTGTTTTGTTCTTGTGGGGAAGCTGGCCCAAGTGGTCAAAATGAGAGTCCAGTGCAAAGTTGTCCTTCACCAAACCAAATTCTTTATTGGATCCTTCCAAGTCGTGGGCAAAATTATATACATATTTACAAAAAAGAACTGTGCTTAACTAAACAAAAGCAACAGAAAATAACGCAACAAAAGAAAATACCCACAGGCACCTGGCTGCACTGATGGTGACCTACCTACTGATTAAACTGCCTCTACTTATATACCCCCCAGAGAGGAAGTCCCTCCCCCTGGGTTCACACCAATTTACGGGGAAAACTGTAGCAATTTCCTTTCCTTACTGGTGTGCTGCCTTAAATTATTTTCTGAAGCCTAATCCTCCTTTTAAACTGAACAGTGCTCCAACTTAACTAGATAACACTGAAACCAAAATTCTAATAACCCATTTGATAAAACAAAGAACCATTTCCGAGGCTTCCCTCCACATGGTCTGGGCCAACACCTCCCCCTGAGCCTATAAATATGGCTGCCAAAGGACACGCCCCCTCTTTTGTTCCCAGACCATGTGGAGTCACAGGTAAGGTGGTAAGTTTAAACAAAAATGAAGGGATATAACCAAATAAAATTGAATTTAAAGTAACTGTGTGAATGTGATCAACAAAGACTAAATAAAACAAACCCGGGATAGTTATTATTTAGCTGTTTAGTTGATATAGATAGATGTAACTGAACTAAAGTGAAAAATGGGGACAAAGGCCCCCCCCCAATAAGACCGTTACTCATCCGAGTCACGGGACAGGAAATCAGCAATGACATTTTTATGACCTGGTTTGTACTGGACCTTAAAACAAAATGGTTGCAGAGACAGGTACCATCTAGTAATACGGGCATTAGTGTCTTTCATTTTATGTATCCATTGCAATGCACAGTGGTCAGTTTCCAACACAAAGTCTTTACCAATGAGATAGTATCTCAGAGTGTCCAGAGCCCATTTAATAGCCAGGGCTTCCTTCTCGATTGTAGAGTACTTTTTTCTCTTGGAAAGAGCTTACGACTAATGTATTGAACTGGAAGTTGGTTACCCTCCTCCCCCTGCAATAACACCGCCCCCCAGTCCCACACCCGATGCATCAGTCTGTACAGTAAAGGGCAGTTCAAAATCTGGACACTGCAACACTGGTTGCTGACACAAGCAGTCTCTCAGATCATTAAAAGCATGTACAGTTTCAGGAGTCCATTGTACCTTTACCGGGCTGTTCTTACGGGTCATGTCAGATAATGGGGCGGACCTAGTTGCAAAGTCTGGGATCAGTCGTCGATACCAACCAACTAACCCCAAGAAGGATCTCAGCCTTCTCTTGGTGTTAGGCAATGGGGTAGCCGAAATGGCTTCAACCTTCCCAACCTGAGGATGGATACCCCCAGCTCCAATCACATAGCCCAAGTACTGCACCTCAGGCTTGGCGATGTGGCACTTCTTGCCGTTAATGACAAGACCTGCCTCCTGGATCCGCCTGAAGACGTCAGACAGATGCTGCAGATGCTCCTCCCACGACTGGCTGAAGATGACGATGTCGTCGATGTATGCCGCAGCGTAGTCCTCAGCTCCTCTTAGCACCTCGTCAACCAGTCTTTGAAACGTGGCCGGTGCTCCGTGTAACCCAAAGGGCATCATTCGGAACCTGAATAGTCCACTGGGCACTCGAAAGGTTGTCAGGTCTCTTGAGGCTTCGTCAAGGGGCACTTGCCAATACCCCTTGCAGAGGTCTAGGGTTGTCAGATGGCTTCCATGACCCAACCGCTCGATCAGTTCATCTACCCTTGGCAATGGGTAGGGGTCAAAAGCAGACACAGCATTCAACTTTGAAAAGTTGACGCAGAATCTGAGCCTTGGATCTTTTTTGGGAACCAAGACTACAGGGCTGCACCACTCACTGCGCGATTCAATAATCCCAGTTTCCAACATCTCCTCTACTTCTCTCTTTAACTCTGGGACAAGTTTAGCTGGAATGCGGCAAGTAGTGTCTCTAATGGGCTGCTGATCTGGTGAGCGTAGGCGGATCTGGTGCTGGATGAGGTGAGTATATCCCGGTCTTGCACTAAAAAGTTCATCGGTCATATAGATTTGAAGATCCTGTTGTTGCTCTGTAGCGAGATGACTTAGATCAGGGAACACTGGTGTCTCTGCTGGTGAAGGAAAGTACTGCTCCACAAGCTCCTCCTCGTCAATGACTACACGGGCCAGAAGGGATAGTTGATCTGGCCTGTCAACCCACTCTTTAAGCAGATTGATGTGGAAGATTTGATACTTTTTCCGGCGTTCTGGCATAAAAAGTTCATAGGTGACTGGTCCTGTTTTTTGATGGATCTCATATGGGCCTTGCCATTTGGCTAAAAGTCCACTTTCTGACGTAGGCAATAACAACAGGACTTTCTGGCCCACCTGGAACACTCTTCTTTTGGATGCCTTGTCATAACCATGTTTTTGTCTCTGTTGTGCTTGCGCCAGGTTGTCACAGGCAAGCTCTTTAAACTGTTCCAGTTTGTCTCTCATTTTCAGTACATAAGAAAGTTCATTACATCCTTGTTCCGGCGTTGGCCCCTCCCATGCCTCCTTCAGGACATCCAGAGGCCCTCGAACAGAATGTCCATAAAGAAGCTGGAATGGTGAAAATCCGGTAGAGGTTTGCGGCACTTCCCGGTAAGCAAACAAAAGGAATGGAAGCCACTGATTCCAATCTGCTCCTGAATCAGCAACAAACTTCCTCAGCATAGATTTGAGTGTCTTATTGAAGCGCTCGACGAGCCCATCAGTCTGTGGATGATATGGACTTGTCTTGATTCCTTGAATTCCCAGGAGATTGTAGACTTGTTTCAGCAGAGTCGAAGTGAAGTTAGTGCCCTGGTCTGTGATGATCTCTCTTGGGATGCCCACTCTGGAGAAGAGCTGGATGAGGCAGGTGACGATCTGGCGTGCTTTGATCTTCAGCGGAAACACCTCCGGGTATCTAGTGGCATAGTCCGACACCACCAGGATATACCGATGTCCAGCACTGCTCCGCTCCAGTGGTCCCACGATGTCCATAGCGATGCGAGAGAAAGGGGTGTCAATAATGGGCATGGTAATGAGGGGTGCCCTATCTCCCTTTCTGCTTGGGGCTGTTAACTGACACTCAGGGCATGACTGACAGTACTTTACAGTGTCTGAGTATTGCTGGGGCCAGTAAAACCTAGGAACCATTCTAGAAAATGTTTTACCTTGGCCTAAGTGCCCTGCCCATGGAACTGAATGACTAAGATTAAGGATAGTAGGTCTCAATGTTTGTGGGACTACTAACTGGTCACCAATTTCACTTTGTCTGTAAAGTATATCATCCTTTATAACAAAAACTTCTTTCCCTCGTGTTCCTTTTGTTGTTTCCGGTACGCATTTACTGTACAAGTTAGCTAGAGTTGGGTCATGTTTTTGTAATTTTGCAACATCGCTACAAATTGGCAACAAATCAGTCTCAATTGGTGTTAATATTTTTCCTGCAATCTAGTTCCTTTGACTTTATCTCGTCTTTTTTGTCTTTTACTTTTCCTGACTTTACCATTGTTAGCATTTAGCATCTCTGTATTAGCAAAAGGCAACTCCTCCCATTCTGTCCTCTGCCTAGTTACTTTCTGGTGAGTTTGAGATCTGGTAACTGCCATTAAACATTCATTAGATTTAGCTTCAATAGATTGTTTAGCAATTAGCTCCGGAAGGATTGGGACGTCTAGGCCTAATACAACTTGATAAGGCAGCTGTTCTAATACACCTACAGAGTGTGCAAAGGGCTGACCTTCAACCTGAACAGTAACTTCTGCAATGGGATAACTTACCCTGTCACCATGGATACACACAATATCAACTGTCCCTCCGCAAAAAATTACATCTTTGGGTAGGCAGTCCTGTCTGACCAATGTACGGTCACTGCCTGAATCTAAAAGGGCAATACAAGGTTTGTCATCTATAACCACCCCATGGTTAGCTCCTCCTGATGACCCTCCCAGCTGTCTACAATAGCAGGTAAGTTGGACACACTACACAAGTAGTTTTTACTAGACCTACTGTTAGCTTTGGGACACTGTGCTTTAAAATGACCTGTTTGACCACACAAATGACACGCATAGTTTGGTCTATCTCTGGTGTCTGGTCTAGGTGCATATTGCGGGGAACTAGGTCTAAAGTGTCTGGGTCTAGACTCAGGGCAACTGTCTTACCCGATGGGGTGGGTGGATGGGTCTTTGGGGCCAGTAACGTCTTTGAGGGTCGACGAGCAGCGAGAAAGCTTCAGTATCTGCAGCTTCTTTAGAAGTCTTTGGATCCCTCTCTTTAATCCAAGTACGAAGTTCCGGACTCAGGATTCTTAGGAACTGCTCCAGGATGATTGTATCTCCGATTTGCTCTTTGGTTTTGGTCTTTGGGTCCATTGTCCATTTGTTATAAAGCTCCTTCAGTCGGACCTGCAGCTCCTGCGGTGTCTCGTCGTCTCCCAGCTCCGATGAACGGAATCTCAGTCGGTAAGTCTCTGTGCTGATCTCGAACTTTTGCAAAACAGCACGTTTCACTTTGTTATAGCTCATAGTGTCATCAATGTCCATAGCAACATAGGCTGAACGTGCTTTGCAGTTAGGAGTGGTGCATGGCGGAGAGCCCACTCCTCATATGGCCACTGGCATGCATGTGCAATTTCTTTCAAATGTGCACAAATAATGTTCAATGTCCTCACCATCAGTGTACGGTTGCCTTTTAGGGCCCTTCCAGTTGTAATTTCTCATGGTGCTGGATTGCCTGGAATACATATGGTCATTATGAGAGCTCTGGTTGGAAGTTCCTCTGCTCTCAGGTCTTCTGGACCATCCATTTGTGCTACACGACTTTGTTGCACCTCCCGTTGGAGGTTGGAAATGTCTCTGCGCATTTTAGTCCATTGCTCATCTTGCTGCTGCATGAGTCGGTGTAGTAGACTTGACAGTTCATCCATGCTGTTGACCTGTGCTTCCGGTTCTCCACCGACTGCCCCCTGCTGGTTGTCCAGTGGATCTGTTCCTGCGTCAGCACAAGCCTTCTTCGGGTTTTGTCTGGTGGACATCATCTTCACTGCCTCCACTGGCCTGGATCCCACCACTGACTGCCACCAAATATGGGGAAGCTGGCCCAAGTGGTCAAAATGAGAGTCCAGTGCAAAGTTGTCCTTCACCAAACCAAATTCTTTATTGGATCCTTCCAAGTCGTGGCAAAATTATATACATATTTACAAAAAAGAACTGTGCTTAACTAAACAAAAGCAACAGAAAATAATGCAACAAAAGAAAATACCCACAGGCACCTGGCTGCACTGATGGTGACCTACCTACTGATTAAACTGCCTCTACTTATATACCCCCAGAGAGGAAGTCCCTCCCCTGGGTTCACACCAACTTACGGGGAAAACTGTAGCAATTTCCTTTCCTTACTGGTGTGCTGCCTTAAATTATTTTCTGAAGCCTAATCCTCCTTTTAAACTGAACAGTGCTCCAACTTAACTAGATAACACTGAAACCAAAATTCTAATAACCCATTTGATAAAACAAAGAACCATTCCGAGGCTTCCCTCCACATGGTCTGGGCCAACACCTCCCCCTGAGCCTATAAATATGGCTGCCAAAGGACACGCCCCCTCTTTTGTTCCCAGACCATGTGGAGTCACAGGTAAGGTGGTAAGTTTAAACAAAAATGGATATACCAAATAAAATGAATTTAAAGTAACTGTGTGAATGTGATCAGTTAAACAAAGACTAAATAAAACAAACCCGGGATAGTTATTATTTAGCTGTTTAGTTGATATAGATAGATGTAACTGAACTAAAGTGAAAAATGGGGACAAAGGCCCTCTTTGTCACAGTTCTATACACTATCACTAGAATCATTTGGTTGATTTCAGCCCTGGAAATGCCAATCTCTACTGAGCTAAAGGTGAAAGGTAGCTGTTAACTTGAAAACTACCGCATCATGACATCATAAGGTGGGACAGTGTCTGTGACATAATAGCATTCATTATTATCGCTAATCATGTATATTTTTTCACCAGTATATATCATACTTATTGGGACAGGCCTGGTGAAAACCTCTTCTTCTTGTGTTTTTAGTCTCATCCAGGGACAAATGTGACGGTGATCGACTTGTTCGACCGCAGCGCGAGTCTGGAGCCGATGTGGAAACAGGTGGAAGGATTCAAAGCAGCCATTTATCCCATAATGCAAAACGCAGCCGACGGAGTGCACTTCATCTGCTACTCTCAAGGTCTGTGCCATAGAAAACACTTTTGCGCTTCTTATCATGGTCAATGTCAGGGACTATTTTGTTATGAATTGTTATTTCGCTGTTTGTCCCTAAATCAAGATATGAACATTAACAACAGACCAATCTGGTGCCTGCTGTCCCAGCGGTCGCTCCCGCTAGCATTAGCTACAGGGGCACGTAACTTCAAACACCTTGCTCCTGATTGACTTTTTGGTTTCATGCTCAGGCAAAACCTAGGCATTAACAAGTGATTTCACTTCAGCCTTTGGTCATAGTTTTATGTGAAATGTTGTAACAGTATATTAAGTACATGATTGAAGCAGATTTTGTACCAGTTATATATAAAAGTATAATGGAAGATGGCTGTGGTAGATATTGTATAACACAGCCTTTACATTATTAGTGACCATTTCCCTTCATGTCCCAGAGTAATCCTTTCCTTTCTGTAATTAGAAGCTAATTCAGTCATGTATAATTGACAGGAGGCCTGGTCTGTCGCGGGATCCTGTCCACATTGCCAGATCACAATGTCCAATCCTTCATCTCTCTGTCATCTCCCCAGGCCGGACAGTACGGAGGTAGATTCCATTTAAGTTTTATTACTTTTCGTTATAACCCAGTAAGATGTGTACCATGCCCTTTTATTTAACTGTGTTTTCTTTTGTCAGACACAGACTACCTGAAGTACCTGTTCCCTCAGTTTGTGAAGTCAAACCTGTATCACCTCTGTTACACAGGCTTTGGACAAAGGATCTCCATCTGTAACTATTGGAATGGTGAGAAATGCAGAGAAATATGGTGTACAGTGTTATAGAGCTGTGCATATACAGAAATGGCAGAACTATGGACCTAATCTTAAACTCTAATCTAAAGGTCAAAACCCTTCAACATTAAAGCGTAACATTTCTAGTGGAGGGTCTGCCACCTGCTTGTCTCCATGGAAATCTTATTGCTTTGTCTGGAATGTTCCGCAGTATAGATTAAATCCATCTATAAAGAGGGAGACAAGCAGGTTACAGCACTACGCTACATTACAATTCAGATGTGTAGAGAGTCGTCTCTATTCACAGAAGGAATTATTGTATTTTTGATCAATAGAAACACATGTAATGAATAAATACTAGTTGGTTTAATGTCATAGCATGCAACATTTCAGGCAAAGCAATAGCATCTTCATGGAGCGAGTAGTAGGTAAATGTTGCGCAATGCACCTTTAAGATGATCTATTACTGTGACTATGTAGTTTTACTTTTTAGCTTGGATGAGTAATTAAAAAACACTGATTAGAATATCCAAAGTACATATAATATTTTTGTACAATCAGAGCATTGTACAAAGGAGGAGGATAAAATCTGCCAAAATCCCAGTGTAATGTTCTGCACTGGAATTAAAATTAGACCACAGAGCTACAGCAGAGTTGCTTAAAATACATATACTTATAAATACAAGTCAAAAACTCCTTATATTTAAGTGCTTGTCTTGTTTTCAGACCCTCACCACAGAGACTTGTACGTGAACAGCAGCGATTACTTGGCTTTGCTCAACAGTGAGAGGCCCAATCCAAATGCAACAGGTCTGAGCATACACACTTTCTCATGACAGTGCATATGACAGTTTTCATATTATTTATTATTATATGACTTGATTTGCTGGGATAGTACTTGTGTTAAATATTTATAATATTTTACATCAGATAAGTAGCAATTTGTGAATAAAATGGTTCAAAATTACAGGAAGTAGGTCTGGGTTCTAAATCGTAAACAGTGATTTAACTAAATAAAAGTGTAATTCATATTCATTTGTCAAATCATAATCATGTCATTTAGACACGCTTTGTCCCTTGTTAACATTATGGTTGCTAGGTTAAAGTTTTGAATTTCTTCTACTATCATCTGCTGCCCATGTCCAACCAGGAAGTGAAATTTTAAACTAAAATGACAAAACTAGAAAAAAATTGTCAATATCTTTAGTAAATTCTTAAATATAATCATGTAAACCACATTTTAGATAAATGTTTAGTCTACTAATCTGTCATAATACACTTTAAGTTTGAGGACCTTCAAAAATTAGACAGACCTGCTACTCTGAGTTAAATTATGTATCAGGTTTAGGCACGGTCTACTCAAGTGAAGCCTGCGTTTGAGTTTTCCTGTTGCATTTCTCTTTCAATCAGGTCTAAGTGTGTCTTGAGTGTTTGGTTTATCAATGATCCCAATATAATCTAAAAATTAAAGAATAACAATTGTGAGAATTACAGAAACTTGTTAATAGAATGATCCTAAATATAAAGATCTGTTTTAATTAGATCTTTACATTTACACATTACATCAGTTTATGTAAGCTAACTTCTTTATTTTATTTTTTTTTTATTTGTGTCCCAGACTGGAAAAATAACTTCCTGAAAATTAAGAAGCTGGTTCTGATTGGAGGACCAGACGATGGGGTCATCACTCCCTGGCAATCAAGGTAACTGTCTATCTGTGGAATACAAAATATGAAACTATAAATGATATATATATAGATACATACATACACACATACATACATACATACACACATACATATACATATACATGGAGGGTTCCATCCCAAATCCAGCACCCTGAGACTGTATGCAAGCCGGAAGGAAGGAGGCCGAGGACTAGTGAGTGTGGGAACCACTGTCCAGGATGAAACATCCAAGCTCCTTGAGTACATCAAGGACAAGGCCCCGACAGATGAGGTGCTCAGAGAATCTCTCAGACAGAGTGGGGTCCAGAGGAAGAGGTGCTGGAGGGACCATCATGGCAGGACAAACCCCTACATGGGGCGTACCACCGGAACATAACTGAAGTGGCTGATATCAAGAAATCCTACCAATGGCTTGAGAGGGCTGGTCTGAAGGACAGCACAGAGGCACTGATCCTGGCTGCTCAGGAGCAGGCCCTGGGCACTCGAGCAATAGAGGCCCAGATCTACCACACCAGACAAGACCCATGATGTAGACTGTGCAAAGAGGTTCCTGAGACAGTCCAGCACATAACTGCAGGGTGTAAGATGCTGGCAGGGAAAGCATACATGGAGCGACATAACCAAGTGGCGGGCATAGTGTACAGAAACATCTGTGCAGAGTATGGGCTGGAGACCCCAGGATCAAGGTGGGAAACACCTCCAAAGGTTGTGGAGAACGACCGAGCCAAGACCCTGTGGGACTTCCAGATACAGACTGACAGAATGGTGATGGCGAAACAACCAGACATAGTTGTGGTGGATAAGAAACAGAGCAGAGCCGTGGTGGTGGACATCGCAATACCAAGCGAAGGTAATATCAGGAAAAAGGAACACGAGAAACTAGAGAAATACCAGGGGCTCAAGGAGGAGCTGGAGAGAGCCTAGAAAGTAATGGCATCAATGTTGCCTGTGGTGATCGGCGCACTCGGGGCTGTAACCCCCAAACTGGAAGAGTGGCTACAACAGATAACGGGAAAAACAACAGACATCTCAGTCCAGAAAAGTGCAGTACTGGGAACAGCAAAGATACTGCGCAGAACTCTCAAGCTCCCAGGCCTCTGGTAGAGGACCCGAGCTGAATGAGGGTGAGAGAGACCTACCACCGTGGAAGGTGAGAAACACATTATTATTAGGGGTGTCAAATTATCGCGTTAATTGCGATTAATTAATTAATTACAGTCATATTTAGCGCGTTATGTTTTTTAATCGCGTTAATCTCATTTTTAATCTCTAACTTTACTGTTTCTGTATGCGAGTTGCTTTATTATAAAACCTGTTTTTACACACACACACAAAAAAAACACATTTATACATTTTTTTATTTCGGTAATCCCACTCATTGCCGGAAACCCACACAAAACGCGCGCAGTAAGAGTGATATAAACGTCATGTTAACGTTGGCGGCGTCAGGCACAATGGACGAGGTCGAAGAGCCAGTAGAACAGAGGCAGCAGTGCACAGGTAAAAACACATTTGTGTCTTGGAAATTATTCTCCCGACGTGAAATATAAAAGAAAATAACTAATATAATATCGCCTACAACTTAAATGTCACTGGTGAAAACAACCTGCATAGACTCATGATGTCTGCACTACTGTCCTATAGTGACTTGCCACATGAGGGGACACGCACACACACACACAAATACACACAAACACACACAAACACAAACATACACCTTCATCATCGTCATTAACCTGAGAACGCGCGGACCACGTGTCCTTCCGTAGTTACTGCGTGGACACCGACGTGCTCCCGTGCGCTGCTTGTGGATCGTGTTTTCTCGCGTACGCGGCGTAAACCGCGCTTCCTCCTGTGCGCCTCTAAACCAGAACTAACACCAAGACTAAAACCAGGACTTATCCAGTCCAGGTCTAAACCAGGACTAAACCAGGACTAAAACCAGAACTAAAACCAGAACTAAAACCAGGACTAAACCAGGACTAAACCAGAACTAAAACCAGAACTAAAACCAGAACTAAAACCAGAACTAAAACCAGGACTAAACCAGGACTAAAACCAGGACTAAACCAGGACTAAACCAGGACTAAACCCAGAACTAAAACCAGGACTAAACCAGGACTAAACCAGAACTAACACCAGGACTAAAACCAGGATTAATCCATTCCAGGACTAAACTAGGACTAAAGTAGGACTAAAGCAGGTCTAAACCAGGACTAAAACAAGGACTAAAACCAGTGATCTCATATATAAAGCATTTCTCTATCAATAATATTTTTAATATGGTTAAGGAAAGACTGGACTTTTTATTGTCTTTAAGTAGACAAAAGTTATTATGTTCAGATTTCCTCGTCTTTGCTACTTTACAGCAAACAGTTTCTTATTCATGGAGACTTGGGCTCAACAGCCAATTTGGGGAGATTTGTTAAACAATAAATGACTTTATAAAGTCACTTTTTTTTGTTCTATATCAGTCTTTTGATCTGCCACAATAATGCAATAATGAATTTAAATGAAAATACCTCAAATTGAAGGCTTTTCTCAGCAATTTTTAGGTGAGATTAAAATGAGATTAATTAGATTAATTAATTACAGATCATAATTAATTAATTAATCTCTCTTTTTTTTTATCGCATGACAGCACTAATTATTATATATATATATTAAATGTCCAGATACAGAGCTCTGTTTCTGGAATTTCATCTTGACATTTCTAAAATGTGTGTGCTTACTTACTATACTGTGCCTGACACTCACTATAAGAAATGCTATCTCACTGACTTTTATTTGAGGCTACTGTAGTTTGCTACTGTAGTTTGTGGACTTTAAAACCAATATAAAATAGATTATACCATGGTCAGTGATTTTAATGCTAACAGTGCATTATTTTTGCATTATAACTGAACAGGTACTTCTGGTAACAGTCAATCACTGTTATATATCACTATGCTGTGGGCATTATCAGAGCAATGGGTTAACAAATAAATCAAGAAGTTTATTTGGCATTTGTGCACACATTGGAATTCATGAGCAGGGCTCACAGAGATTCAAGTAAATGAACTGCTGTTAGGTTGACTGGCTTCAACTAAAACAGAAGTAACTAATGCAGAGAGCCAAAACTAACCTTGAAAAAGCTGTACTGATAGGCAGAAGGATCTAGGGTACACTTGCCAGTTACATAAAAGCCCTTTATTCCAAAATTGGATGCCTACATGTTTCGACCAAATAGGTCTTCAGGGCAGTGTAATGATGAGAACTGTTTGGTTGAAATGTGTAGGCGTCCTGTTTTGCATGTGTGCCTCGGATCCTTCTGCCTATCAAAGCAAGTTTTGTGTTGCCCTTAGTATATCTTCATATCTTTGAAGAGTACTTCACTACCTTTTAACAGTTTTCTGCACAGTTCCTGAACCAGTGAACCCAGTCACTTCCTTACCTGCCTTCTATAAGAGTAGAAATAACTAATGCATTGAACGTTCACGGACAGCCAAAATGGTTGTCCATTTTAAAAAGGACCATGGTATAAGTGGACTATAAACAACTCTGGGTAGTGCATTACACCATTTTAACGCAGTGTTCCTCATTGTTTAATCCTTACATAAAGGCCCTAAACTAAATTTGATGTTTTGATATGAAGATAAAAGATAATTTTTGAATATTGGTGTATCTACTGCTCGAATTAATGTTTGTGTACCTTGTGTCTTAAATGGATTTCATTTGGACTTGTTACAGTTTGCTGGCTCTAATCTGTGACCTTTAGGCTTATGAATAAAAACTGTTCACTTCATGATCATTAATGAAACCGAATGACTCTCATGTGCTTTTCTTTCAGTCAGTTTGGTTTCTACGACGATAACGAGACGGTGGTAGAAATGCAGCACCAAGATGTGAGTCAAAATTACACTGCAAAAAATGAATAAATTATACACAGTAATACATCAGAATATATAAACAGACTCCGTGACATAATCTTCACACCCAAATAATGAATGACAATAACCTATGTTTCTCTATTTTATGAGATTCCTGTTCCTGTCATGTTCATACTGACCCAAACGCACTACTCTCAAAGCCAATGCTCTCTGACGTCGACAGGACTAGTGACAATGTGAAAATGACCTTAAGGTCTGTTCTGGTCTGATTGGGCCCAGCCTGTGGCATATGCAGTATAGGTAAATTCTAAGGGTGCACTGTGATGGGACTGGCTCATTGATTCCTGAATGAGTCTGATCTTAAAGCTCAAAATCAAAGACCCTGGAAATAGTTAAGAATCATTTTTGTTCTACATTTCACAAGCTTTTGGCCAATCTTTATTTTTTGTCTCTTATTTATGAAATCACAAGCACGGATAGTTGATGAATCTCCCAGGGTTTCAAAATTACCTACAAAATTCAGGCATGTTTAATTAATGAACTAATGAAAGTTCTTGGCAAAAGTACCCAATATAACATTGGCATTTCCAGGGGTGGGGGTAGAGGGACCGTTTTATTCCACAATATATTTTTATTTGCATTCAATTGATAGTTTGCTGTCCTGGGGTAGACTAAAGAAAGTAATCTTTCCCACTGGTCCCACTGACCACCACCAATGCTTGTATTTCACTAAATACATACATTCATGTGTGTAATACAATACATGAATACAATAACAAACTGCTACTTTTACTTTATTATTATGAATCTGTTTTTATTAAAGATATATTACACAAAATTTAATCTTGAGTTGTGTTTAGTTTCATTCACACATTTGAGTAATCCTGGTCTGTGTACACCTCCAGAGCTCAAAATACTCTGTTCCACCTTGTGATGTCACATAGTGGTAGTTTTCAAGTTAACAGCTTCTTATTACTTTTAGTTCAGTAGAGACTGGCAATTCCATGGTTGAAAATATCCTTTGATATCTATCCAGTGATGCTAGTGAAGGTGTATGGAATTTAAAAACACAGTGGAGATCTTTTTACATGACATCACAAGGTGAAACAGAGTGTTTTCTGTTTGAGAGAAGAATTCAGCCTAAATATGCAGGGTTTGTATGTTAAACATGTGTGAATGAAACAAAACACAACTCCAGGTATGTTTTGATAAGGAAACAACATTATAACAGATAAAAACGTAGCGTAGCCTTTCTAAACCATCATATTCTCTGTTGCAGTTAAATGCTTTGATAGTTGGTATATACAGTTTTAACTTTTGATTTTAGCCACAGAAAAGACTTCCACAAACTGTTTCCTTTTTGGCACAAAAGCTGAAAATCCCATTACTTTAGTTACATTCTCTGTTTTTTTGCCTCATTTCAGGTGTATCTGAAAGACGTTTTTGGCCTGAAGACTCTTGGTTCCCGTGGCGACCTCATCATCTGCTCTGTGCCTGGAGTTGAACACGTTTGGTGGCATTCAAATGAGACGGTTTTCCACACCTGCATCGAGAAGTGGCTTGACTGAACAATACACAATCTATGGATTTACTACAGCAAAGGCAGCAGCAATGTAGTCTATATAAGGACAGTGTTTTAATCCATTCTATTTGTTTTTTTTTGTTGTTGTTTTTTTTTTTTTTTTTACATTTTTAGATATTTATTGTAAAACTGTCAGAGCTACAACTCAAACATATTTTTTAGCAGCAAGGTTTGAGGGAAAGAACATCCATGCCTTATTTTTATCATCTTGAAAAAGCACAAATAGTTGAAGTCTAATCGGGCAAGTGCAACACACAAATATTATGGCATCTGTAGGAAGGAAAGTAAATAAGGAAGTAAATGGTAACAAACAACAACATTTAAATTAAACTATATTCACCTCAACTATGTTAACTGTATTGTAGAGACTATAACTGGCATATCTTTTTGTTTTTAATTTGTGGAAAATATCTGTTTAGACCTGTTACAGATTAATAGTGGCAAAAGTGAGTTATTTGCGTGCCTGAAGGAGATCCAAAATTTTTACTTTTCAATAATATTTTTTTCATAAGTACTTTTTAATTGCCAATTGATTTTTCAGTATTCCCATTAACACACAGCTTTGGTCTTATAAAGAGCATCACAGGTAAATATTATTTTCCATGTAATTGGATTTTAAACACCAGTGGATTTATTTTCAAATAGATTTCTATATTTTAATTATAGTGTTCAGTGTCTCTCGTCAAAGTACCTCAGATCTCCATAACCCCTCAGTGCCTGATGTTTCTGAATTTGTCTAATTACATGTACAGAATAGACATAATATTACATGTTACATGCATATTTAAAACCAGTGGAACAATGGAAGAAACTGTATCTAATTGATGCAGTAGTTTTTAGATTGCCGCCTTTAAAAAAGCACATCTACCTTTTAGTGTCATATTTTTATATTTTCTGTATAGTGCTTTGGGGGTATATCATCCAGCTACCTGTATATCAGTAGAATCAGCCTTACATTTCCCCTTATGTGTCCCAGACAGAAGTGCTCCGATCGCTGCCTTCAACTGGTCAAGGATCATTGTTTACTTTTCTATCCATTTTGATGTTTTCCTCTTGTCAAATGTCCGGACTTGAAGCGGATTTGGGTTCTTCTAAATGTTTTATTTGTACCTTATATATCTTCTCAAAGTTTTTTGTTTTGTTAATGATGACGTGTTTTGCACATTGTACCGGCACATAAGAAGGGAAAAGACAGACAGTTTTGACAGATTTTTTTAATGCTTGTAACATAGTTGTGTTTGCATATAAGTCTTGTGACTCAAAGGGATAACTTTTCCAATAACAAATTAACAAGCTTTATAAAACTCAAACAGAAACTATTTTGCTACAATTTCTGTACAATTGTACCATTTCTACAATACAAGCAGTTACGGTGTCAAATTTGTCAAATCCTCAGTAAACGACAGTTTTGATCATCACACTTGTGTTGTTTATTGTCATGTTCATGTTAGACTGTATTATAGATACACTCAGGGCTGTACACTGTGTTACAGATAGTCTCAGTTTGATGCCTCATCATTATCATTGTCCCAGCTCCTCTTTGAGTTTGGGGTTCTGGGTGCAACACTTGCTCGCTCTTCATCATCACCGTTGTCCCTTTGCATCTCTCTGCTGGTATCTAAATCAGTCCATTGTAGTTAGTGTTGGTTATTATCAGCTCATTGTAATACAGATTAGTGTGATAGTCTTTAAAGCAGTGATTCTCAAACTTTTAATACCAAGTACCACCAAGATAATATTTGGGTTTCTGAGTACCAACAGATCTAGACTCAGACTCACATGTGTGAATGAAACAAAACAATGAATGAATGAATGAATGAAAAGCTCAAAATGCTATGTTTTGCCTTGTGATGTCATGTAGTAGCTACTTTTTACCTTTAGATCAGCAGAACACAGTGGAGCAGTTCCTGTATTACCACATGCCATCACAAGGTGGAACAGAGCATTTTCTGTTGAGAGAAGAACCTAAATATCCAGGGCGTAAGCATTAAATATGTGAATGACACAAAATATAACACATTCTGTTTGTGATGAGGAAACAACATTAAAACAAATCAGAAAATAGTGTAATATGGGCCTTTTAACATGATCAAAAATTATACTTAACAATGAATACAACAGTTCTGAATTAGTTAACCAAAAGGAAGGCAAAAGAATAGTAAGTAAAAAGGGCCATGACTACCAACACAGGCAGCCCATGTACCACAGTCTGTAAAACACTGCTTCGCACACTGTACAAAATAAGCAGAGAAGTTAATTATGCCTTGAACACTGGGAGAAGCAGGAGTTGCATATGTCCTCTTGCTTCATCTGAGACTGTTTTTTTTTTTCCTTCCTTAAAATGAGCTAATATTAATCTATACATTGTGTCACCATGGTATCTGCTGAACATTCTGCTATACAGATACATAGGACACCCCCATCATGATGTCACTGCAAAATATCAATAACCTTTATAGTGAAAAAGAGAGCAGAGAAGCACCTTGAACATTAGGAGAGGTTGAAGGAATTGCAGAAGATCTAAAGCTCCTTGGTAAGGGCAGGAGTTCCGAGATTGGCTTCTCTTCCCATGGTCCTCGTCATATTCTAGAATTAAAATAGAAATCGTCATCTCTGGACCTGACTGACAGATGATGGAGAGAGAAGTGGTGTGTGGGAGATTTTTTTGTTTGTTTTGTTGTATTGCTTTTCTCTATTTTTGTTTTCTTCATGTAAATCTCATAATTGAAAAAACATATATATAAAGAAAAAATGGAACCTAGGTTCTTCCATATTTTTTTAGAGGTGGAAGAATTGTATTTCTCAAAGTAGTTTTTGGAGTGAATATTCTTACTCCTACTTGAGTGATATTTTGTTTGAAGTAACAGTACATCTGTGGTCTATAACCTTTGGAAATACCTTTCATTATATATTGTTTTGTCCTTGCCAATTACATTACCTTAAATACATGAATCCGATTTTATGCTTACATTTACTGGAGTAGTAGCTTCTCCAATTTTTAAATCTAACTTCAATATTTTTTTGGACCACTAAAATACAAATTTATTCAGTTGGAATAAATGGAAGTTCCCCAACGTATGTTTTTTATTTGGTAAGTGGCGGCTTTCTGTGTCCATTTATACAGTATAATATGGGTGCATCTCATTTCTCTTTCCTTGCTTCTTTCACCTTGATTCCTCTCCTCAATTCTGCAGAAAATGGATGATGAAGTCCCACCCACAGAGGAGACATAGGGAGAAGAGAGGTGCAGAGGAGAGAGGCAGGAGGAGACACAAACTGAGGGTGAATGGGACAGTCTTTTCTCAGGCACTGTTTCTGGTTCCAAAATTACTTTATGAGGACTATACTAAGGATTATTTTATATTAGGGTGACCATATTTCTGTTTCGTGTGAAAACCCGGACACTGTACCAAGGGTGAGGGGCTGGACCTCAACAATGAGCTACTCTCACCTTGCAACCTGTGCACATGGCCTCCCACTTGTTCCGACCGGGATGGAAAACGGAGAACTTCTTGTACAAGTCATTGTTAAATGCGCATTTGTACTTTGGCATGTCGCAAACTGACCAGCTGTTTGTGTCTGCTCGCTCCTTCTGAGTGCACAGAGAGCTACAAGAGACACTCAATTTAATGGCCCCAAGGAACTGTAATGAAAACCCGGACATTTCTATCTCTTAAAAAGAAAAGAAAAAACCCGGACGCCCAGGACAGGAAAGGCAAAAAATTAACATGTCCGGGGAAAAATTGACATTTGGTCACCCTATTTTATATTATAATTTCAGGACTTTTAAATCAAAGTCAGACCAATGTCTTTATTTTAAAATAAATGTATTTTAACATGTTTTTTTTTAGTTTAATGACATATTAAGGATTATAATAATACATCAGTTTTATATAGCGCTTTTCTGGACACTCATATACTCTTTACAGAGCATTATTCATTCACTCCACACCTGGTGGTGGTAAGCTACTACTGTAGCCACAGCTGCCCTGGGGCAGACTAACAGAAGCAAGGCTGCCAATCTGCAACATCAGCCCCTCTAACCACCACCATCACACACCACTTTCATACTTGGCAATGAGGGTGAAGTGCTTTGCCTAAGGACACAACAACAGTTTTTACGAATGGCGCCCCCCTGTGGCACCTGATTTTCCCAGAGGTCTCTCATCCAAGTACTAACCACGCCCAGCCTTGCTTAGCTTCTGAGAGCTGATGGGATCAGGCTTTGACAAGCTGGTATGTAACATGTCAAACGTGCTTTGCTGCTGTCCCTATATTGTCCCTATTGTCTAAGTACGACAAAACAAACTCAGTTTAAATATTGTATCTGTTGGCGTGTTCCAATTTTGATGTTTGCCTCCTGAATCTTCTCTCAGGTTTCCTCATGGTTTCCTACCCTTGCTTCCTCTGAGTTTTGGGACAGCGCTAAATCTGGCGCATTTGACTGACAGCTGGAGGACCGAGGAGAGGAAACGAGGAGATGGAAACAAAGAAAGAGAAATGAGAGGCGCCGACAGTGATGATCAGAACCGCGGTTGCTACAGTCTGCTCAGTGGCCAGTAGAGTGCACTAAAGGGCACCGTAAGTGCAAAGCATGCTTCACACACATACGGTCTGAGTTCAAACAGCATAAGGGAGGGGAAAACGGGGTTATAATTCAAATCTATTTTATTATACTTTTGACACTCTATGATTTTGAAACATGCATATGATATAAGCGCAATGTTTTTTTTTTTTTTTTTTTTTTTTTTTTTTTTTTTGTTGTTTTTTTCTCACTGATTATTGCAATGTATTCCTTTGATTAAAAAAAAAAAGAAAAAGAGAAAAACTATATTCTGAATACCACCAAATGAAAAAGTAACTTTATCAAAATACAGGTACTCAGAATTAGTATTCAGAATTCATATTTTCGGTACATGTATTTAGTTACTTCACTGCACTGGGTATAATACATGTAAAAGCGTTATAATGTTCTTACAATAAAAATGCACTACAATTCCCAAGATGCCGCGCACCAGAAGCATCAGCGTTCAAACCGGATATGTGGCCGCGTCGCCCCGAAAAGGCCCTTTTCCGTCTCTGAAAAGTGTGGTGCAGAACGGCAGACACAAGTGAGTCAAAAAATTGCAGTTTGAAGCTTCTAAAGTTTGCCAAATGCGCCTTGTTCAGTTTTCGGGAATGTTTTAACATTCCGTTGAACAACGGGGTTTGAAGAAAGATTTTAAAATGCTCTAAATGTAGTGTTATGTCACAAAAATGTGCCACGGCGCGGAGCTTTAGCGTGTGGCTAACTGTTAGCACATGTGGAAGCGGCACGTTGTGGAGCCCTGCCTGTAGTTAGTGGTTTCAGAGTGTATTATAACATTGTTATAACGTACTTTATGGACCAAAAATATTAGAAATTCGACATTACCTCTCTTCAACACACACTTATTTATTTTTACGGGGTACACTGTAGGTTTAAAACTGTAGCGTACAACGCGCTAATGTCAATAGCTAATGTCAGCGGCGTCTCCTCAGGCCTAGTGCTCAAATGAAGGTAGTTTAGTGTTGACAAATTGTAATTTCACGCTGACCCTCACTGTTGGTTGATTTCCTTTCCCTGCATTTTCTTTCCTAGTCGTTTTAAATTTATTTGGTGCACAGCCCGTTTGTTTCTATAGCCTATGTACACGGAGTCTGAGGGGATCATGACATAAATGTTACTTTTTCAGTGGCTGACTGGGAGACCGCTCCGGCCGTGGCTGAGACCCCTGAGATCAAGCTGTTTGGGAAATGGAGCACAGACGATGTTCAGATCAATGACATCTCTCTCCAGGTAAATGATTCTCATATCCTTAAACCTATCTTATTATTCTGATTCTGAGGCTAGAGTCACTCCTGGTCATGCTGCTGTTGTCCTGGTGTGCTAGAGCTCTTGTAAAGTCAATTCTTTGCTTATTCATTGACTGTAGTGCTGATTGTGGCCCAGTCAATCACCTGCTCAGATACAAGTGAATTTGTTTTAATATGACACTTTAAATTTGGTGTAAACCAACATTTTGTCCACTGAGGCTTATACGATTAGATCTGACATTTTTGTCATTTTATAATTGATATATTGTTCTGTAATACCTTTTTATATTGTAGAGTATGGTGAAATTTTCTTTAAGGGTTTGAGGTCAAAACTTTAAAACTGATTACAGCTGGAAGCTTGTAATTCTGAGGGAACAATTTTGTCATTTGTAGCCTAGCAAAGAATCAACCTGACATTTACTTAATGGTACACTATTACGTTTCTGTTGGAGGATCCACCAGTTTGTCTCAACGGGCATGTTCTTTGCATGGAATGTTCCACATCATGGTTACCTGCTATGCATTTATTAGTAGTAGTAGTAGTATTTTTAATTGTTGTAAAATAAATTCAGAATGTAGATTCAGAGGGTTACCTCCCCACAACCTGACCAGTAACTTGGACTGATGGGAACACCCCCTTGTGAAATACGTTAAATGCCACACTATGGAACATTACAAAGAAATCTCATCTCCATCGATACAAGCAGATGCAGATACAGGCAGAAAGTGTACTTTTAACTGAGTAACTGATTGTTTCTGAACCTATGATCTGACCAGTGTGTATATTTGCATTAATCTCCCCTCAGGATTACATTGCCGTGAAAGAGAAGTACGCCAAATACCTGCCCCACTCTGGAGGCCGTTATGCCGCCAAGCGTTTCAGGAAGGCTCAGTGTCCGATCGTGGAGCGTCTCACCAACTCCATGATGATGCACGGACGCAACAACGGCAAGAAACTGATGACCGTCCGTATTGTCAAACACGCTTTTGAGATCATCCACCTGCTCACCGGAGAGGTACTGGACAAACATGTAGAGCATTTAGTGTTTTTATTTTTCCATCTGCTACAGCTTGTGAATGCTTTGATTCGTCTATGCTCATGTTGCAAGAATTTTAATACATTTTTGAACATTATTGACTATGTTGAAAACTAGGAGAGTCTCAAGCCTGAATATGGAAGAAAGTGTATTTTCTGTAAAATCCTGTCTAATTTGTCAAATGTAATCTCTGGACATTATATGCTATGGATATTTATTTTAAATAAATTAAACCATTTTATCCCTAGTATTGGCTAATTAGTAGAAAGTATCAAAACAAAGTCATGAATTTTAGGATTTGTATATTGTGAATCGAGGCTAGAGTCACGCCCTGATATGTGCCATTGTCCTGGTGTGCTAGAGCTCTCGTAAAGTGAAATCTTTGTTTATTCATTGGCTGTAGTCTATCTGTGGCCCAGTCAATCACCGACTCAGAAACAACCCACCTCAAATAGTGTAGTTATTACAAAATATATAAATATTTGTCTAGTAGTAAATTAAACATGTCGTCTTTTCCTCCTCCAGAACCCCCTGCAGGTTTTGGTGAATGCCATCATCAACAGTGGACCCCGTGAGGACTCCACTCGTATCGGACGTGCTGGTACTGTGAGGAGGCAGGCTGTGGATGTGTCCCCACTCCGCAGGGTCAACCAGGTAATGCATCCAACATGGAATAACTGGATTTTAGATTGTGTATTCATGAAAAGAAACTTACACAGGAACATTTTAAAACACTAGATTTTTCTCTTGTGCATTTAACACGTTTTTAAAGTTTTGACTTTACATTCCAATGATTTTTTTTTTCCATAACATCTAATCAATTCCAATAATCTTGAACAATTAGTTTAATTTTTAAAATTATCAACCACTGTGACGCTTCACCGTGTGGCCACTAGATGGCAACAAATCACCACGAACACTAGACATCTATTACTGTAAGCTATAAGCAAAATTTTCACTGATTTAGCTTTTATTATGAAACATTTCTTATTGTTTGATAGTGGCTTGGCATTTAGAGAATGTAAAGCTAGATATATTATATAAGTATAAAAGTTTAGAATTTTGCATGTCGTTTTTCAGAAAGTGTTAAAATCGAGGCTAGAGTCACGCCCTGATATGTGCCGTTGTCCTGGTGTGCTAGAGCTCTCGTAAAGTGAAATCTTTGTTTATTCATTGGCTGTAGTCTGTCTGTGGCCCAGTCAATCACCGACTCAGAGACAACCTCCTTACAATATAATTTCCAATGGAGCGAGTGTTTGATTCCTCACTGCGTACAATATAATAAATGTCTTATTTTATTCCAGGCCATCTGGCTCTTGTGCACTGGAGCAAGAGAGGCTGCTTTCAGAAACATCAAGACCATCGCTGAGTGCCTGGCCGACGAGCTGATCAATGCAGCTAAGGTAACGATAATTCACTTAGAAAGGAGTTATTACTGTAGATGAAATTAAATCTGAAGGATGAGAACTGGAAACAAGGTGGGGGCTGCTGTTACTGTATGAGATGCAAGCTTCTATGAGGGTTAGGGCTGTAGTCGACTAAAGACAGGCCCTGTTCATTAATTAAACAAAAGCTCTCGAGTTTAAGATGTTGCACAATTTTGAATGGAGAAGTATTGGTAAATGGCACCTTCATGAGTGAAAAGATAGTGTCTAGTATCCGAAGTATCAGCAAATAATTGAATTGAAGAGGAATAATGTACCAGAGTTTCAGAAACATGGCTACAATGGGTCAACTAGAAATCGACATATTAAAGCTAAATCTTTTATGAAGGCTATTTGATGTTTTTTGATTGCCTAATTTCTAACTCCAATGTTTATTGCCTCTCTTCCAGGGTTCTTCTAACTCCTATGCTATCAAGAAGAAAGACGAGTTGGAGAGAGTTGCCAAGTCCAACCGTTAAAAAACTGTTCAATGCTTTCTACAACAAAATAAATTTGAGGAAAATTGTATGAGACTGTTGTTCTTTGCATATCTATTATGAGATTTTTGTACAAAAAAAATCCTTAAAGCAAATGATGCTTTGAAAAATCTTTTATCGTGCCAGGTGAAGTTTATGTTGTGTTTGGCAGTTGATCTTGAAAGTGAGCAGCTAATAGACTGTAATCCTTAAAGGCCCTATATTACACACAATTGACTCTTGTAAGCTTTGCCACCTTTTAGAATTGTTACCGCATCATAAACCTGCAGTTTTGTTTTCATTTATGTTTGACTAATCCTTTTATTAGTCTCTACATCTCCAAAGCTCAATTCTCTGTTCCACCTTTTCATGTAGTTGCAGTAAACTGCTACCTTTCTTTATTTCAGCCTATTACAGCCTAAATATGCAGGGTATGTGTGTTAAAAGTATTTGAGGTATGTTTCTGATGAGTAAACATAAATCGGATGAAAAAAATTGCATAATATGGGGCCTTTAATTGTGGATAGACCATGAGTTAATGCCACCTACTGTGTGTAGAGGTGATGACACTAAAATCTATTGTAGTAGTTTGCAAGAATATAAAGTTAATAGTACTTGTTTTCAGTCACATGTTCTACCAGATTTTATGCATTTAGTTTTGACCCTACAATTTAAATTCTAAATTGGATCAGACAGGCATTTGTTGGACCACCACTTTGTGCTTATATTTTTGACAGTATAAGTATAAATGTTGGAATGAATTCAACTAAATGGTGAATAAAAATCTAGTGAAAATAAAAGTTAAATAAGTGTATATATATATATATGAAATTAAGAAATATAAAAACAGGCCTTTTAATCTCTAGAATCTGATGCATTGATGTGTAATTGCATTTATTAATTTACACATTTGTATTCACCATTTCATTTTATACATTAATACATTCAAACATTTATTCTTGTATTTATTTCCAATTTTGTCATTTTTAGTTTTCCATACAAGTCTACATATATATGAAAAGATGTTGAGAACAATGTTTATAAAAGCAGCTTTTATTGACAGACAGTACATAACTATACACAAATATATGGTGTCTACAATTCATATAAAGGAGGCTACAACCATAGTGAAACAATTGCATAGATAAACAAAATTACAACACTTTAAAAACTGATTGAAACAGTTTAACATAGTGGTAATAATACTGTTATACGCAGCCCTGTACAGTAGGACAAGAGTGGTTTTGTTGATGTGGAAAATAGTCAGAACAGGTCATGAATTTTCCCTTGAGTAAACCAGCCTGCAGATGTTAGTTGGACTTCCCATAGTGTACCGTAGAGTCATAGTTTCCCTCAGCAATAAATAGAAAAGAGCGGAGATAGTTGAATTTTGGGCTTGGATTATAAACCTGTTTTTTGTTTAAAAGAATGAGTGTTTTCTGTTGATGAGGAGGCAGAGGGATGACAGACACGCGCCCAATTTAGAGGCTTCGCTGCAGGCCGTGGGCAGCAGAGTGTAGTCCTGCAGCTTCTGGAAGGCCTGAGGGCAAGAGAGAAACATGGTCAAAACAGCAAAGAACAATTAAATCAATGTTACAAGTACCTTAAAGGGTCCATATTGAGCTAATTTTGGATCTACATTACAATATTGTTTCTTCAACACAAATATATCAGGATTTTTTTTTTCTTTCTTGCCCATACACATTCATTAGAATCAACTGCCACTCTATACTGAACAAAAGGTAAAAGGGAGCGGTAACTTGAAAACTACCACTACATGACGTCACAAGGTAAAACAGAACATTTTCTCCAGGTATGTTTTTTAATGAAGGTAACCACATTATAACATGGCCTAAAGCTCACAAGAGTCAGTTTTGTGTAATGTAGGAGCTGTTTAACTGTCAGATTGCAGATTTGTTGACCTGGTCTATGGTTAATTTCTATGTTATGACTAGGCCTATGAAATAAAACTGTTAGAAAGTGTCTTCTTGTTAGTATAAATAAAAGATTTTGAAAAGTTGTGTGACTGATATCTGTCAAATTGCAGGTGTTGAATGTACATATTTGAAAATGATTTTTTAAAGTACCTAGCCTGCCTTCTCTATTAACTATTTTAAAACAATTTAAAGTATTTCACAATTTTTAATCAATCAAATGTATATCACTTGAACTGTTTTTCACATGAAATTGCCCCCTGTTGAATGTCCTGCCAACTCCTCAGTTGTAAAAGTAATATCTATTGTACACTCACAGCTGTGCTCTCTGGCGCCTCCTCTGTCGGGCGGTGGATCAGGAAGTCTCGTTTGGATGCTCCTTTGATGTAGATGCAGTTTGCGGCGGCTTCCTCTGGGACAGTCAGGATCTCATAATGATGGTCTGTCAACTGCTCCATCATCTGCACAACACATGGAGCTCAGAGAAACAAGGGCAGAAACATCTGGATACAGAAACTACACTTCCACTTTAGTCCTGCATGTAGACTTTGTTTGCGTCCTGTTCTAGTCCAGGTTTAGTACATCAGGACTAAACCTGGACATTTGATTTGGTCAAATTCTAGTCCTGGTCTAGTCATCTGGCACTTGGATTTTAAAGGAATAGATTAAAATTAAACTGTTGTAGAATATTTAAATCAAATTGAAATCTTATCTTCATATAGTGTCTGTACCAGATCAGCACCTGCACCTAACATTTTGAGTGATAAGACCCTATTTTCTTGCCTCACCCTGAGCGTCTTCTTGGCCCCTTCACTGTTGCTGAAGACGATGGTGTCAGGACCTCCCATTGAACAGATGTTTTTGAGTCTGGCTCCTCCACAGACTGGGACCGTGGACACTGCAAAGTCCTGCACAAACACACACAGAGTGACAATGTAAATACAATATTTTGACTAATGTTGATTTCAGCAATGAACAAACAATAATAAGGACTAAACATCATTTTGTCATTCTACTCTTCTTGCTGTCAAAGACGTGGTAAACTTCACACCTACCTGCTGGCTGATTATATTGGTACATGTCATGATAAACATTTTTCATGTGTTATTTGTGTTTGTTTAGCTATAAAGTTCAATAGAGAAGCCACCAACCATTTTCTTCAACTATGTAAACTTATAGCTTGGTCTGTCACCATAACACAGTTTGAAATGCAATGTAGTACTGAAGAAAATATATTGATACTTTACATTGGGGGTGTTCTACATGTGTCTCTATGATGGAATGTTCAGCGGTTATCATGGGGACACAATGCACACATTAGCAAACACTGTTTAAAAAGTTTTAAGATGGTCTGAAAACTCAAAAATGAAAAAATACTAAATGATTTAAACAATAAATTTTCAAAAGCCTTTGATCTATTAGAGTGAAAAAGATGAGAGTGACTACTGGTAACTGAAAAACTGTTGAATGTAATGTTATGTGTGAGAGATCAAATACATAAAGATCACATTAAAGTATAACACAGCTTCGGACAGAGCAGTGCCTACAGTTGGCATCACACCATCATGCAGGGAAAGCATACTTACTATACACATAGCCTGAGGTAATTTGATTCAGTACCTCCCTCTCACATTACTCACATAAATGAGAAATATCTTATACAAATGAAGTGCCAATAATGACCTTCCTCCTGTGTGCACCGGCCCTCTCTGACCACACTGCCACACCCTTTGGCTCTGATCCAAATAAAAGCCTCAACCACTGTTGCTAAGTGTCCGAACAACACCTCAGGGACACAACACAAATCAATATTTATGAGTGAGTGTAGACCTGGAGCTCCCACAATGCATCTGTCAAGTGCCTCTGCTTCTTCTATGGGTATATAAAGGGATGATGTCATAACTCTACTTCCAAGTCCAATGGAAATCCAGTCTCATTCAGTATCATAGCATTTTGGCAGATTTTAACTTACTTTTGTGCAATGCTGTTTTAAAGGTGTACTGTGGACATTTTTGAGGGAGAGTCCAAGACCTGCTTGTCTCCATAATATTAAAGATTCATCTGTCTGTCTTGCATTGTAGATATATTTAATGCTCTGATCTGTAAGTTGGCCTGGTGGTGCCATCAGATTGTTTCCATGGAGATAGTTACAGTGGAACATTCCAGGCAAAGCAATAACATCTTCATGAAGAAAAGCAGACAATGGGCCCTTCACCAGAAAAGTTACATCATGTAGCTTTAAACTGTTTGACTGCATATAAATAAACATACTCTGGTCTTTCTCTGGAGATGCTTTCCAGACACAAATGATCAAATTATTTATGTCAACTAAATCTGTGCTTAAAATAAATATGCTAAAAAACAAAACAATTTGTCAGAATACAGGCAATGTTATTCAGTATGACACATTTTCTATCCCTTGAGATGTGTTTAATTCATCAAGTCTGTTACACTGTTTGAACCTATGGATGTCACATTTAAAGAAGACATATGGTGCTGGTGTCTACTCTATAATTATAATCTGTGACACCCCATGGATCATTATATGATCCAAAATGACTATGCAACACTGCAGAATCCAATCCATATGACAGATTAAGAAAATAAAATTGAAGAAAAATGAAAGTGCAGAGTAGTGGGTGTATGACAGGTGGAGGTGAAAACGAGAGTTAATCGGCAATATGGTGTCTTGAAAATAGGCGATTAAAGATTGCTCAAATATGCACAAATCACTCCAATTGATTTTGCATAATAGGTTAATTTTAACACTATTAGCCTTATTTATCATTAAAGACTACAGTTCTCTAAATGCTTTGCAGAGAAAGGCCACTTGCTCACCCTGGCAGCTGGGAGAATTAGAGAAAGAGAGAGAGAGAGAGAGAGAGAGAAAGATAGACAGCCAATGCAATTTCCTGCATTCGCTTAAAACTATTGATCTGAAGGTAAGCTCTTTTGTTTGGCAGCTGAGGCAGAAATGTAAACTGTGAACAAATCTGATTTAAGTATTGACAAGTCAAACAAATGGACAGAGAGCAGCTGACGGAGTTTAAAATGGGATGGGCCTACATGCAAAGCTGTCTTGTTTTACTGTCATTACCCAAGCCAATTGGTGAACCATTGAGGCTCTCCTGACTATGAAGCTGGGAGAGGTAGGTCCCTGCACTTTGCCCCATTGGCAATGAAGGATGGGTCAAATGCAGAGGACAAATCTTAAGGACATGTTTGTATTGTAATGTCTACAATGTGCAAGACTTCAGAAGTAGTTTATCACATATTTTAGAAGCTATGTGATAGGACTAATTGAAGTCATGTTTTAATTTAACACTGAGTTCAAATTATATATTTATATGTATATGTATATTTATTTATTTTCATGTTTAATGAAATCATTATATAAACTAAAGATTACATCCTACAATCACTTAAAATTTGAAGATTCACTGATCTGAGGATGACTATGAATTGGGCTATAATCTAATGCTAAAGGTTAAAACAGTCCTATTATGCAAAATCAAATTTGCAGTTTTTAACCGTGTTATGGGTGTTTCCCCTCACTCTGCCCAAGTTGTATTTGGAGTGATGTGTGCATGGTTGAGCAATCTTCAATTGCTTATTTTCAAGATGCCATAGATGATGCAAATCAACCCACATTGAAAAATGCCCACTGCTCTGTACTGACTTCATTCTCCAATTTTATTTTCTTAGTCTGTGATAGGACTCAGGAGTGTTGTGTAGTAATTTTTTCCAAATGAAAAAAAAAAAATCTGTGGCTCGCTAGTGTGATCTACAGCTAGCCACAGAAGGGGCTGACAGCTACATGACTCTTTGTTGTGATGACGTTTATGGCAATGTCAGCTCCCATTGGGCACCACATTTTTCTAGTAAAGTCAGCGGATTAGTTTCTTTTATTAAGCCGTTTTAGATGAATATGTGTGTTTATCAAGATATTATTGCTCAAAAATACCTTGATAAAACATACATTCTAACTGTAAGTGGGGTCGCCTCTCCACAGATCTGAACCATAACTTGAGCTAGTGATGAAATTCAGTCCGGTAAGCAAATCTAAGACCTTGTTGCTGTGAGGCTTGTACGCTAACCACTCTGCCGTACTTCCTCTCATCACCCTCCTGTCCCTCGTCTTACCCTGAAGGTGTCTGCAAGCACTTCGGCCCCCCTGCGGTTGGTGTGGGACGACACTCCCACAAAGAACTCTCTCCCAGTGAATAGGACATCACTGCCCTCCAGAGTGGCCCCTCCAGAGCCCCCCTCTTCCTCCCCCATCTCCACCACCGTCAGGCCCAGCTCAGACAGGACGCGCCGCACCGCCTCTGCCTGCAACACACAACCAGGACACTGTTGTTACTACACTCATTTTTACATTTACTCCCTCTCTTTTATTCTTTATTTTCAGAGAAGGAACAGCAGAACCGAAGTGCAGCTATGTTATCTAGATAAGCATCTAGAAAATCAATTTGCAGTGACATCACGCTGGGGGTGTTCTACATGTATTTCTATGATGGAATGTTGTTGTTGGCATGGTGACACAATGCACACATTAGCAAACACAGCTCAAAAAGTTGTTAAATCATTTATAGTCTGAAAACTCAAGAAAATTATGTAAACAACACATTTTCAGGAGTCTGTGACCCACACGACCCTTCACAGTCCAGTTAAGGAGCTGAGAGTGCTGACAGTGACAAATTGAAACTGTTGGCAAATGCTCGCTATCAACTGTAATGCTATTTGAGAGGGACTTGTTTAATATTATAAATCAGATCACCTGTTGTAGTTCCAGCTAAGTCAGTTCTTTCTGGTCATATTGTGTTAAAACAAAAGTCAGATTAAAGTCTAACAGTACTTCAGACAGAGCAGTGTTTTATCACACTCACAGGGAATGTTGATGACATCAGCTGCAAGACCATTCTAAAACGTTTTGTTATCACTTTCAGTACTGATACCTGATCAAATGCGCAACTAGTTTTGATTCTAGTTTTCATATTGATTACTGGCTATTGATTTTTTACCTTATTGTTACTATGGGGGAGTTCACACTAATAGCACTAGCAGCATTAGGAGCCGCCCCCTTGTCCCAGACAGATTAAGTGCATTATGTTTGGGATTATGTGGATTACCTCAGTGCGCCTCTGCTGTTTGTAGGGTCTGGTGATAAGGGCCGTGTCCCCCTGGATTACCACCACATCTTCGATCCTCCAGCTCTCAGGGAGGTCCGGGTCTGGGGGAATCTCAATGAGCTGTAGACCCACCTTTAGAGAAGACACAGGTGTTAGTGTTATGATTAGGGGGAGGAAAAAGACCACGATATTAAGTGCATATGACAGGTTATTCATTTCACTAAAGAAAAAAAATAATAATTCTAGTTTTTAGGGAAGTTTATAATTTTACATTGTGGTTGGGCAGAGAATTACCTAGAAACCATAATGTTAACAATGTTTTTTCATTTTAAGGATTTTTTAAATTTTATTTTAGAAAGCACCACTACTTCCTGTTTTTTTGGGGGAGTTTTTTTTTTTTTTCAACTTTTCCACAAACTGAGTTTGATGTAAACCTATGAGCAATATTTAGCACAGGTACAATCCCACCAAACCAAGTCATAATTGGAAAAACATAAAAACCTGTCATATGATTATGGACAACATGACCAACCAAACAACAGTGACAACCTTGATTGTCTTTCATTTCTGTTACATGACCTCCTTTATGAAAGAAAACTTTCTGAATGATAGAGTTTAGGTGACATAAACAGCCAGATAAAGAAGCACTTTACAGTAATTGTCTTAGTTCACCAAAAGTCGACAAACTATTTTACTAGATTATAAGGATTTATATGAACAGCAGAAAGGAGTGCGCTTAATAAGCATTTTTACATATAAATACATTGTTTCCTAGTACTTTTCTGCATACAGCCCTACTGAATTTTGCTTCAGAAATGGTCACAATTTAGCTCTTACGATTATACTGTGATCTTAAAAATCGCAATTATTGTTTTAACTTGCAACATCAACTTCTCTACCAACCTTTTGTCTCAAAGCTCCCGTTAAACAGCCGAACTGACGCTGAGCTTTGGCCAAGTCCACACTCGCATCGCCATTTTGCTCTCCATTCTGATGTTCATCATGAGGGGCTTTCCCAAAGGATTCTGGGATACCACGGACGACGGCGTGGGTGAAGCGGCCGTAAGGACAAATGTTCGCCATGGTGAGAACAGTTGAGGTTCAAGTGTCGGGGAAAGTTTGTGTATAAAAAGGCTATCCAAATTAGGACACAAGTTAAATGATAAATGTCCAGTTATTCAATGTTTGGTCGAGAAAATTAATTATTTGAAAGCCCAGGACATCCTCAAAGTAACGGCCGGTGTGCCTCAGCTACATCCAAAATGATCCTACAAAGAAGAAAAGAACAAACATTATTAGGAACTGCATAAGCTTCTTACTTGTTTGTGTCTACCTAGTTCCAACACAGAGCCTCAAAAATGCCCATTACTCACTTCAGGAAACTGCACATATTAAACTTGTTTTCAGAAAGTCTCCAAAACAGGCTGTGTAGAATGATCTGTAACAAATTCCACAGATGTCTAGGCATGTAATATCCATATCTCACAATTCAATATATTGTCTGCATGAATGTGTATAGTGGAATGTTCAGCAGTTACCATGGTGACACAATGCACACATTAGCAAACATTGCCAAAAAAAAGTTTAAGATCATCTGAAATCTCAAAAAAAAAACAACAAAAAAAAAAAACAACAACAACAACTGACAAACTGAAAAGGTGGGCTCAGGCTACCTAGCTTGTGACGATGATAATTGATAATTTTATGTGCAAGAGACTCAAGAGACGAGTTAAATAGTCTAACAAAGTCTACCACAGAGCATGCCTACAGTTAGCATCACACCCCATGTTGGCGACATCATCAGCAAAGTATCAATTAGCAGTATAGTATTCACCTCATAGTACTGGAGGAGTGAACGAGTATTGGCATTTCTTTACAAACCTAAACTTTCATATCCATATTGCTGTTTCACATGATCCTGCCTGTTTTGAATGACTTTTACACGACTTAAAAAATTGGCAATTCCAACGGCTTCAATTTGAAATCCACTGATATCTCGTAATCTTGTTAAGTTTAAAATGTGCACTATGATTTCAAAAAATAAACTGCAAATGTAACTACAATATTCAGAAATAAAATTCCAATCAACATTTCTTTCAGTGACATTCCCTTGAGCCATTGCCATTTACAGCCAAAGTCAGAGCTGCTGGTTTAATTATGAGGCTGCTTCAGGACATCCTGTGTGGAGGAGGTCCAAGTCCCCCTCTCCTGCCTCTCGGTGGGCTCCCACTGTGAGCCCGAGACCCTGACAAAAGACTGATTGTCCCAAATTTGAGATGGTACACACATGGAGAGAAAAGCTGTTTGACTTTAGATAAAAGTTTTGTAATTGTCATCAGATTCAGTTTAAAAGGTAGCATTCTGCTGAGAGACAGTGCACATTGTAAACAACTAACAGTTTTTTTTGTTTTGGTTCAATAAAAACACAGATATTTTGTTTACAGAGGACATTTTATTACCTAAACAATGGCACTCTCTGTGATGATAGGTGTGACATAGTGTGCAGCCCTAATGGAGAGGTGACTGCTCTAAAACTAAAATGAAATGACACATGATTCATTCACTTGTCCTTGAACTTTTGGGGCACTCAAACTGCGAGATGAAATGTAAATAATACGAAATAGACCACCGTTTAAGCAGCATGTTTGGCAACAGCATCCCACATAATACTTCAGTTAAGGTAAAAATGTTCTGCAACATTCCTAAACCAAAACTAGACTAGTGGGGCACGGGGGGCAGTGTGTTCAAGAGCTTAGGGCTGACCACAGAGAAGACCCTGTCCCCCCTGATTTTAAGTCTCATTTAAGGCACCACGAGTTGGAGCTGGCCCTTGGACCTCTAAGCGCCTGCAGGAGAGTAAATATGGATGAGGTCTGAGATGTATTGTGGGTCCAGTCCATTCAAAGCTTAATAATATCAATTAAATCTCATTAAAATCTTAAAATCAATTCTAAAATTAACATGAAGCTAGCGCAAGAATTGGTTTGATATACAGTGCTCTTGTTTTTTGGTTCCTGTAAAAAGTCATGCCACTGAGTTCCAGACAAATGGCAGACGGGAAAGTGCGTAGCTGTAGTTCAGACTTGACTAAATAAAAGCGTGTATAACCAGTTCAAAGAGATTAAAAGATAAAAAACAGTTTGACTTATATTGCGCAAAACTGACTCAATGTGAGCTTTAAGTCATGTTATAATGCTGTTACTTTGTCAAAAACATGCACAGAGTTGTGTTTTGTTTCATTCACACATGTTTGAGTAAACCTTTATTATTAGTTTGTCTAAATCTCCAACATGCCGTTCCAACTTATGATGTCATGAAGCTGTAGTTTTCAATAGCTACCATTTTCCCTTTGTTTATTAGTGATGGGAAATTCCTGAAATTATCTAAACAATAGGTATTAAAAAACATAGTGGAGCACCTCCTGTAATACCACATGACATCACAAGGTGGAACTGAGTGTGAGAGTGAAGATCTCTGCCTAAACATGCAGGATTTGTGTCTTAATGTGTGTGAATCAAGACTCCACATATGTTTGCGATGAGGAAACTACATTATAACATCAGAAAAATAGTGTAGTAAAAGCCCTTTAAAAGTTTTGTGTCCCGAGATGTAAATCCAAGTAAAGCAGTACTCATTTCTTACATAAAATACACTTTAAAACGAGATCAACAGTAATATTTGACACAAAGAATATCTCCAGAAAATGAGAGGCAGCTCATCGACATTCACTGGGCAAAGGGCATCTCCTCTAATCAAATCAGAGCACATTTCCAGCATCATAAATCCTTAATGGACTCTACTTTAAAGTCACAAATGAATACAATCGTTACTAATAATAACATCTCCTGGTTTAGCATCTGATGGGTGATGCCTCTTGTTGTTCTACTTTTCAAATTAAGATAACAATTTTCATTCTCTAGACATAAAACGACCCATGCAAAAGTAATTTAACGATTTGCACTTGATTGAACTCACGTTTGTCCTTGTCTAAATTATTGTTTACGACTCAACATGGCCCTCGCATCTATTTAAGCTAAATTTAGTACAAAAACAGCATAAATCTCAGTGCACCACCCAAGCAGCAACAACAATCCAACGTCTCCAACTCTTCTACTGATGATGTGCATGAGTTAAACGAATGAAAAGTAGCATGAAACTGCGTCAGAAGTAGTGCAATAGTCGTATATGATGTTAAAGTTTGTGTTTTTACCTGTTTAATTAGTCGCAGTCTGGTGAGAGCTCGTGTTTTTTGGTTTAAATCCCGATGCGTCCCAGTTGTTCCCGTTACTCCGCCGCTCTGTTTCCTCTCACCGGAAAAGTGCGAGTAAAGCCCAAGAAATACCAAAACTGACATCCGGTTAGGCCTTTCAAAATAAGAGCTTCAATTATAGATTCTTTTTGGTTCTTTGATATGTGAGACATTACTTTTATGTGTTGAAACAAACAGAAGAATCAAGATATATATAATTTACTCGAGGCTACAATTCATAATATGTACATATTAGAGCTCCTTATTTTGTCAGTAAAAACTAAATTACACTATTATTATGGTTTTTCATTGAGCCTGGTTTTGAGATAACATCACGGCATTCTAACATTCTAAAGATCTGCATGTGCAAACTATAGCTCTGGGACCAAATGCGGCCATCCGATTTTTTTTTTTTTTATTTATTTATTTTTATTATTATTTTTTATATATATAATTTATTTTATCTTATTGTTTTTTCTCGTAAATTGGTTCTAAATTACAATAAACAGCTGTATGCCTACTTTTCTCTGCATGCTACCTTTAAAAGAAAACCATACATTTTAGAGGTTCTATTGAGGTTCTAAACGTTTGCAACTTTTTTTTTTTTTAGTTTGCTTAGTTACAAGTTTCATCATAAATAATACAGTCATCCTTTTTGTTGGTTGAAAATTGGTATATTACTATGGAGAGCATACCCATTGTACATATATTTGCCAGTTTATTTCTTCCACCACTGCACAAACTGATAACATAGACTTTTATTTTCTACCCTCACAGCACTGTTTCCGGTCTAATAGTGTGGTTCGTACGGATGACTGACGCCGCTGCTCGACCTCCCCTCGGCTGCTGATGGGTCTCCGGGACTGTCCCTCCTCTGCCCCTCCTCTGCCCGGGGACAGTCTGACTCTGCGGCCGGAGGCAAGGCTTCAATCACCCACGTCTGTCAGCTCCTACAGCCGCTGGTAACGATCAGACCGTGGTGACCCCGAGTTTACAATCTCAACAGTGACGTTATCTGGCAACTTCAAAGACGCACATGCTCCCCATAATGAAGGAGGCTAGTGTAAAACAACTTTAGATACGGGTCCAACTAGCACATGCTTGTAATTGATAAAATAGTCATTAGGCCAATACAAAAAGTTGATTTTTATAATAAGGTTAAATGTTTTGGGCGTGAGGCTTTGGTAAAGGAGAGAAAGACCCCACAAAACCAGTGCGAATTTGCAACCTACCTTTAGCCTATTTTAAACTTTATAGACTACCAAACAGCTACAACCTATGGGCCTCATAATCATTGGATTAACTACTTGCATAAGACTATGTTGTATATTGCCAGAAAATCATAAAATCATTCAAAAAATTGTAGTAAAAGAATAGATGTTTTAATGCCAGTTTTAACCATAGACTCTACAGTGTTATAATGTGCCTACATGCCTGCAATTGTGGCCTACTTTATCTTGTGTTGATGTCTAAATTATTATTAGTCTATATCATAAAATCTAATCTAGGATGACACAGAGAGCTGGATTTGACCCTGTTGTTATTGGTGATATGAAACAGCATATGAATGTGTATTTTTCCTGTGTAAGTGGGTCAGAGTGAGAGATGAAGCGGACACTGGATAAACAGGATGGATTCTGCAGAGGAGCAGTATTTGAACAGCTGCACTTAGCCCTGTGTTTGTGGCTGTGATAATAATAACAGCAAAGCCACATTTGGATGGACTTTGCAGACATTTGTAAATGGGATGTAAACTTGTGTAGGCAGTGGCACAGTTGGAGACACAGAGGGCAGTGTGTTTCTTTAAACCAGCACTAATCAACAGACAGTCAGCACAAGGACAGAGACAGAAAAGGAAATTGTAATTATTATTATTATATAAACACGCAAAATGTAACTTTTTGGGGGAAGAGTCCACCATCTGTTTGTCTAATGGAGTTTTTATCGCTTTGAATTGAATATTCCACAGTATGGCATTAAAGTGACATGACAGGTTAAGTTACTCATTTCTCTAAAATGTAGTTAACATCATTATATTTACAATTTTACTAAAACTTTTGTCTAGTGTTTTTTAGTGTTGTAATTTTGGTGAAGTTTATCATTTTACTTCCTGGTTGGACACAGGGAACAGATATGACATAGGTAGAGATATGTTACCTAGCAACCATAATGTTAACAAGAGCCAAGGGCTAAATTACACAGTTATGAATTGACAAGCAAAAATAAATGCCAGCATCGTTATTATGTTAATTCATTAAACTATGTGGAAAATGCCTTCTTTGTGCATAAATTGTCTCTGCATTTTTGATGGCATTGTGACAGTTGATAACTTAGGTAGAGGGATTGTGTTTTAGAACTCTCTGCTACTTGCTGTATTTTTACCTTTTTGTTTTCTACATTTCTTCACAAACTGCCACTCAGCTGGTCTTATCCCAGCAAACCAAGTCTTAGGAAAGCATATAAATCTGTCAAATGCACTTTAAACATTTCAGTATTAAAATGCATTTTCTTCAAAAACATCTGTAACTGAATAAATGTATAAATGTAAATAGCATTGTATTGTATAGTATTGCCATTTCAGGTAATGTAATAACATTTCCACAAGCAGGTGGCAGAGTCTCCACCTGAAAATAGAGTAAGAATAAAGTAATTAGAAAGTACATGAATAATAATGTCAAAAGTATATGAAATGAACAAATGAATAAATCTGGTTTAAGGCTGCACTTTGTAATTTTCATTTAGTGAAAGTATAAGGTAAAAAAGCAGGTAGTCCCTGGTCCACTGTATTTATGTAAACAGAATTCAGATGTACAGTGGGTCAGTGGGAGGAGCCTGCGTCCAGACTGGATTAAATGCCATCTGTCTCTCAGGCCACAGCCAAACATCAACAAGAGATAGATAGATACTTTATAGATTTATTGAGATTCGCTGCAGCACTGTACTGCTTTTGTGCCTTTGTGTCTCAGTTAAAGGTTAGGTGCAGTTTAACAGGAGGACTGTTCAGGGAGGGTCATCTGATCTGTGTCATGCAGTTTGAGGAGAGGAAGAGCCAAAAGTGTCCCCCTCTGTGTCCTGTAGCATCACAGCAGTGTACAAGGACTCCTTTGAGCCTCATTCTTCCTCTGCTATGTTGTTTCAGTTCGTGATGAAATGGGCCATTCCCTCAAAGTATTCTTCTGGAAGGTCTTATAGTATTTCCTCTGGCCTCCTGCCTACATATGGACGGTTTGTGTGTTAAACGAGTGTGAATGAAACAAAACCCAACTCTGGGAATGTTTTTGTTGAGGAAACAAATTTATAAGATAGGGCAGTGAAAACAGCATAATATCGAACCTTTAAGGTTAGGTTAAAACTATTATTTTGCTATAATCATTTCATTTAGACCAGGGTTTCTCAAACTGTGGTGCATGTGTTGTACAAGGTCCTACAGCTCTAATATTTACTTAATTTAGAGTCAGTATATGTTTTGGGGCTCTTTTGGATTTATTTATTTTTTTGTTAGAAATACTGTTGAAATTATATAATACAGTTTAAGGTATAGCCCATATACTTATACTTTATATTATAGAATTTTGCATCTGGTGGTATTTAGAAAATCAAAGTCTTTTCTTATGGGGACCTCTAGGGTACAATGTACAATGTAATCAATAGTATAAATGAATATACATCGAAAAAGACATCTTTTTCAGATACCAATACTCACTTTTAAAATCTACCGAATATCGACTGATATCAAGGCAGAAACTGAAAACAGCATTCCTTATTCTACTTAAATTATTTAGATGGTTACTGTTGTTTTCTTATATTATTTGTCTGTTAGACCTATCAGTGTTTATACAGTGAGTCTAATTCAGAAACATTACAGATCAAATTGATAATATATTTACTTTTGCATTGTTTTTGTCATGAATAAACTGGATTAGGGCTGATTCACACAGATCTCACTGGTCACAAGATTGGGTCAGCAGAGTCCCACATGCCTCCCTCATGTCCTCCATTACACAGACCATAATTCACTTAAATCTAACCTGCTCTCCACAGGCTCTCATACTACTACTGCAGATATACTGGTACATGCTGTGAGGAGCCACAGTCTACTGTGATTAATACTTTGTCAACATTAGCAAGATTTGGTAGTTGGGTAGCTTACTTCTTAAAATGTTGGTATTTTAAATTACCATACTAAAATGCCACATCTGTGCAATCTCAAACACTAGTGGAGCTCAGTTATGGGAGAGATTGCGGGCATTATCAGCCACAATGGCACAGGCTACTGTTGTGTCAGTGCTTTGCTGGTCTGTCCCAGGCCAGGTGTGGCTACAATAGTATTTAATCACTGCCAGTTGTGGAGTTAGTGAATAATGCAATGTAAACTGTCTTTGAGTGTCAGTATAACTAATCCATGTTATCATTGTCAAGAAATAATTTCCTAAACAACATTTTACAAAAGGGACTAATAAATCATGCATTCTGCTTACGCCGGTCCTGCCTACTTAAAACAATACAGTGTGTGTGTGCTGTGGTAATCCCCGAAGAAAAGTCTTGGCATTTAAAATGTTGCTTCTAACATGTATTATCAACAACATTTTATCAATATACTCATTTAAAGTCTTCACCATCCATCTTGAGACTCAAGTATTTGCCAATTTAAGTCACAGGTCTTTTCCCTCAGTGAAATACAGTCAAACTCTACTGTTGATGTGAAATGTGATTAAACTGAAACAACAGCAAAAAGTTGCAAGCTCATCCATTGTCAGTCTGTGGGTAGATTGTGCAGTACTGAACACAATCGACTTCTGTCTTGTTCCATGAATTAATAGAGGACACACTGTACAAGTCTTACTTTTGCAAGTCAAACTACTATGAGCTAGAAGAAAACGTAATTTTGGCCAAAAATTTAAACAATCTCAAACTTTACAAGATTTTAGGGTGTGGACTTGAACTTAAAAGAACCTCTGTAATTGAATTTGTGAAATGAGTTGAGGGCCGTATGGTATCAGCTGTGGGCTGCGCAGTTCACGGGAGAATCCTACTTTTCACAAAGAGGACATCGACAAAAACAGTGATTTATTTAGGAAAAACAAGGAAACATGTTGCGATCTTACATCCTGATGGTATTACTCTGCTGTCTTCCTATAGCAGGTAATGTAGTGAAAATGTATATTTAAGCTTATTTCTTACATTTAGAGTTGATTGATCTAAAAATGTAATGAAACTTAGGATGATGAAGACTTGTGTATTCATGTAGGGGCTGCACAATATTGAAAAAATGCAATGCAATGTGATTGTGATTAGATTTGAGATAGTTTAAAAAGTAAGATTTGGTTCAGAGAGCTCATTGTTAAGAAGTCCAGAAGCATTCACATTTTTGTAATTTTTGTCTTTGTTAATGTTCGTGAAAGTATTCTGAAACAATTTTTTATATATTGAAATAATTGTGTATCACCACTGTTCTCTGGTCTGACTTTGTGGTGTCAGGGCTCTCAGACCTCAAACCAGAGCCTCTGTCAGTGCAGGGGACTGTGGAGTCCAGCGTTTAAAAGATCATTGGGACAGTGTAGTTTCTCTTTTTAATGGCTCTAGGCTGTGGACCTCTCCTCCCTCTGACCCAAACATGTTCAGCTGGACTCTCAAACTGTGGCTGAAGTCGAGCCAGAGCTGCTCACAGCATATTTGAAATGCCTTACATCTTATGTTTTTTAAAAAAAAATTAACATTTCTTTCTGGACCCTAAACTCATTTAAAACACCTCAATAGACTAGAATAGAATTTGTACTTCTGTTATAAAGACTTAAAACAATATAACTGGTATTAAATAAATAAATAACTTCTCAATTAAAAAAAAGTATTTTGTTCTTTGTAGAGTGGCATTCTGCTATCTAAATAACTGCAGTCTTTTGATAGAGTTTTTTTTAAATAATTATTTAGTTGCTTGATGTACTTGTTGAATCATGCAGTAATGTCATTTAAAACATGTGTAGACCTATATATGTCTTTTTAGTATATGGAAAATTAGATATTACATTTATACTTACTTCACTACATTTTCAACATCAAATATAAACATTAAATATAAAGCATCTTGTGTACAAATTGCTGTGAATCAAATCAAACAAAGTAGGAGTAGTGCTTTTGTTTGTTTCCACTCCAGTTCATAACCTCCTCCAGTGATCTATGGTGAGGCGGTATGGACAAAATGTGTCTTTGTTACAGTGAATACTCCGACCTTATCTGATGTGTTTCAGTTGCATTTCATAATTCTTTAGATCTGCAGTTTATGTTTAATTGTGTTTATGGATCAACCTGGAATTGTGTCCCCGGGTGCTGGTATGGTCGATCGTCCACTGCTCCTGACAGGTTTCCTCAGCCTGATGGGTCAAATGCAGATACATTTTCCTACTGAGACAACCATTGTTTTATCTTGGATGAACTCCTCAGTCAGTATAGTTCATTTTCATTTAACAACAACCTGTGCAGGGACTGACGGTGGAAACTAATATTACTGTTAAAACCTGACAATTTTTCAGTTCTATAAAGTTATCTTCTTACCTCTCTCTTCTTTTTCCCCCTACCTCTGTCCTCTCCCTTTCTCCCTCCCTCTGTCCCCTCCCTTTCACCCTCCCTCTGTCTTCTCCCTTTCTCTCTCCCTCTGTCCTCCCTTTCTCCCTCCCTCTGTCCTCCCTTTCTCCCTCCCTCTATCCTCCCTTTCTCCCTCCCTCTGTCCTCCCTTTCTCCCTCCCTCTGTCCTCCCTTTCTCCCTCCCTCTGTCCTCCCTTTCTCTCTCCCTCTGTCCTCCCTTTCTCTCTCCCTTTGTCCTCTTTTCTCCTTCCTTTCTCCCTCCTCTGTCCTCTCCCTTTCTCCTCCCTCTGTCCTCTCCCTTTCACCCTCCCTTGTCCTCTCCCTTTCTCCCTCCCTCTGTCCTCTCCCTTTCTCCCTCCCTCTGTCCTCTCCCTTTCACCCTCCCTCTGTCCTCTCCCTTTCACCCTCCCTCTGTCCTCTCCCTTTCACCCTCCCTCTGTCCTCCCTTTCTCCCTCCCTCTGTCCTCTCCCTTTCTCCCTCCCTCTGTCCTCCCTTTCTCCCTCCCTCTGTCCTCCCTTTCTCCCTCCCTCTGTCCTCCCTTTCTCTCTCCCTCTGTCCTCCCTTTCTCTCTCCCTTTGTCCTCTCCCTTTCTCCTATCCTTTCTCCCTCCCTCTGTCCTCTCCCTTTCACCCTACCTCTGTCCTCTTCCTTTCACCCTCCCTCGGTCCTCCCTTTCTCCCTCCCTCTGTCCTCTCCCTTTCTCCCTCCCTCTGTCTTCTTCCTTTCACCCTCCCTCTGTCCTCTCCTTTTCACCCTCCCTCTGTCCTCCCTTTCTCCCTCCCTCTGTCTACTCCCTTTCACCCTCCCTCTGTCCTCTCTTTTTCACCCTCCCTCTGTCGTCCCTTTCTCCCTCCCTCTGTCCTCTCCCTTTCTCCCTCCCTCTGTCCTTTATCCCTCCCTCTGTTCTCTCTCTCCCTGTAGTTGGCCTGCGCTGTTACACGTGTCTGTTCCCGGCCATCTCTCCTCTGGACTGTTTTAAGTTTCCTCAGGAGTGTCCGGCCGGTCAGCGCTGTCTCTTCAGTGAAGCCACTGGACGACGAGGTACTGCCCCAAACACACAGGGCGGTTATAGGGTTAAAGAAGTACTATTGTTATTGGTTTGTCTGTAATATTCCACATGGCATTAAAACGTATATATCTCACAGTTATACCTTGCAGGTGCTCAAAAATACCTTGAAAAAATGCAATCTTCATGTGAGCTGGCCTCTCCAGATAGATAACATTGTTTTTGTGGAATATTCCAGGCAAAGTAATACCATCTGTAGAGGCTAATTTGTCCACTGCAAACAGCCACTTCTGGTTAAAGGTACTCAGAAGTCTTTAAGTATGTCTTCAAAAACACCAGCATCTCTATAGACAGACATCTCAGGTGCTGTACACGCCACCAGAAAAGTTACATAGTGCACCTTTAAAGAGAGCACAAGACAATATAACTTTTTAGTTTAAAAATTTAAAATAACATAAAATTGGAATATTATCCACACCACAGCTGTGACTGCCCACCTCAAACTCTCCTAAACTGCCCCATTCACAAGGCAGGAGTTATTTTAGCCTGATGTGATCAAGGTCAGTCTGGGTCGTGATGCCAAAGTTTGATCAGACAAAGGCTCTTTGTGATAAACAGGAACTGGAACAAACCTATCTGTAGGAGGGACACTTTGTTTTTGTCTAATGTCTATTGTTTTTTATCCCATTCTCTTTAAAGGCCCTAAATTACATTAAATTGATTATTGTAATTCATATTACAATGTTGTTACCTCCTCAAAAACATACCCGTGTTTTGTTTCATTCACACGTTTGAGTAATGTTCTGTTTCACCTTGTGATGTCATGAAGTGTTAGCTTTAAGTTAAAGGCTATTTTTGCCTTTAGATTGGTATGGAAACAAAACACACTTCCAGGTAAGTTTTTGATGAGGAAACAACATTATAACATAGATCAGAAACTAGCATAATATTTTATTTTATTAGTTGAATCTTTTCTGGTGCTTAATTTGATGATAACTTTAGAGTCTAGACAGATGTTCAAAATTACTTTTAGCAAATGTAACATGGTAGTCTAATACTGGTTTTTGGTCATTGGTCTGGTTTCTTCATTAGAAATTCTGCCTTTTCCATTAACCCCTAAAGTGATCATCCACCTTTTATCAGTTAGTACCCCTCTGTGCAGCAAATTGTGGGTTAGCACTCTCACCTCACAGCAAGAACGTCCCAAGTTCAATTTGCAGGCGAGGCTCTCCTTCCTCTGTCTGCACAGGATAACAAGATATGCACCTAGTTAATTATAAAAGAGATTTTCAGTCAGTGGGACTTAAGGTCAGAGAAAGCTTGGCAGTGATTAATAGTCTGTTTTTTTTTGTTTGTTTTTTTTACTGGAAATTAAAGTTATTATGTGTTTTTAATAAGACAATGTAATCAAGATGTCAAAAAATATGAATGATCAATGCTATGAAAACAATGTTTGTTTGATTAATTTAATTTATTAGCAAATGTATTTTCATATTTTGCTATTTCAAATATGGCATAATGTAGTAAAAGTAAAATCTGAAACCTAAAAAATGGCAGAACTGGGAAAGAACATGTAAAATTGTTAGTAAAATCTTCAATATAATGAATGATCTTAACTGTGTTAGTCATAGGCACTTTAAAAAAAATGTTATAGCTATACAATTACTTTTTGGGACCAACCATTCGTCTCCAGTAAGCGATTTCTTCTTTCATAGGAGCTCTTACAGTGACCATGTATGAGAAGAGCTGTGCAGTGCCCTCTCAGTGTGGAGTGAGTGGACAAAAATATTCCAGCGGCTTGTACTTCAACTACACCAACCTATGCTGTGACACCGACCTGTGCAACAGCGCCCCGTCTGGTTGGAGAGTGACGGTATTCCTGAGTCTAATGCCTGTCCTGGGACTCCTGCTCTACTGACAACATGAAAAACAACTGGCAAATACACCTCATTACCTACAATGATAATAATAAGTACATACTGACCTATTTTACTCACATCTGTACACAAGAAGTTAGAAATAAATTGATTCAGTTTCAGTTTATTAACAAATCTTATTTGAATTTATTCTTTTGCGAACTAATAAAAAAAACACTTGAATTGCTATCCTAAAGTGCTATATAAATATATATTATTAAATAAAAATAAAAATACATTAACGTGGATTTCCCTCGGGATCAATAAAGTATCTCTCTAACTGCAGTGTCTAATGGAACCCATTTCTACAGCCACGGTAACAAAAAACAGTGCTTTCTTAGAATATTGTGACTTGAAGAGGGGGTATTAAACTAAATAAATTTTTTGCTTTCTACCATGTTCCTTCATGCCTGAAGAGGTTTTAGATAACATGCATAGATGCATGTTTTAGTAATTTTGTGATCGCTCCTGGGCCCTATTTGAACCCTCCTTAACGTTAGATGTAACATTCTGTGCAATTTACAGCCCAAAAGCCTAAGTGACCCATGCTCCCACACAACAATTCTCCATAATTACACAAAAGCATGATACAAAACTGTACACAGCAACATGACCAACCTGATACAATGGGCAGTAGTTTCATTAGCAGGATGCACGCTGATTGTGTTGTGATAGCGCTCTGAAGGGGGAGACTTAAAGCGGGGAGCAAAGGGAGGGGAAAGAGTTACATGTATGAAGGTGATAAAAGGCAACATGGTAACATCTAAATATGTTATGTGTTAGCAATTAATACCCTAGAAGTAAAATACCCCCTCTTTAACAAACTCTAAAAGATGAATGTACTATTCAACAAAAGCGCTTTTTTATCATGTGCAACAATAATGAAGCAATGCATTTCTTTATATCTTTATTGAAATTTTAATAAAAAGAATATCTGTAAAGCTTTAAGTATGAAATAGAAAATGTTTATTTAGTTTGCCTTCATTTTGCCCACTGTTTGAATGACTGCTAGTTACTTTGTACAGGTTCTTCAGTGAATAATTCATACATGATAAAGCATACAAGCTTACTATAGGCCTACTACAATATCATTTTGCAAAGATTTGAGTAAAAAGCAGAAGAAAGTACAAGACAATACATCTTACAAAAGTTTTAAAGATAGAAAAATAGCAGTTTTGAGTACACAAATAGGTTTATACAATGCATCCAAAGCTGATACAACAGAGAAATCTCACCAGAGCTCAAAAGCGCCACTTATGGGATCAGAAAAATTCAATATCAAATTCATTTTTCCCATAGATAATAGACAAAACAATGCTAACTGTAGGCACTGCTCTGTCAGATAGTCTATTAGACTTTAATGTGAGCTTTGTTTCAACACAATCTGACCAGAAGAGAGGATTTTAGCTAGAACTACAACAGGTGAGCTGATTTGTGCTGTTAAACACATAAAATTAGTAAGTCACTCTCACCTTTTGTTGAAACTATTGATCACAGGCTCCTGAAAATGTGTTGTTGTGTCCATTTTGTATCTTAAAACTTTTGACAGTGTTTGTTAATGTGTGCATGGTGACTGATAACACCCAGCATGATGCCACTCCAAGTATCATTATAAACATTTGGAAATATACAAAAAAATATTTATAACAGACTAAATTATAATTTCTTTTTACTTTATTGTAATTAAAATGTTATGTTTTATGACTACGGTTAACCCTGTAGCTTTTAATCCTTTATCAAACATATTTCCAAACACTATCTATGGGAAAAATAAATAATAACTGTACTTCCTGATCCAGAGTTGAGTCACTATTGAGCTGTTTAACTTGTGAGTCTTGAAATAGTCAGACCATTCCCTTTTAGAACTGTCCACAAACAGAACTGATGTATTTATTTTTTTACAATGTCAGAACAAAACATGAAATTAACCTAAAGTCAAAAAGTATTCCTCTTCATTAGATAACTGCACTTAGGAAAATGACTGTCCTGATAGGAGACATTTAATACAGATTCGTAAACATTGGACAAAACTTCAAAATTCTTCATACAGGTCTATTCTTTACAACAGAAATTCACAAATTCAATCATGTTTTCTTGTAATTCTTATATGACTTGGTAAATCTTTATCTATCTATCTATCTATCTATCTATCTATCTATCTCTATCTATCTATCTATCTATCTATCTATCTATCTATATATCTCTCTCTCTCTCTCTCTATATATATATATATATATATATATATATATATATATATATATATATATATATATATATAGATAGATAGATAGATAGATATAGATATATAGATATAAATCTTCTTTATTTGTGATTTGTAACTTTAGCTCCTTCAAAAACACATGCTTGTCTTCACATATCACACCAAAATAAGCCAGATGCATTTACACCTGTTACTGCATACAACTTAAAAAAAAAACAAAAAAAAACATTTATGTTGTATCTATGGTAATAAGCCATTAATGAAGTACTGTATATGTTCACTGAATACAGACAGTTTGAATAAGAAGTCCCTTTCACACTTCCCAATATTGAGCAAATAATGATTATATTCTACCAAAAATATATAAAATGAATTACTTAACTAAAATTACTTGTTGGATGAAGTAATTTCCTTTTCTTTTTCCTGTATTTTGTACAGATGATCAGAAACAAAAGCATACAGAAACCTATAAAGATATGTCTAACTTTTCATTCACACTTATGCACAAATATCACATAAAATTGGTAATAAACTGGGACTAAAACTGGAATTAAAATAGGACTAGATCAGGACTAAACCTAGACTAGACCAGCACAAGACCAGATCAGGTGCACACGACAAACTAATACAATATATTCGCTGACATTACAACAATGTGAATGAAAATAGTTTCAAATAATCCTTCCTGTAGTTCTTAAAGGGGAAGTGGCGTCTATTGAAATGGCTTCCTGTCTCTGTGAACAGTTTTCAGCTCAACTCAGAAAACAACCTTAAGAGTATAGTTTGTTACAGTCAAATCTTTGTTCCCACAGTAAAAAAATCTGATCATGAGACGCTTTTACGTCTGTTTGACGCTTTTGACATTTGAGCGGCTGTTATCTCACTTAAGAAATATTTGCAGAATTTTGTAAAAGTTTCATGACGTGACACTGAAGCGATAAACTGTGAGAATGACCCTGCGCACAATTGACTATGGAGCTCAACAGACACTGCCCGCTCCTGGTTTCAGAAGTAAATGTTGCATTATTTTTTTTATCTATGGGAAAAATTATTTCCCATACATTTACTTCCGGAACAACAACTGACTTCGTAGTGGGTGGGACCATTAAGCTCCATAGTGACGTTTCCACAAATTTACTTTAGATACAAATCCAGTTTCACAAATGAATTAAATAATGTACTGATAAACAAATATATCTATCTAGTATACACAAATTGAAGTTAAAGACATCATGCTTGTTTAATAAAGCAAGACCAAAGTAAAGCACTCACAAAAATGCATTGTCACTTTTCTATTGCAGGGTATGCTACCCGTTTCCATAGAGTTGTTAAGTGTTGTCTGGAATGTTCCATAGTAATGCATTAACCATATTTCCTCTCCACTTTTCTGGATTGTAACCTGGCCTTCTGGTATCTCCATGGAAGGATGAATCATGGATTATTCTTGACAAAGACAAACACCTACATAGAGACAAGCCAATGGCAGACACTGCAAAAGAAAAGTTGCACTGTGCAACTTTAATTTGAGTTTCAGTTTTGGTTTAAGTTAGCATTTTTGTTTTTGCAGCATTTCTTAAATTTATATTTATGAATTAATGGGATTATAGAAAAAATTAAATTGCCAGTCAAATAATTACTTCCCTATGATTTGTATCTTCTGTCTCTACTCTACTTGTACTATCAGTTGTTAAAATCTTGCTAGTTTTATTGCTAATATTTAGACATGATCCAAAATTGTTCACCTTTTTCTAGTTTTCCCAAATAATTCCAGGTTGTTTGTATATAGCATAAGACAATTCCCTGCCACTTTCTCAGTACAGGTTGAAACTCAGTAAAAACACATAAGGCTTGTCTAAAACCTGTTGGACCAGTTAAACCCAGAGGCACAAATATTATCTGTAATTTGATCGTCCTTTCCCTTTTAGGCTTTCATGTTCCCGGATACAATCGCTCCCTCTATTTATAAAGCGTCAAAGACATCAGATTAGCATAAGTGGTGGACAATAGTTAGATAACATCGATATTGGCTTTAATCTTATGCACTCAACAACAATATCAAATCCATTTTAAAGGTACTTTGTGGAACATAAACTGATACACCAATACACAAAAATAAATGCTTGTATATGCAATTACTACTTGACTTCAAAAGTGCACGTTGCAACTTTCATGGCGGAGGCCTTGACACCTACTTTTCTCCATGGTGATATGGTTATTATTATTGCTTCGTTTGGAATGTTACACAGTATGGTATTAAAACTTCTCCATGAAGACTAGCAGGGGACATCCCCAAGCCAAGTTACATGCCAGATCTGTGGAAAGGCTGTAAAACTTTAAAAGTCACTCCTAAGCCAAGGGTTTATTAAAAAGTTTGCATCAGGCGGGACATCTGGTATAAAAACAAAATTAATGTATATTTATTGTAGCAAAGTAGTTTTAGCTGGGATTTGTCTCTTTTTAAATGACAAAAAAGGTAAAGAGAAGATTTATAGAAAAAATACTGTAATGTTGTGAAATGTTAAGTACAACTAAATCAGCAGTTACAAACACGTCTTCTGCAAGTTTGAAGAACAACATTTTGTGAATTACATTTGGTGATATGTATTATTACTGAAGAGAATGATAAGTAAAAGTTACTTTGTATTGTTAGTAGTACTATTTGCTTTGTGAATTTTATATATTTTGGCAATTTAAACAATTACTGTATAACTAAAACATTAAGTGGTGTTATTATAATGCGGCAATACTAAAATCCAACTTTTTATATAATTAGACTAAGGCAAATTACAGGTACTTTAATTTCTACAATAACTGTAGGACAAATCATGGTTATCTCAAATCCTCAGAGAAAACAGCATTACAATAGTATTTGACTTAAAGATATGATAATGCATAGCAAGTTATACATTATTAACAACCATTAGAGCCTGTCTAAAATGTTCCACCTAGCACCTTTAAAATCTGCTATAGCACAGTATTTAACGATATGAAGTCCCATTTAATGTATGACATGCACATGTTTAGCTGTTGTTTTGTCCCTGTGTTTTGGTCGTGTTTACTTGAGGACTTTGGCCACAGAGGCGTAGGCGATGTGGATCTCCTCGTCCACAGGGCAGGTGGAAGCAAACTCCTCCCGGGCATATGCTGCGTTCAGGTACCTCCACAAGTTTGTGAGGGTCTCGGGGATGGTGAATTTACGATACTTTAAACACACCACCTGGGGAATAAAGGAGATATGAAAGTTAAGAAAAGACTAGTTTTTTTCTATGTATGAGAGATTTTTGTGTTTAATGAGAAATATTAACAGTAAATTAGCAAACGTTAAAAAGCAAATGTTCCACAGTAAGACGTTAAAGGTGCACTGTGGAGGTGGAGAGTTCGCCCTCTAGTAAAACCTATTACTATTTTGCCTTACTTGTTCCACAGTATGGGAATAAAAATGGTAATTACAATGGAGACAGGTTAATGGTCTCATCTATGGAGAAGCAAGCCTGCACATGGTTAGCTATAAAACACCTGTAACTGAAAAAATGCAAGAGAGATATTTTTAATACATTCCAGGCAAAGAAATAACATCTCCACAAAGACAAGCAAGTAGCGGACCCTCCACCTTACAAATTACACAGTGCACTTTTGAACTTCTCTGTCTTTCACTTGCTAATTTACATTTTTACTGCTCAACAATACCTTGAAAATGAATTTACTTATATAAAAACAGTCTCGCAAATTTGAAATATTTTGAAATATATTTAATTAAATATACCATAATATGAACTTCCCTAAACTGCGTCATAATTGTTGTGTATGTATGTATTGTATGTATTACATTGTATTGCTGGGTTTGATGACAACACAACATTATATAGACCAATATTATTTCATACAAATGAGGGCAGCTAAAACTAATGATCCATCTGAGAGTACGACATAATCAGATTGTAAAATCTGAAAACTGCCAATTCTATCACCTTGACAATGTGAAGCTTGGGCAGCAGGTTGCAGTCGGCCAGAGTCAGATCCGGCCCGTCCAGGAAGCTGCGAGAAGAGGAAGTGACATCATCGGCACTGTTCTCGTCGATCTCATCAGGAAGTGGGCAGCCCAGATAATCATCCAGCTTCTTCAGAGCCTTCAACAAACCCTTCTCCAGATCTGAGGCACAATATAGACAGCACTATAATTCGGGGCTGTTATGGTGGTTCAATTTTGGTGAATTTTTCCTAGAACCTAAAATTTGTAATACACGTTTAAATACCAGACAGGGGGCAAGCAAAGTCATATTACAGTGATTTATTCAAACTGATAAAAATATAAAAAGAAAAACATATGTAATTATAATTAGTATTAGCAAGTATAATTTTGTGCTTAATTTTAAAAATATATGTTCAATAGTTCGAGTTACCCATTCAAACTTTTAAACTCTTAGCATTTTTTTCTTTAAAGAGGGGGTATTTTACTTCTATCAGGTATTAACTGCTAAAACATATTTAGATTAGAATGTTATGTATACCTTTTATTGCTTTGAAAATCCTATATTCTCTGAAAATAATGTATGAACATGTTTTATAAGTTTCACTTTCATTTTTGATGCTCTGAGTCTCCCCTCCATGTTAATAAGTCACTCGCCCTTGAATTGTCGTGTGGGAGCATGGGTGTGAGAATCTTACAGAATCTTCCTAATTACAGGAGAGATTGCTAAAATACTAATATGCATGGAAGACATCTAAAATCTAAAAAGACATGTTTTTGATGAGGGAACAATTTTATACATGGTAGAAAGCAAAAAATGTATTTTGATTTTGAGTACCCTCTCTTTAAGATCAAAAGTTAAACTTTAAGTTAAAATTAAAATAACTTTTGTGTTCATACTAAAGGTGAAGTGTAATAGACCAGTTCTGCTCCACTGGTTTAGCTCAGCCACAGATCAGAGGAATTATGGTGCATTCATACTGTTTCTGTCCTACTCTAGTCCAGATTGGTCCTGGTCTGGTCCAGTTTCAGGTCTGGATTTAGTCCTAGTTTAGTTCCTATTCTGATGTGATGTATTAAGTGTGAACGTGTCGTTAGACAGTAATGAAATAAGCAGACGCTCCCGTTTCCCCCATTATCTCTAAAGACACACAACACTGAGAGGAGTGTATACGTAACTAGTTTTACTTAAGCTTTTTTGTAATGCATGAACCTCAACAGTGTCCATCTGGGCAGCAAATGTTTTGAATTTGCCTAAAATATTCCTCATTATGGCATTAAACCATTCCCACAAAGAATGAATTTCTTTCAAGGTATTCAAGGTGAAAACACCTGTAAATGAATATCTGCAATATAGATAAGTTAAATACTTTACTATGGAACAACAAATAACAACTCTTTTGAGACAAGCATCATGCACCTTAAGCTTAGCATAACTTTATTTAGAGTTTGAAAATAGTTAATGTAAAACTAGTGAACCACTGAAACCACTTGAGGCTAATACATACAGATAACATCTTATATTATTATTGTATATTATGCCAAAGGGATCATATTCAGTTCAACAGGTTAACAGCACTGCAATAGAATACTGAATAGTGTATTGAAGTCTGTGCTTACTGTCGTTCATCTGAGGGTTGGAGTTTTTGATGTAGGCAGAGAACTTGGAGAAGACGTCCACTCCGGCTGTGTTAGACTCTGGATTACGAGCGGCCAGACGAGGATATCTACAATACAGGAAAACCATGGACAATGAAGGAAACACTATTTTACAACAAGACAAGGGTGTTATTTTGAGGTTTGAAATCTGACAAAATTATTTTTTTCTTCACTGTTGCTCCACCAAGACATTCTGAGGTACATTAGCAGAAGGCCTGTTACAATAACACATTTTGAAGTGAATAATGCTCAAGTAAATATAGACGAAAAGCGATAATACTGAAATCACTTTATGCCACTAATGCAATAACACAAGAGCAGATTTAAACCACAAAAACTATTCTGAATTTACAATATTGTTCAAAAGCCATGAGCTGCAATAAATACATAGCAGAATGAAACACTTAATTTGCATCTATAATAAGTCATTAAAGTTATTAATTCAACCTACCACAGCTCAAATCTTATCACAGCTAAAAAAAATTAATAAAATTCCCAGTAGTGCAAAGAAATTGTATACCCAATAAATTTACCCCCCCAAAATATTGTTCCATCTAACTGAACAATATAATATTCTGAACAATAAGTTAATATAGTAATTCTGGTGACAGGCCTAAGTAACACATTTCTGATGGATTCCAAAAACTGATAGGAAAATTCTGAAGTATTTAGATGGTAAAATGGTAAAAGGTCACATTTTTATACCACGTTTTTCCATGTTCAAAGCACTTTACATCAAGGAACCACTCACCTACTCACACACCTACTCACACACCTACACACTCACACACACACACACACACACACACACACACTGATACACCACTGTGCACAAACACTAGGGGCGAGGTGGGTTAAGTGTCTTGCCCAAGGGCACAGTGAGAGCACTCATCTGTGTGAGCTGGAATCGCATTGCGAACCTATAGGTAAGTGGATCTGATCGCTTAACCAATGACATTAATGTCGAGAGTGGAATTTGAACCGCAAACCTTCGGATCAGTGGGCAAATGCTCTACCAACTAAGCAACTGTCGCCCCAACAGATAATACCTTTTGACAGTCTTATGATTGTTGTTTTCATTTTAGACAACTCTAACACAACAGAATCTCCTCAAAACAAACATAAGATAATACTAAAGCCTAAAACCTACTTTGGGGGGCAGAGGTTCTCCTCCAGAAACTCCTCGATCTTGTTGGTGTCTGTTTTGACCTCATTGCCGTAGAGAAGGAATGGAGGCTGAGCCCCAGGAGCCAAGTCTTTGAGGATCTCAGGCTTCCTACAAGAGGACAGACATGAGCAGAGAGGAAAGAAGAGACAACAATGAGGTAATCTGGATTCAAACACTGGCTATGTTTATGTGCACACCACAAATCTGATCATTATCTGATTTCTAGAGTTATCTCATTATTGATATTTTGCTGATGATGTCATCAACATTCCCTGGGAGTGTAATGCTAACTATAGGCACTGCTCTGTCAGAAGCTCTGTTACTCAAATTAGACTTTAATCTGAGCTTTGTTTTAACACAATCTCAAAGAACTAACTTAGTTGGACCTACAGCTGATGAGTGAGTTGATTTATGCTGTTAAACATAACATTACAGTCACAAGCTAGCTAGCCAACAGTTTTTCAGCTGTCACTCTCACCTTTTTGTTTGCTGAAAATAAGTTGTTTAAATCCACTTTGTATGTTTTGTTGAGTTTTCAGACAATCTTAAAACTTTTTTGGCAGTGTTTGCTAATTTATGTGTTGTGTCACCATGGTAAAGAGTAAATATTCCACCATAGAGATACATGTAGAACACCCCCAGTGTGATGTCCTGCAAAGTATCAATTGAAATCATATAAATATATAATATATAAATATGTATCATATAAAGATTTGCTCCTGGAATCTGTAATCAGATTTCTTTCTGATTGTTCACACAGAGGTTTTGGCAAAGAACATAGTGCAAACAAGTACAAACTAATGTGGCAAAGACAAACACCAGAAACTGTAATTCCAACCAGCTCTTTTGATTATCTGTAGTACAATATATATAATTAAAAAATATATATAAAGAAAGATACAACATACATACAAAAAGCAGAGCATATGAAAGCATACAAATAAAAATAATATACATGATTGAGTGTTTTACATGTGTGATGGGGTGTGTATGAGCTGTCATATTACACTACTTTATTTCTTCACACCACTGACTCTTTTTAAAGCCATAGTATGTACAATTTTTGCCAAAAGGTTTACTAAAATAAAAGCATGATTTTTCATCATGGATGTCTTTATTACACTGAAAAACTGGTCTTATGGCTCCTCCTGTTTGTTTCCATGGAAATGTTGTTAATTTGGCTATACTCTTCCATAAAGTGGAATATTAAGTGTTATGCCACTGTATAGCATAACACTTATCTGTCTCCATGGAGAATGTTCCAAAGTGTGGTTTTAACTTTATTTTTCCATGGAATCATGCAGTTGTCTTTCCACCTCCAGAAAGTTACAGGCTATAGCTTTAAACTCAACCCACCATCCCTCTCTATCAAACACACAGGACTACAGAGAGATGATGTCATTCTCACCTCCTCATGTCGACTGTGGTCACGTCAAACGTCACTCCTTTGAGCCACAAAACCATGAACAACCTCTGAGAGAAGGGACAGTTCCCAATGCTCTGCCCATCACTGCCCGCCTAAACACAAAAGATACACAATATTCAACAGCAAGGAACAGGGACAGACAGCAGGCACATTTACCATTTAAAATCAGACAACTAGAATAATCAGATAACCCAATAATTAGACGTAATTTTTGGTGTTTTTACATGCACAAGATAATTCTGATCAGCACAACATCTGGTTACATGTGTCAATTCAAACAATTGTAGACTTTTGGTCTGCATGCACATAGTAAGCCAATAATATGCACTGTTTCCTGTTATAACTATAAGACAATTGTCTCACTGTCTTAGTCTAATCAGCTGATCAATAACTTGACATAATAAATTGATCTTGTTGCTTTTTGTAATATCCTAAGCATGTAAACATAAGTGAAGAGATTATAGGTACACTTTGAAACTTTTGTCTCCATGGAGATGTTGCTTTGTCCGAATGTGGCATCAGCCATATTTACATAAAGAGAGTGACGCCACCAGGCCAATTTACAGGTCAGATAATGGAGAGGCATCCCACACGGTACTAAAGCATGTTTTTATAAATGTGAGATAGATATGTTTAATACCATATTATGTAATATTCCAGCCAGGATAAGCAATAACAATTCCACGGAGACAAGTAAATGGTAGACATCTCACCAGAAAGTTACACCTTTAAAATAAAATATGGGTGCTACCATGGTTTCAGTTTCAATAGTTGCACACTGAAAAGATCCCTTGCCTTTTTTTTTCAGTGCTTTTTGTTTACTGTGATATTAAGACATTTCTACTTTAAGCTAAATACTCTTCAGGAATTAATTATATTTGCCAACTCATATCATAATTCATTTCTTAAGTAAACATAACATCACTCTTCGTATTATCATGCACCTTAACCATTCTTATAAACCTTAAACCAACAAAAAACGTTTACATTGTAATTGCCTGGAACACAATATACCATAAATTACTCAACAGTCTGACTCAAACTTCAGTCATGTAGGCAGCTCAGGATGTGAAAGCAGTCAACACATGGCTCTCAAATGCATCTTGTTTCTATGTGGGAAGTTATGCATGAAGTCTCAATGTCTCGGCCACTCACTTCAGACTATGTAAAGTCTATTTTCAAATGAGGAACTTAAATGTTTGAAGCAAAGAAGTTAGATATGACTAGTAAACATTAATGGAGTCAACACCAAGTTACAACACATCAGAAAAATGCTTTTTGTCATAAGATTCAGACACAGGAATCATTTATAAAGAGGTTGCTCTTAAGTTTGCACAAGACCACAAGGGAAACACACATCACCACATCGCCATTTTGGGTCTATTACAGGGCACTGGAGGAGAGCAGTGGTCACATGGACTTTTGCAAAATCTGGTGTCAAGATCTGGTCAAGGTGTGAAACTGTTTGAAATCGCAACAATACTGTATCCATATTTGTCCAAATACAACGTTAAAGATGCACTATATAACTTTTTGTTGGGGTTCCTCCTCTGCTTCTTTCTATGGATTTGTCATTGCTCTGACTGGAATGTTCGAAAGTATGATAAACAGTTCTACCTTACTTTACTTTTTTTTTTTTTTTTTTAAAAAAAAAACATGCATTTTGACTGTGAAAGGGGTTGGCTCTCCACACATCTGACCTCCAATTTCTCCATGAAGAAAGAATGGTTTAATATCATAATGTGAAACATTCCAAACAAAACTAAAACATCTCCACGGAGAAAAGCGTATGATGGACCCTCCACCAGATAAGTTGCACCTTTGACTATTTATTACAAGCAAAATCAATTTTCATAAATGTGTGGCCCATGTAAAAATGAATGGAAGAAATGTTCCAGGCAGTCTACCAATGAGTTTCAATTAGCGCTGTTACTTTAACAATTAATGACTATTTAAAACTAAATATTAGATCTTTGGAAGAGCAATCGACCAGTATGTTGTTTTGTTTAGTTTTTTTTCAGTTATCTTGATGCATTTAAGTTTTAAGCTTTGTGTGTACTCAAGTCGGCCAAAACAAAATATCAGCCTGTGGTGGAGATTTAAGGTCAATAACTGATCTGCTAAAAAATGCAACTATCAGACTGGTTGTATTTCTACATTTGAATGCTTAAAAGTCCTCATAATGCTGCCTATAAGCAGGGGATGAAGGTTGCTCATATTTTATTCTCATGCTGCTGTCTATCTGACATACCACATTAATATCAAATCCCTACAAAGAAGGTGATCCACTCTTTTTAATTTAGTTTAATCACAAAATGTGCCCAGTGTAACTATTAAAGTGCTTGTATGCCTGCTACTTGTGACGCCAACAGGCCAGTTAATAGGTCAGATCTGTGGAAAGGCCACTCCATACACAGTAAATTAGTCAAGGTCTATTGACTGGCATTAAGAAGAGCTGATTAAATGCAAGAGAGACAAGACAAGCAGACACTCCAATAGACAATTTACATAATGCATCTTTAGTTTTAGCTCTAAATCTTGGCTTAGTGACTAGTCTTTCCCAGTGTCTGAGCTTGTACACTATGATTATGGCTTAGAGCTGTGTCCACAAAGGAAAGTACAGGCCATTTTAGGTAGAGAAGGCTACAGGCTATATGTTTCACTAAAGGAAGAGCGGATTAGATTAGCCTACAACAGCATGGACGAGTCAGCTGGCAGCATTTGAAGGATTAAAACCTTTAAAAACCCCAGTGAGTCAGCAACGTGGTCTATTAAAATAACCACCTCGTTGACATTACAGTAAATTATTTATTTATCATAAGTAATAAGCTACAAAGCAGAAATACTGATAAATATGTTTAAATTACAGACATAAAAACAGCGGTCGGTTAAAATGCTAAATTTAACTTAAATGTACACGTCTATTTTACGTAGCGTCACTTTTTCTCAGTGAATGACGTCTTTCTCCATTCATCACTCTTACCTTGACAAAAAGTTCAACTCGGGGATGGTTTGCGTCGCTCATCTTTGCTCAAAACATCCAAGGATCTGTTCAAAAAATAAAGGTAAAAATTAAGATGTTAAAACATGTAAAAGTTACGCTTTAGAGTTGTATCCTTTAAGAGTACAGCAGCTATTCGAAACCACAGCAGAGCCAAGCCCATCTTCCGCTACTACAGTTAACCAAATGAGCAAAGTTACACCGTAATAAGATAGATGATAATGCATGCAACAGGTTAAAAGATCTATATTTTATGATTAGATTGTTTTTTTTTTAAAGTTTACCTTGTAAGTGCAAAAAATCTGTGTTTGCTCAGGTCGGTCGGTCCTCCGTGCTGGTGGTACTCGTCCCCGCGGCGCCTCGGTTTCCTGCAGCCGCTGACGAGGCGCTGCGAGCAGCTCTCAGCCAATGGCGCCCGCGGAGAGGCGGAGGGGAGAGGCCGAGGAGGGTGACTTCGAAAAATGAGCAACGCCATGAGGATGAAGAGGAGAGAAATACACGCCTTTTACGATTCAAAGGTAATCTATACCTCTCAGTGAAATGATATGTGTAACAACAACTATTTCACAAACCATGCGCTGGACGTAACAGTATGCCGTAGCCTATTCCTGGGCTCCAAGAGTCAATTTTGTTACAGTAGTACAGGTACAGTGGCAAATAGTTACTCAAGTAAAAGTATCATATTATGAAAAATATCTACTATAAAAAATCTATCTATCTAAGTAAAAGTATTTAAGTGCCCTACTTTAAAAAAATAAGTCAAGTAAGTATTTCGCACAGATTTTGAAGTGTTATTAATTTTCTAAATGTAGTGATATTGATTAAAATATATAATATATGTATATATAAAAAATGTGTTCCACGGTGGTTGGTCTCTCTCCCCCTCATCCAGCTCGGGTCCTCTACCAGAGGCCTGGGAGCTTGAGAGTTTTGCACAGTATCTTTGCTGTTTCTAGTACTACACTTTTCTAGGCTGAGGTGTCTGTGGTTTTTTACTGGTATCTACTACTCCAGTTTGGAGGTTACAGCCCCGAGTGCTACAATCACTACGGGCACCACTGAGGCCTTCACCTTCCAGGCCTTCTCCAGCTCTTCCTTGAGTCCCTGGTATTTCTCTGGTCTCTTGATATTACTCTTTTCCTGGTATTACAATCGCTTGGTACTGCAATGTCCACCACCACGACTTTGTTCTCTTGCTTAGCACCACTGTGTCTGGTTGGTTCGCCATCACTGTCTGTATCTGGAAGTCCCACAGGAGTGGCTCGATCATTCTCCACAACCTTTGGAGGTGTTTTCCACCTTGACCTTGGGGTCTCTAGCCCGTACTCTGCACAGATGTTTCTATACACTATGCCTGCCACTTGGTTATGTCACTCCATGTATGCTTTCCCTGCCAGCATCTTACACCCTGCAGTTATGTGCTGGACTGTCTCAGGAACCTCTTTGCACAGCATACAGTGTGGGTCTTGTCTGGTGTGGTAGATCTTGGCCTCTATTGCTCGGGTGCTCAGGGCCATGAAAGTACAGATACCTGCTTTCAAATATAGTTAAGTAAAAAAAAAAAGTAAAGTAAGTTAAAAAAAAAAAAAAAAGTATCCACTGTAAAATGCACTTAAGTAAAGTGCAGATACCTAAAAAGTACTTAAGGACAGTAACTTCACTACATGCACTTTGCTACCTTCCACCAGTGATTACATCACAATATTTTACATCCAATAATATTTAATACAGATGGGGCAGATACATTTCATATTGCAGAACTGTATAATATAGCGAGATCTTGGTCTAGTCACTGATAGAAATTATCAGGTTAAATACAGTCTATGGGTTCAACATTTGCGAATTTACCTTTTGGATATTTCATGGCAAAAACTGTCTTTTGCCCCCATCTTCATCCATTATTACATGCTGGAAAACCACCAACAAGAAAAATCTGCTCTTGGGTTATTGTTATAAATGAGTTTCATTATTACTGTTTATCATCTATTACTTCAGCAATATATCACACTTCAAAATATGTTATTGTGATAGGCCTAAAACAGACTGTATGTTGTATAATTACTATTTTTCTGATAAAAATTAGATTATTTGTCACAGGTCACCATGGTTAAAATAATGTACACTGTATGCTCAAGTTCAATGATTTATCTTGGATTTAAGATTCAACCCACATGGTCCTACTTTTTATTTGTTTATTCTTTGATAATGATTGCCATAGTGTTGCCTTTGTTCACTATTAAATGTTATAAAGCTCACTTGAATTCATTGCACTTACTAAGACTTAAAAGACATGTCCTAATTAGAAAGTATCTTTGTATTGCCTCTGCTCTACACTGTTTGCATAGGGAAATTAACAGTTTAAAACATGTTGTCACAAACACATTAAACTGTCAATGTCGCTTACAATGACGAATACAAATAGCATGGGTAGATTATGTAGTTTGTCCATGTGTGTTACCATAGGCCCTGTGCCTGGTTAACATTAGGAACAAATCTGTAATGTTTAAGGTTTGGGAAAGCATTTGGGCTTGTTTTAAGAGTAAAACAATGTCAACTTTTTTTTTTTTTTTTTTACTTTGAAAACAGCATCTTGGAAACAGTGGACTTTGGTGGTCTTATGTCATAGCTGCTGTTTGTTTACTTTTAGGGACCTGTTCGTGGAGGTGAGTCCTCTGGGTGGAGATCTGTGGTCGGATCCCTCTGTTGAATTAGATGCTGTTGCTGAATATTCTTCCTTCCTGTGATGCATTTAAATCTCAAACATTCAAATATTTGCCTTTGTTGTGTGGTCCATCTGATTCTTTCCTGGCTGTTAGAGATCCACCCATAATCATTGTACTCAAAAGCCAAAGAATTCCCATTATAGTATTGCCTTTGTAAATGACAGCAGTGGTTTCTAATGTTACGCACTAGTTTCTTCACACTATAGGGGCTTGTTAAGTAAGTAAGCAACATTTTGCTCAACCTCTGAAAATAATACATAATATTTCCTTTGTCATTATGTGTGCTTAATTAAAAGTAAAATTTCTGAGTTTTCCTTTCATGATTAAATAATCAAAAAATATGAAAGCATGCTTTATCTAAATCTTAATAAAATTGTCAATGTTCCTCCCACAGCTTTGGAGTGAAACTGCTCATGACCACGAGATGGAGCTGTTGTACTTTGTGTGCAGTCATTTTCCACTGGCATCTGTGACAGAGATGGAAATATAATATAATGTTCGCTTCAAAACAGGAAGTGTGGGCCATATACTAAAAAGAAGAGAGTTTAGCTCAATATTAAATTATAAAATGTTTTTGAAGTACTAGTGCTAAATGACAGAAATGTGTAGTGAACTTTTTGTACAGTATTTAGAGTTTCGCTGCTGACCGTATTAATTTGTCATAGTTAAGACCAAATAGGTTGGTCAGGTGAAGAGCAGGGGCCATATATCCAACTGATTATCCTACAGTGTTGATTGTTGATTATTTGTTAGGGATTGGTTCCACAGATTTTCAATGTCAATCTTAAAGGTCCCATATTACACTATTTTCTGATCTATGTTAGAATTTTCTTTCCTCATCAAAAACATACCTGGAGTTGTGTTTTGTTTCGTTCACACTTTTTAAATAGACAAATCCTGTATATTTAGGCTGTTCCACTTTGTGATGCCATGTGGTAATACAGGACATGCTCCACTGTGTTTTTAAACTCCTTACACCCTCACTAGAATCATCTGGATAATTTCAACCCTGGAACTGCAAATTCCTACTGGAGAAAAGGCAAAAGCTAACTGTCAACAATCACTTCATGACATCACAAGGTGGAATAGAGCATTTTGAACTTTGGGGATATAGACAGACAAATCATAAAGGGTTACTCAAACATGTGTGATTGAAACAAAACACAACTCTGGGTATGTTTTTGATAATGTAACAATGTAATATAGGACCTTTGTGTCTTAAAGCTTTTTCAACTGACACCAATCATGTCAGTTTTGTTTATTTATAATGACAGACGATATTGAACTGGCCCTGTTTTTATTTCAGAGGACAGGCTGAGTAATTATATTAACCATAAACAAGATCAAAGAAGATCTGTAATCTGAAAGTTAAACAGCAAATTTCACTATAGAATTTTGACCTGTCCTCAGTTCAATTTTAAACTAATTTGATATCATATGAACACAACTTACCGACTAAAAACATACAAACAAAACTGATCATTTATTTCCCAAAAGACCACTAAACAGAAATAAAAACATAACTACTTTCTCTCACACCACTGCTGCTGTGCCATATTTCATTATGAAAGTATTATCAAAGTACAGTCTACCAAAATATGTTTATTATTAATTTCCACACCCTTTGGCACTTTAACAAAAGTAACTCCTGTCTGGATGCCTTTGAGATGATCATTTTGTCTTTTAATAATACTGATTGAGATCTGTTTGCTCTTGAAAATCCAGTTCACTTCATACACCTAAACTCTCGAGAATTAATTTCACTATGAAAAGGTAACAAGTGTTTAAAAATGCCACACACATACATACTTTATAGGATCAAATATTGACAGTTAAATGTTTTACTGTGTATATCAAATAAAAATGTACTATCCAAACATGTAATACAAGTAAAATCTCAAATTGGTATGAAAGTAAGATACATTTATGTAGGCCTACATTGTCAACAAAACATATCAGGAACAAATGAAGATTCTCCCTTCAATCTGAACACTTCATTTAGTTTTGCAATGTAATAATAAGTCATTTTATCCATAACATGCATGAATAATATGCCTATCAATCTATTGAGATGTATCTTGCTTGGATGTTCGTTTTACATAAGAAGATAAAAAGAAGCAGTGGCTGAGATGAATTGTTAAAAGTAAGATGAAGTTATCTTAAGTAATGTGATTTTAGCACTATTAAACTGAAAAGCTTCTTGACAGTATTTCCCGACTGAGTTGTAGTATAAGTTTACAGAGATGCCCAGAGTGTGGAGAGGCCAGCCAGCAGGACTCCTGCAGTGATGGACAGCTGCAGTGAGGAAGCGCTGTTACACAGGTCTTGGGAGCAGCAGTAGGACTTGATGTTGTATCCAATACCCAGAATGGTACCAGTCGCAGTATCCCCACAACCCGTGGCGTTTCTGCACCCACGAGTGACAAACGTCACTGCGGTTGTTTCGTTAAACTCTAAAAAGAGGGTGAGACAACAAAGTGAGCATCAGACAAAAAAGTCCCACAAAATATTAATGAGCCCATATTACAGTATTTTCTGATTTATGTTACAGTGTTTTTTCCTCATCACAAACACACTTGGAGTTGTGTTTTGTTTCATTCACACAAACCTTGCATATTTAGTTCTTCTCTCAAACAGAAAATACCATTTTGCTCCTTGTGATGTTATGTGGTAATACAGTAAGTACTTCATTGTGTTTTTAAACTCCTCCAAACACCTCCATTAGAATTATTTGGATAATTTCAACTCTGGAACTGCCAATCTCTACTGAACCAAAGGTAAAAGGTAGCTGTTAACTTGAAAATTACTGCTTCATTACATCACAGAGTGGAACAGAGCATTTTGTGCTTCAGAGGTGAAGACAGACTAATAATAAAGGATTATCCCAAACGTGTGAATGAAAGAGAACAGAACTCCAGGTATGGTTTTGAGGAGGTAACAACACTGTAACATAACTCAAAGCTCGCAACAGTTAATTTTGCATAATATGGGACAAATTAAAGTTATTTTAGGTGAATTTGTTGCAGGGAAATTTTTGTCAAGATTTAGTCATGTCTAATTGTCAATGCTATAGTTTGGAGCTTTTAATGCAGATGGAGAGGTCCATAGATGATCCTATGGTCAGTAAAAGCATGCACAGCAGACAGAAGGCTGTGGCTATTTGTGGTAAAGGGCACAGATTAAAAGTCTGTATTGCTTATCTTCATAAATCAATACTTTAAAAGCCATTGTTATTTCTGAAAGACTTGTAGGAGGAATTTGTTATGTTTCTCTGTGTAAAAGTAGAAGAAGTTGGGATTGAAATAACTGTTTCCCTGGCATTTTGTCCAAATACTGATTTCAGCATCTATAAGATATAGACTTTTTTTTTTTTTTTAAGTATAAGTAAAAAGGATTACTCACGGGCCTCCGTCTTGTAACAGGTGTCCGTGCCTGCACCACAGGTGATCTCAGTTCCCAAAAGACAGACCCCCAAAATACCTGCATCGCACTGACGGCATTTCAGACCGTAAGCTGAAATCAAAACAAAAATTAATATATGTAATAGAATAAATAAATGTCAGTCCAGCAAAAGTTATTATTTACAATGTAAAAAAGCTATGTCTTATGAATTTAAGAAGAAGAACTTTAAATTAAACAACAACATTAGTACGGAAAAGTAAATCTCATACACACTTTAGAAACAGAAACACTTGATTCTGAGCAACTGCTGTGATTACTTATAATGTTTCAATAACTTCTTTTGCTTTTAACATTTTAAACAACAGCCAATTAATGCTATTGGCATCCTCACTAGAGTTTGTCAAGGACTTATTAAACTCTCTGAGCTCTTCAGGAGTTGTCACTAAAAAAAATATTTGTTGTACTGTTATATTACAGTTCAAACACAAACTTTTTAAATACTGTTTCATATTTTTGTTAGATTTTAGTCTTTTACCTGCAGCAAGAAAAGCTCCGAGCACAATCAGTGTTCTGCAGAGAGAGTTCATGTTTTCTACTTGTAGGTCAGGGCCTTCAGCTGTAGTGGAGGATTGTCCAGATGACACAACAATGAAATGCTTTTGGTTTTATACACCCACACAAGGAAACTATTAGACTTAATTATTCAGGTTGAACCAGTTTAAAGCAAGAGCTCAGCATGAAAGTTCAAATTATGATATTTAAGTGCATAGCTTTGAAAACATTTGTTGGTTGAATCGGAATGGCAATAATGTAATAATGCAACAACAATAATGATGCTGGAAATGACTTGGATTGCGAACAATTTGATACACAATACATGGCTCTTGATACCAATAATGTATATTTTACATAATATTATACAACGTATCATATTTTTAACTACACAAGCTGTTTAATTTGTCAACTGTAACCTGTAAATATGTTTATTTTCTTCAAAATGTTAGTGCTTTTACCCAAAATGTTAGTGCTTTGGCAACACTGCATACAGAAAGAGTCCAGCATAAAAACAAACTTCATCCATGATTTTGAAAACACCAAACTGCATGTGAAAAGTAGTAATTAGAAGTACCATTAGAAGTGACAAAAGGTCATTAGTGTGACAAAAGGTCTTAAACCAGTCATATTTGCTTTATGCTTTGTGCTGTACAAACTGCTATAGTAATATTCTTCTGCTGTTTTTGCATTGATTTATTTCTTTGGCAGGGACAATGCAGTTCAACATATTTACAAAACAAAACTTGAGCAGCTAATACACCACAGTGCAATTCATTCCTTTCTTTCATTCACTCTCTTTCACGATTTACACATCGATACATTTTGGGGTTTTTCAGGCAAGATTAAGCCTAAAGGTGAACATTTTAAATGTAGAAATTATTTTCATTTCCCTGTGTATGTATGTTCCACAGTTTGCAGCTCTTAAAAGAACTGCACTGTGGGATTTTTACAGTTGCCACAGAAAAATGTGAAGAATAATGTACTAAATTATAATTATTAAGGATAGTGTGGATAATTTTTTAATCCACATATTTTATGGAATTTCATGGGAAAAGATCACAGCATGCAAGTACTAGTACCACAGGCCTGCCTGGTTGGAAAAAATAATGTCTGATGAGTTTGAAGCAATTTAGGTAACTGCTGCTGTTAGGCTTCTCAGTCTGTTCATTTGAACTCACTTTGCATGATCCTGGGGTTTAGCATGTGGTGCAAGCCTCATCTAACCCATACAATTACTAAGACGTTACCACACACAGCCTGGAGCCTGATATTCGCTGATATTCATTGAAGACTTTTTGGATAAACAAGCTGTGACTAATCATTTCAAAAGATTTTTTTTAGATAGACATTTTCAACAGCTCACGCTTTAGGTATCAAAAAACTAAATAAAAAAATATCTCAGCAAAATTCTGTTGTTGCTTTCAAAACTCTGAAGCTGAATGCACATGAACATGAGTTTATGATTGCAGAAGCAAAGAGCACATCACGTAATATCCCTTGTGAAGAACACATTAAAGGAAAAGAGTGGATCTTACCCAAGGTGTAGCGGGACAAAACTAGGACAAGCGCTCAGAGCAGCCTTTTTTTTACTCTTACTGATTTTTTCAATTATTTTAGCACATTTTTATAACTTGTTTTAGTTTGATCTTTTGGTATACAGTCCCTGACAAAAGTTTTGTCGCTTATCCATTTTGTAGAAACAAAAGCTTATAACCTGACTTTAAATTAATCGATTGGTTTTAGAAATGTCTCATATGAAAGCTAAAACCCTCCCAAATTATACTCAATATACTAAAATAAATTAGCTTCACTGAAGAAAGATTGATCATTTAATGAACACAGAAAGGTCAGATTTTGGCAAGAGAATCACTGGTTGATATATATATATATATATATATATATATATATAGCATATTTGTTTGTAACAAAAGATCAAAATGACTGCTGTGTGCTGTCTGCAGCTAATTATAAAGATTATTGTTCAGCAATCAGGAAGTGCACTGTTAGCATGCTTGTTGTTAGTTTTTGCCATCACAGCAAAAGTTCGCTCTTGGTCTCTCTGAAAGTTGTAAAACATGCATTATAATGCTCAGAATGCACAAGGTAAATGAGAAGAAACTTAGGACCACTTCAAACCATTTCAAATAAACTACCGTAAGTCTTTTTTTAAGAGGGTAAAAATCAGGTACTCTAATTTTAAATGGAAATGCAAATTCAACAGATGGTTTATGTTTTTCTGTGATAGTCATCTAATGCTTTAATTATCATCTCATTCTGTTGAGTCATGAGATTAAAGGAGCACTACGTAACCTTTCCAGTGTGGGGTCTGCCAGCTGCCTGAGGTGTTAGTCCTTTCCGTGTTGTATTTACCGTATTTTCTGCACTATTAGGCACTCTGGATTATGAGGCGCACTGTCATAGAATGGTCTATTTTCAAACTTTTATTACAAATAAACCGCACTAGACTATAAATGAAATCCAACAGTTGGATGGCCCAGTCAGACTTTGTTTGGCATGTTCACTGTGACTCTGGGCTTTGTTCAGTTGTGGCGTGTAGGGAGGGTGCTGTCTGGGACCGCTGGATTGTTGGCGTGTTCGCAGTGACTCAGTTGTTCAGTTGTGGCTAGTAGTGGCACATTGCACTTGCTTTTTCGGTTCGTTCCTCCTTTCCATTCCTCGTCTGCGTGGAGTGATGAGTGTGGCTGTGGGTGTTTATTGCTGCGCGGTCGCTGTCTGCTCCGTGTGTGTTTGCGTGTGCTGCGGGTAGTGCAGCTTTGTAGTTTACTGAAGTTGTACTGGGACACCCGAGTGGATTTGTGTATAGGGCGCTCTGGATTGATGGGGTTGGAGGCTTAAGAGTGCGCCCAACAGCCCGGTATTTGCATAGACAACTTGCATTTACCTGAATAATTTGCTATATTAATCTCTAAAGTGTGAGGAATTCTTTACTTTCAACAAGTTCCATGGCAACAGTGATGTTTAAGCTTGATACAAAAACTTTACCTAATGAAAATAAATGGTGTTCTTGTAGCTCTTTATAAAATGAAGTACTTTAAATACTTTTTTTGGTCAAAACATCAATGTGGTTCACATACATCATTAAGAGAGACATTTGGTTATACTAGAGAATAAGGAGTAAGGAGTACCTAACATGAAAAAATAGGAATTCAAATATTTACACATAATTTATTGCTACATACAGCATGTATTAAACTTTTAGCTAAAAAATAAACTAAAATGCAGTTTTTTTCCTTTCTGCTTGCATCTCCATGGACCTGACTCCTATTGGCCTGGAGGAGGTCTTCCTACTGCTTATAGATAGATCGATAGAAATGTTGTTCTTGTTTTTGCTAAAATATTCCACAGTTTGGCATAAAACATATCTACTGTATCTCCATAGACAAATGGTTTTAACTTTCTGTTTCCATGGTATCATGCAAGCGATATACCACCTCCAGAAAGTGACCTACTGCATCTTCAGTGAGAATGTCTCAGGTTAAATTCCATGATTACATAAAGGCCATTGGACATGTTCACCCTTTCATTGTTGTGTCTACTGGTGCTCCTATCTTGGACAACATTTCAAAAACTGATTCAATCTATTTATGCTCAAGATGAGAGATTAGAAATAATCACTGTTGGGCAAGTTACTTTAAAACTGTAATGCGTTATTTATTACTTATTACTGTCATTTCAAAGTAATTCGTTACATTACAATATTACTTCATTTAAAATGTAAGGCATTACATTACTATTGCATTATTACTTTAAGTTACTCTCACCAAAATAACTGCGAAAAAGCTGAACTTTTGAGCCGTATATGGACTGAACCAGGACTAAACAAGGTCTAAACCAGGACTAAACCAGAGCTGAACCAGGACTAAACCAGAACTGAACTAGGACTAAAACAGGACTCACTGTCAGGATGGGCTCGAAGGAGACCGCAGGAGAAAGGACCGGCTTTGCTCCGCACCTCACGGAGGTAAGAGCGGCTGTCGCCCGATCGCTCTTTATGGACACCCTACTGCGCGGGCTCACGGTCCTGATTTCAGCAACTTGCGGGTACAAGACCCGGTGCAAAACTCTGCTACAGCGCGTAACTTCTACCTTCCTTCAACGTGTGCAGAAGTCCAACTTTTTGTGCGATGGTTTGCATCGTCCTCTGTCTTTTGGGTGTGAGCGCAGGAGCCTTTGTCGGTGCAGAACATTTCGTCGACGTTGTGGATTTTGTCAGAGAGAAAACTTGCAGACATACAGCACTTCAGAATCGCACTGCTAGAGATTGAACATTTATTTAAATTTGGCAGCTGAACACATTCTGTAGCCTACTGTACTGTACAGGAGACAGGAGTCCCTTAGCCGATCAGGACACAGCGGGAGGAACGCAATACGTGTTCATACACTAAAAACAAAAGGCATGCAAAATTGCACACACAAAAAAAAAATTCTAAAAATCAGCGAAACAGCGAGACCGCGAAAAGTGAATCGCGTTAGAGCGAGGGACGACTGTAAGCCAGGTCTAAACCAGAAGTGACCCAGGTCTAAACCAGGTCTAAACACTGTAGAGTTCTGGGTCGGTCCTTTCACCCGTGGTTAACTGAAGGTCTATCCGGCCGCGTCTCCGGCGTTTCACCGCTGCTGATTTCACGGTGATTTTAGCGAATTTCTATGAAGAAAAACCCACCACTTCAATCCAGGTTAAAAAAGCATTGTAACGCGCGTTACTCACATTTGTACCGAGTAAAATATTACAATTTCCCCCCCTGTAATGCCTTACATTACTGCGTTACAGCAAAAATCAACGCATTACTGTAATACATTACTTTTATAATACATTACTCCCAACACTGGAAATAATCGTATTTATCTCACATCTCACTCTTGTGAGGTGCACTGTGTAACCTTTCTGGTACAGTGTCAGCCACATGCTTGTCTTTATGAAAACATTATTGCTCTAGAATAGAATAATCCCACAGTGTGGCATTACACTTATCTATAGACTGCAATGCCCGTAGGCCAAGTTTCGGGTCAGATCTGTGGAAAGATGAGCTCACTCACTGTAGGAATGCGTGTTTTCGTAGTATTTTTAATGCAGTAAAGACCTGTAATTGAATAAATGCAAGAGTTTAATAATGTACTGTGAAACTTCTAAGGCAAATGATATCTCCACGGAAACAAGCTTGTGGCAGACACCCTACGAGAAACCTTCCTGTCCTCGTATTTTAATGAATTCTTCCTAGGTTTTTTGACCCAGCCTCGCTAGAATCATTCTGTGTCATCTAGACAAGTGGGACCTTAAAAGTTGTTAAAAGATTTCTAAAAGATTTAGCATGAGCTGTTTTGCAAATGTCAGCTTTCAACAGATAAAAGTACTGAAGCAATTAAGAAAAAAAAATGTAACTCAATGCCCAGTTTAAAGAACACATCCAACTTGTTCCTAGATGTTATTGAGTGTTGTTGTTGCTGTGAACTGAAGTCATTTTATCTGTAATCTCTGTCCACACCCATCACATAATTCTCATTCTAATAGCTAGGTTGTATCTAATAGATAGGCATCACTTAACTTTACAGCATTGTGAACTTTAAAACTGAGGTGATCAAATTTGCATTTAACTATAGCCATATTTTTTAACTGGTTTATGGTTAATAGGCTATTTGAAACGGGTAGATTATTACAGTTTTTAGTTTCAGTCGCTTTGGCACATTTATCTATTGAAAACTGTCATTTTCAAACAGCTGACACAAAATCCTAAACATAATTTTAGTTTTCTCAAACAAAATGTAATCTCAGCATATTTTCACCTTTGTCTCAAGACACTTAAAGGGCAAATATGTATTTTTTTTTTAATTCTTGCATTTTTCAAGATTATTGTACAATTGACAGAGCTGATCTGAATCTATTAATTAAAACATTAAGAAATGTATTGGCCACTATCAGATTTTGGTCAATATCACTCATATCAAATCCAATTATGACCTGTTTACAGTTTCATTATATCATTCAGTTACTTTGGTAAAGGGAATACATAAACTAAATAATGTAGCATCAGACCATAATACATCTTCTCAATGTATTCAATAAGAGAAAATATAGATCACGACAAAAATCTACAAATACAGGTTTGACTTTATCACAACAACCATTTAAAGCTATGATGAAGGCAATCACCAAATTTGTCCTAAGGGGTCAACTACAACTTAATTAATTGGATATAACATTCAAATTAGATGAAAGTATTTTCTATTATTTCCTAAAATTCCACATGTAGTCCAAGTTAAGGAAAACTAAAATGCGAATTGTCAACTGAACCCACTAAAACATCTGTCTATACAGAGACGTATTCCTTCTGTTTTCCCTTTTAGTTATTTAGTATAAACAATTCAGCATTGTTAATTGTTCTGTGTTATTTTTGCTTTTTGTGCGGTGCTCTGACTCACAGGTGATCACTGGGAGCATTATTTAATTGTATAATTGTTATAATTGATAATTGTTTGTATTGGTTTTGATATAGTTTGGTTATTCTTCTAATTTATCTAATCTTAAATATTTCGCTCTATTTTTAACTTTGGCTATTGTACACTTGTTGTTGCTTTTAGTACTTCTTAGGAGAAAGCACTCCACAGTAAAATTTCCTGATTGTAAGGAGACTGAACAGAGGACGGTGACAGTGAGGCAGTATCAGCAAATTTTCTCTTATTTTTAGTTAAGGCTTTTATTAAATAAATAAATTATTAAATTTCTACCTCTCTGTGAATAAACTTTTTTTTGCACTGACCTACAGCTTGAAGCCAAATTATACTTTTAGGTAACAACCCATTTGCAAAATGTTTACATGACTTTATTATTTTAAATCAGTAATGCATTAACTAATATAATTATATATTTTTGTGTATACTCAATTACAGTGATTTCAGTCCATTCTAAATCAAATTAATGTACATAATATTTACCTATGTCCGGTATGTAGCACTTAAAGCTGGCACAATTCAAGTCATATGTAAATCAGTTGTTGTTGTCCTTAGTTGTAAAACACTACCATACGCTGCATGTATGTTTGAGCCTTAATTCTTGCTATTGTTATATTAATACTATTACATACTGTATAGACACTAGGATTTCCGGTTCATTTAGTGTTAATATTAGCAGTGATAAAATAGAAAATACACACTTCATCATTAATCCAAGAGTGGTACAACACTGTTAAAACTGACATATTTATATTATTGTATGTAAGAATGTATTTCATTTGTATTCTGCCTATTTGAAGCAATATCTGTTATGAATGAAGGTCCTATCCAATGACCTATAAATTAATTTTTGAAGGAGACAATTTTTAACAGTCCTTTACACAGTGTAAGAGATTCTTGGCAGAGTCAGTTAAGATTTTGTCTGGTAACAACCACTGCCATAACAGCATGTAAATCAGGTCACCAATGAGGAAAATGTAGAATTGAGCTCCTGCTAAAATAATATACCACTGCATTCAACTCCCACAACTCATAGCCGCAGTACAGCATAAGCAACTTTTCAGTCTTTGCCTTATTCAGGTGAAAGGTCAACTGTAGTGTCCCAGAGCAGAGGAGCAGCACAGAGGAGGTGTATATTCATTTGAATTGTTCATGTTTAGGTCTTTGAGCTTTGTGAGGCTTGTGTCCACTTGAGCAGAGGGTGTATCAGCAGAGAGCTCAGAGTCTTTGCTTTGTGAATGGGTGCCATGCAAGAAAGTTTGTTGAAATTCATGCCAATTAATTAATTAATAATTTCAAACAATCAAAAGTTATATATAAATCTTGAATATGTGACGGTTCTGCTGTTATCAGAGACCACAATAAAATCTCAAAGTTTATAATGAACATCTGAATAACCTTTATTATAATCTTGTGCTAGGACTCATTCATGATTGCATGACACTATTTTATTTCATCCAAATATGAAACGTAGTATTATTCGAATACTGAACTGATGTCTAGATTGGTTTAGTTCATTTGCTCTTAAATAATTATCATAATAAAAGTCACTTATCTCGGTAAGAACTGATTGGATACAGGTATTGCTACAATTTAGACCTATCTATCACTGCAAAATAACATCAGGTGCTACAGCTCCACTGGTCTCTCTGTTGTGGAATTGTAACAGAGGTCCTGTGTTATCGAGACTAATAAAAGACATACTGACCATGCATCATAATAACAGACTATAAAGTTCTATACCTTCATCGGGATACATATTCAGTATTGTTTCTGTAGTTTTGGGGTCTAAGGGAGCATTAACATTGATTTTAGCACTTGGTTGTTTTTCTACTATTTTACAAATTTTGCATCTTATGATTAAATGAGTACAGTACACCTCAGTGTTTTTATAAAGTGTTCACTTATATATTGCCCTTTTGACTATACTTTAACATGCACTTTTTTTCATTGGCCTTCAATTTCAGAAGAAGTGTCAAACGTAAATATAAGCACTGCAGCAGTTTCTGGGTGGAGACCATTGCTTACATCTAAAACCATAACAACCACCAGTCTAAAAACTCAATCTTTTCCAGTCCAAATGCAAAATAATATCTGTAAATTTTGCATGAGATCCAGCTGTTGTACGATAATTGTATTTACATGTTATATATGTCATGCCTTTGTACACATTGGTTTATTAAGTTTGAAAATATTACATTCTGAAATTTCCCATTGTAACTGACAGTCCTATTTACCTATTTTTAAGAGACATACACAGTTGCACATGTTACATTCCTATACCTCTTCTCTATCTGGTCTTTTTGTATTTTCCAATATAAATTTTGTCACCTCTGTTAATAAATTTAGTTGAGACTGATCTACAGAACACATTTCCGACATCTACACTTAGCCTACAGGAGGTAGCCTACAAGAGTGCAGCTCAGAGGACCCAATTTCACTCACTCTTCACACTAAGCATTCAGTGTAATGCCAATTAAAACTGAATGCTGTGGAACCCCATTCTACTGGATCGGAAATCACCACACCCTGTGTTGATTTTTTTCAAGGCATTACTAAATGCGCTGAGTAAACCTGAAGGTTGTAGAAATCTGTTCACTTTGTTTCCTCTCTAATCGTAAATCATTTTTTATCTCCGTATGAGCATCCAGCGCAGCACCGACGCATGTAGCAGAACATAGTTCTATATTTCCCTACTAATCGGAAACCACCACTAATCGGAAAACACCATACCCTGTGTGGATTTCGCATAATAGGTTGAACCTTTATGCATAACACAAGCTTCTCTGTGTGGGACCGTATCCACATGTTGCCTTGTTATTCTCCCTTAATCTCTTAATATTTCTCTCTTTAATATTTCTCTGTTATATCTCTTATCACCACAATCAAACACCATACATAACCCACTCAACAACCACCAACTCAACATACTTTCAGACATGGGCCATGTAACCACTGTGGCTGCCCGGACATACGGATGTCTCGAAAACATTAAACAAAAACTCCTCAGAAACATATCTGAAGTAGTGTTTTGTTTCATTCACCTTTTGTTCAACAGAGATTGGCAATTCCAGGGCTGAAATCATCCAAATGATTCTAGTGAAGGTGTTTAAGTTTAAAAACATAGTGGAGCACTTTCTGTATTACCGCCTGACATCACAAGATGGAATAGAGTGGTCTCTATATGAGAGAAGAACTCAGTTTGAATATGCAGGGTTTCTGTGCTAAACAGGAGTGTTGTTAATATTGGCCCCTTCATAGTTTAATCATCAACAAAAATAGTGAATTACAAAACAAATATAATATAAAAATCTAAAAAAAAAAAACAAAAAAAAACTTACAAAACATTAAAGCAAACCTATAATGCAAAATCAACTTTTCAGAGCTTTAACAATGTTATATTTTTTTCCTCTCACGCCAAGTTGTATTTGGAGTGATTTGTGTATGTTTGAGCAATCTTTGTTGTTTCTTTTTTTGTTTTGTCTCTTTTATTAAGTCGTTGAGATGAATATTACAATTTAAAATATGCAAATTACAACATCATGATCCATAGATTATAACTATATAGCCAACAGATGCACGCTAGGTCTTCTTTAACACTACAATTATTTGTCCCTTCTGATTGGTTGTGTTGTGTTCGTACAGGCTATAGACACAGGACCACCAGTTTAAATGTGTTTTAAATATTGTACAGAATCAGTTTAAATCAAATTTTAGCATAAATGATAAGTTAATATAGAATATGTTAAACTATTTGTTAGGGTTAGAGTTCATGCTTTATTAAGGCTATTAAAGGCTATTTCTCTGGAATGTTTCACAGTATCCTATTAAACCTTTCTATCGTCATGGAAACGAAACCTGACCAAATTACAGGTCAGATCTGTGGACAAACAAACTCACTCACAGTCAGAATACTAGTTATTCTAGGTATAAAACTAACTTGAGCTATAAAACCACCTGTAACTGAATAAATGTAAGGTAGAGCTGTTTAATAACATACTGTGGAACATTCCAGGCAGAGCAATGGCATACTTATAAAAACAAGTAGACATCCAACCAAAGCAAAGTGCATCTTTAAGTTATGGAATGGTTTATGGTTTAAGTTAAGATTAAATTTGTGTTTGTTTAAAGAGAAGGCATTTGACTTCTAGTGTATTAACTGCTAACACACTTTTTATGGTTTTGAAAACGCTATATTCAACCAAAACAAGTTTCACTTGTGTTTTTCACACTCTGAGACTCCCCTTCCTGCTAATAAAGCTACTGCACATCACATCAGGTTTGTCATGTTGCTGTATCATGCTCTGTATCATGTTTTTGCATATTTATGGAGAATTGTCAGAGTCAGGGTTTGGAAAATCATTTGTTTAGTTGTTGTAGATGTTAGCAGAAGTAAACAAATTTGTCACCTACAGCTTTATCTCAACTTACACCATAAAATAAAACATAACTCAGTCAAAATTATAACATTTTAGGCCTGTTCATAGCAACAGAAGCTAACATGCAACTACAGCTACATGATCACTTCCATCCCTCTAGACCAGATCTCTTCTTATGTAGTCAAATACTTGGACACTTTTCCATTTATTGTAATGCATAATGTCATGATTTAAACCTCAAATGAATACATTTTGAATAATAATAATAATAATAATAATAATAATAATTTTCTCTGTTTAGCATAATCCTTCAGTGTGTGTTGTTGTTGGGGTCTACTGTGAAACCCAGAGAGTGCTGAGGAGTGTCAGGACTGTTCCTATGGCGACTGATAGATGCAACGAGGAGGCGGAGTTACACATGTCGGTGGAGCAGCAGTTGAAGGTGGAGGTGTAGGCGGCTCCCAGGAGTGAACCTGTCAGGGTCTTTCCACACAGGTCCGTGTCGATGCAGCCGCGGTTATGAAGCTTCAGAGCGCCAGTGGCATTGAACTCTGCACACACAAGAGAGGTATTAGTCCTGGTCTTAGTTTGAGTTCAGTTCAATCCTGATGTAGACCTGGTTTGGTTCTGTTCTAGTTCTGGTCTAGTCTTAGTTAAATTCTGGTTAAATCCTGGTTAAAACCTGGTTAAATCCTGGTATAGTGCTGGTCTAGATCCAGTTGAGTCCTGTTCTAGTCCTGGTTAAGTCTTGGTGTAGTGCTGGTTAAAATCTGGTCTATTCCAGATTTAGTTCCAGATTTAATTCCAGGTCTGGTCCCAGTTGTAATGCTGTGCATGAGCTCAGCCTTAGTAGAGAATTTCTACCAGCTATTGCATTCTGTTGTTATGTACTTTGGCAAGACACCTGACCTACCTTGCCTGTATTTTGCATTGATGTAGGTACACACGACAATGTTTTGCCAGCATTTCCCGTTAATGTGTAACCTTTCTGATGTGGGGTACACTGCCTTGTTGTTTCTGTGATATTATTGTGTTGCCATAACACTCTAAGTAATTCTTGTGTCATAACTACACATCAAGACTGAGAAAATAATATTTAAAGGCACGTTGTGTAACTTTTCTGGTGGACAGTATATCAAATGCTTTTCTTCATGGAAATGATATTGCTTAGTCTGGAATGTTTCACAGAATGGCATTAAAACTAAAAAGGTATTTTCTAGGAGCTATTAAACCACCTGTAATTGAATAAATATAAGGTAGAGCCGTTTAATGTCATACTGTGGAACATTCCAGGCAAAGGAGTAACATTTCCATAGAAACCAGCAGGTGATGGACTACCAACCAAAATATTACATAGTGCACCTTTAATTTATTAAAAAAAAAAAAAAAGAAAAAATCATAATGAAATGTTGCAGTGTGTCTTACGGGCGTCTCCACGGTAACAGCTGGAGGTGCCGTTGTTACAGTCGGTGTTTGTCCCTAAAATACATGTGCTGAAGATCCCGATGTAGCACTCACGACATGTCAGGCCATAGGCTGGAAAAGAGAAAGAAAAATACAGTTATTGTGTCCAGGTAGACAGGCACCCGGGTTATTTTGGTGCTATCATTATGCTTAATTGTCTACATAGATGGACACTGACACCATCTTGAGCATATGATGTAGGAATATCATGTAGGATTACTGATGACCTACATGTTTTCATTTGAAAGGGTGTGGTGAATGAATCATGGGACTGTCTAATTCGAGTTGATTATACAGTGCATTTACAAACAGGCTTACACCTAACACACTGTCAAGCTTTCTTACATTAGAAAAGGTGTTATTATGTATTTAGTTATTATTTAATTATAGTAGGTGTGCACCTATCCGATATTAGTATTGGATATCGGCACCAGTGCTGAAACATTTGCTGGATTGGATTTTGGCTATCCGCACTATTTACTGGTCATAGTTGGCCCAGAAAGTTGTATGTATTCAAAGTTGTTCTGTAGTAAATTTAGATCAGTTTTGTCATTTTATATGTGTTTTAAGGAAATAATGCACTGGTATTGGTTGATAGTGATCGGTCGATATGTAAAGCTGTAGTATCGGAATTGCTATTGGAACTGAACAGGCTGGATTGGTGCATCCCTTCTATTTTGTTCATTATTTATTATAATTGTATTTTTGTGGACGGAAACCCAAAAGATTTAATTTAGTAGGTAGCAATAGGCAGCTTTAGTACGCAAACTATGAAATATTCAGTGAAGAGCCTTTGTGCAAGTTAGAAATATGTGACGCAGGTGTACTGATACTGCCACTGATACTGATAGTGATAGTGTACCGTGAAGATATCTGTGTGATCTGGTCAGACCGGATTCAGATTAAAGTGCACCTGTGGAAAAGACATTTGTGTGTCCCACTGTTGACCTTATTACTGACTAAATGTTACTACACCATGCTTTTGTTTTGATGGCACTTTTGGTTAAGTGGGTATCCCATTCATTTAAATGGAGAAGTTTTGTTGCTAAAATATATAATGTGATGTAAATATGATGTAAAATACATTGATTTGGGTGAAAGGAGTAATATAGATTTTATATAATATTGGTATATAATATTGGTATCAGAAAGTATCAGTTCTCAGCCTAAACTAAACTAAAGGCTTATAGCTCTAATGCTGAGCTATAAACCTTTAGATGTTTAGTTGATTAATTGGTTGATGGAGCTTACCTAAATTTGTATTAGTAGATTAATTATTTTATTTCATAGAGAAGGATTTACATATACATGGGACAACAGCAGAAAGTAGAAGTTAGTGAGTGAGTTAGCTGAGTTAGGTGACATTTTTAGAATTTATATGTAAAAAGCAGATTAAACTCATGACTCACAAGTTGAATGTGTGTTTATATAAATACACTGTTTCCTACTTTTTTATCTATAAATAGTAGGCAAGGCGTAGTGCTGTGAGTGCATCTTAGGTCAGAGCTTTTGCCGCAAGCCGAACACAATATTAGCAGTCAAGTCAGCATCACAGACTCAAGTTTCAAGTATAAATCTAAAATAATACAAAATATCCAAATGTTGTCAGTATATTAAACATTTCTTAACTGATAGCTGGACCATTATTTTTAAAACAATAATGCTACAATAATTAAAGGTTCCTATATTATACAAAATGGATTCTTGTGAGCTTTAAGCTGTGTTATAATGTTGTTTTCTCATCACAAACATGCCTGGAATTGTGTTTTCTTTCATTCAAACATGTTTGAGGAACCCCTTATTATCAGTCTAACCATGTTCCACCTTGTGATGTCATAGTAGTAGTTTTCAAGTTAACAGCTACCTTTTAGCTTTAGTTCAGAAGAGATTGACAATTCTAGAGTTGAAATCATCCAAATGATGAATGATAATGAAGATGTATAGAGTTTAAACACACAGTGGATCACTTCCTGTATCACCACATGACATTCGAAGGTGGGACAGAATGTTTTCACTTTGAGAGAAGAACCCAGTATGGTAAATATACTAAAATACTAAATATGCAGTTAAACTAGTGGGAATGAAACAAAATACATCTCCAGGTATGTTTGTGATGAGAAAACAACATTATAACAATAGCGTTATATCGCCCCTTTAAACCTTCATATTATATACAATGTTTTCTCTTACCTGCTGCCATAAACGCGCTGAGGACGATCAAAGTCTTGCACACAGACATTATGTTTTCTTCAGGGAACAGATGAGAAAGTGAAAAATGTTACAATAATAAACAGCTTGTCTTATTGATGGTTGAATTAGCGATGTTTGTAGGTTCAATGGACCGGGCTGTCTGGAGCTCAAGAGAAGTGATCTGGTCTGTCTGGTTTGGGGCGTAGTGCGTGTAGACTCACATTACAATTAGTCACTTGCTGCTTAAATGCTTATTATAACTGTAAATGTTTAAAGGCAACATAATGATCCCTCGGTGACCATGGACCATTAAGGCTATTTACTCTTACTATACACATGCACTGGGTTTTGGATACTTTGTAGAGACACTGTACATTCATTTCTTGGAGGCTGTTTCCTCATCAAAAACATACCTGGAGTTTGTTTCATTTATACATGTTGTTCCACCTTGTGATGTCATGAAGTGGTAGTTTTCAAGTTAACAGCTACCTTTTACCTTTTGCAAATTATTCTGTGGAGAATTTCTTGTATTACCACATGACATCACAAGGTGGTAAGGAGTGACTTCTGTTTTGAGAGAAGAACTCCTAAAGCCTAAATATGCAGGGTTTGTGTGTTAAACATGAAACAAAAGACATCTCCGGGTATAGTTTGGATGAGGAAACAACATTATAACAGATCCTAAAATAGCATAACATGGGCCCTTAAAAGTTTTCATGGTTTTCTAATTTGTACTTTATTTAATGGAATAGTAACTGTAGTAAATGGTTATCATAGTTTTACATCACTTAAGTAGCAGTTTGTGGAATAATTTTAAAAGAAATGTATAAAAAGACAGAAAGGAGCCTACTGCTGAATTTATCTGTGTTATCAACACGGAAAATGCAAGGACATATTATGCACAAGCAGCATTTTTTTCTGGCAATTTAAATAAAACAAAACAATGGAGTTGTAATTTATTTTTATTAGTCTAATTACAAATATTGTGCAATTTAAACAGGTTTTGACACTTGTCTACATTACTATTGCTATGTAACAGTTATGGAATTACAGCTATGTATATCATATCTGCCATCTGCCATGTCCAAAGATGAAGTGAGATTATAAATTTATAAAACAGAAAAACTAGGCCACATCCTTATGAAATTTTGTTAGCTATGTTTTAAAACATATATGAAATAAATTATATATATATATATATATATATATATATATATATATATATAGGATTTCATTGCTTTGAAGATTTTAATTTTTTATTTATTTTTTATTTAAACAAAAACAGTGCACAGAAAACATTAAACTCAAAGGAAAAAAATGCACTGTGCCACATTTAGCTACAAGCTACATTCCAGCTGCAGCCCTTAGGTAGATCCTATCTTATAGTTAGTCACGCTTAGACCATAGTTAGGCCATGAACACTTGTACTGATCACGGGCTCTTAAAAACGTGTTGTCAAAGTCCATTTTGTGTTTTCAGACAATCTTAAAACTTTTTTGACAGTGTTTGCTGATGTGTGCATTGAATCTCCATGGTAACTACTGAAAATTCCACCAGACATGTAGAACACTCACAGCGTGATATCACTGCAAAGTATCAATAGTAGCCTAGCTACTAGCCTACTACTTTCTTAACCTTGACCTAAATACCAACCTTATCTTACCTTTAAATCATATTGTTAATCTAATAATAAAGGATTTATGTCATTTTTGTCCCCGTAAATGAGGTAAGTTGCTATTAATTCAGTGTATATATTTTAGTCCCCACAATGTAATACATACCGCTGCAGTCTTGTTAGGTTTCAGTACTTTGTGGGGACATTACATTACGTTACATTCATTTTGTGGAGTTGAGACTGGTCCAAATTGTTACTTAACCCAAACCTTAAAGTTACACTGCGTAGTACCTACTTGTCCCCATGGAGATGTTATTGCTTGGCCTGGAATGTCCCATGGTATGACTTTAAGCATACATCTAGCATTTATTCATTACAGGTGTTTCTGTTGCACAAAAATACATGATTTCCTTCTGTGAATAGGGGAGACTCTGCACAGATCTGAATAGTAATGTAGTGTATTGGTGTGTTGTAACCTGTTTGTCTGATTTTGTGATAGATATGTTTAACTTACACTGTGGAACTCTGTAGACAAAGCAAAAACATTTCCATGGCGACAAGCAAGTGGCGCACCCTCCACTAGAAATGTTATGTAGTGTACCTTTAACCTTCATAAACCCATATTATAATTTTATACCATGTTGCTGATGTATGAGGACCTGATTTTGTCTCTGTAAAGTGTGTAAAATGTACGCACAGATTCCAGTCCTCAATGAGGTTAAGCCAGTTTAAATCCATTGATAATTAGTTTTACTGTATAATGAATTCATTACTTCCGTCTTTTTTCTACAATTACTTCTAAATTACCCATTTTAATTTATTAAGAATGTTTTCCGCTCAGTAACTACATAATTAAGAAGTCACGAGTCAGGGTTATGTAATGTGAAGTCTTTATTTATATATATATATATATATATACATATATATATATATTTTTTTTGTATAATACTTATTATATTATGTTGTTTCATCATCACAGTGATACCTGGAGTTGAGTTTTGTTTCATTCACACATTTTAACACACAAACCCTGCATATTTAGGCTGAGTACTTCTTTCAAAATGAAAACGCTCAGTTCCACCTTGTAATGCTTTTTTTTTTTTAACTCCATGTTTTTTGTGGGTTTTTTTAGTCCATACGCCTCATTTGGATGATTTCTGCCTTGAAATTGTCAATCTCTACTGAACAAAAGGTAGCTTTTAACTTAAAAACAACAGCTTCATGACATCACAAGGTTGAACAGAGCATTTTGAGCTTTGCAGACAGACAGACTAATAATAAAGAATTACTCAAACATGTGTGAATGAAAAAAAACACAATTTCAGGTATGTTTTTGAGGAGAGAACAACATTATAACATGTCATAAAGCTTACAATAATACATCTGTGTCTGAGTCTACTTCTTTGGCTGTACATTTAGATAACTTTAATTCTCTCTCAATGCTCAATATGGAGTACAGGAAGGATGGCACTTTTTTCTTGTTTTTTTTTTTGACCACCCTTAAAAGTGAAGTTGACTTTGAGAAGACAAACAAGTGAACAACAATGTGTCTTTTGTGTTCCTTGTTCTCGATTTACAAGGAAGTATGCTGGAATTTTTGTGAGCGTAGTTTCCTGGTAAAAATGAGCCCTACTGAGAGCTTGTTATCTGAGACTTGTGTAAATGGCTCATTGATCACGTATCATGTTACAGACTTTAAGGTATATTATGCTACCCCCCAAACCAGGAAATACACAGAAGAGAATGAGAGAAGAGAGTGTACATGTTTATAGATTATAAGGTTAAGATTGAATGTTTTTGTTGTTTGATAAACGGTCAATGATTAAGACAAACCCATTAAACCAAGGGAAGGCATATGTGTTTATAGCACAATTCATACACAAAGTAATTCAAAGTGCTTTACTGAGTAAGAAAGACATTAAAACTACAATACAAACAAATCAAACCCAGAATATCACCAAAAAATGAACAGTAAAAGAGATGAGTGCAGAATGAAAACCTTTCAGTCATATACAGGTCTAAACATAACTGTTTTGAGCCTGGATTTAAATATAGTCAGATCAGAGGCTTGTCTCACATGTTCAAAAAGACTGATTCAGGTTTTAGCTGCATAAAACTGAAACATTTACTCCCCATCTTTAGTTCCTGAGCTCCTCAGAGTGCAAATAGTCCATGTGGCACTAACATGTCACACATGTACTCTGGTGCTTTGGTCATGGAGAGACTTGTACACAAGCAAAGCTGCTTTAAAGGTCTTATATTCCACAAAATTGACTCTTAAGCCATGTTTTAATCTTGTTACCTCATCAAAAACATGCCTGGAGTAGTGCTTTGTTTAATTCCCACGTGTTTGAGTTATCCTTTATTAGTCTGTCCACAATTCCAAAGGTCAAAATGTTCTCTTCCACCTTGTCATATAGTGGTAGTTTTCAGGTTAACAGCTCCCTTTTAGAAGAAATTTTCAGAAGAAATTTCCAATTCCATGATTGAAATCATGTGCATGGAGTTTAAAAACACAATAGAGCACTTACTGTTTTATCACCTAACATCACAAAAACTAATATGCAGGATTTGTATGTCAAACATGTGTGAATAAAACAAAACACAACTCCAGGTACTTTTTTGATGAGAAGCCAACATTAAAACATATCAGAGACTTGAGCACAGGCTGCATGTGCTCATATTTCCTGGTTGGAGTCAGGACCCGAGCAGCAGTTTTCTGGATGTACTGCAGCTGTTTTACAGTGAGCAGGCTGTTACAATAGTCTAACCTACTGGAGACAAACACATGGATAAGTCTCGTCAAGTCTGCTTTAAACAGTAAACCTTTGATTGTTGCTGTTTTATAGATGGTAAAAAGCTGCATATGTTAAGTTGTGTTAAGTTAAGTTCAATGCTGAGTCCATTATGAGCTCTAAATTTCTAGCCTGAGTAAAAGGTTTTAGAGAGAGAGACTGAAGGTGACAGCTGACACTTTCCCTTTGTTTCTGTGGACCAAAGACTATGACTTGAGTCTTGTCTGAGTTTAGAAGATTGTTTTGCATCCACACACTGATCAGTTGGATGCAGTGGTGGAGTGAGTCCACTGGTCCATAGTCCCCTGCTGCCAGTGAGATCTGAGAGTCATCTGCATAGTTGTGGTAGGACATATTATTGCTGAGTATTAACTGGCCTAAAGGCAGCATGTAGAGATTAAACAGAAGGAGTCTCATGGATCGACCCCTGGGTCATCTAAGACACACACAGACACAGTATTTCCTGTCTTCTAGATAGGACTTGAATCAGTTTAGTGCAGTATGAGAGTTGCCCTCCCAGTCCTCTCTGTAAGAGTAGCCCATGATTAACAGCTTCAAAAGCAGCACTCAGATCTAACAGCATCAAGACTGAGACTTCTCTTGCATCAGTGTTCAGGTGGATGTCATTTGTCACTTTGATAAGAGCAGTTTTGGTGCTGTTGTGGGGAATTGTTCATTTGAAGGAAGTTCGTAAGCTGTATTTTATTTTATTTTTTCAAAGCACAAAACTGTCTTCCTGAAGATGTGAGGCAGCATACCTTTATCCTATCTTCTTTCTTATTC